CCCCCCGAGTTGCTGGGGGGGCGTTAAACTTTTAACACTTTTTTCGCTGGGCCATAGCAAAAAAAAAAAAAAACGGCGCGCCGCAGGCACGCCAAATTTTGGGTGCCTCTAGGGAATTGCTTGACGTTTATTGTGACAAAATTTCAAAAAAATCGGCCGGAAAATTTTTGAGATATCGAGGTTTCAGTGACGTCATGATTTCTTGGTTTTCGACCAAAAACGTTATATGTTCAAAAAATCATATAAAATCACAGAATAGACATACAGACATGCCGTAAACGCCATTAGACTGCCAATACCATGAACAATCAAATGGTTATCTTTGATTATTGATTATCGTTCCGCATTTTCCAAAATCTTGAACTGAATCTTGGCAATTTCTCATGACTACTTCACGACCATGATACATGTATTTCTTAATTTGAACTTTTTGACCCAAACACGTACACATATGATAAAATGAATGTCACCATCGTGTTCTACGCCCCAAATTACCCATAAAACATGTGTCACAGGCTGCGAATATCAGTTTTGATTTTCGGCGATATGTGTCTACCCGGTTGACCTGACCTTGACCCTGACCTATGCTTGACTGACCCCTACATGGAGCTGACACTCTTGTAGGCCTTATATGATGGATTGTGCACCGTTTTGACAGAGTTTATGACGGGAGGCGCCCATTGTGAAGTCCTGAAGTCCATGCTACTGAAAGTCCGATTTCAGGTGTTTGACCTGACCTTGACCCGACCTGTGACCTCAAAATTCAACTTTGAAGTACTCATCTGAAGCGTCTCGTCGCGTTCTTTCGTTTGCCGCGTCGTCCGTTTCGCTGCGCCTATTGGTTCTCGAGTTATCGGCTGGGGGCGTTTAACGCCCCCCCCCCCCCCCCCCAGCAAACGGTGGGTGGCGAAATACCCCAGCAACTGCCGGGTTAAGGACCTGCATCGGCTCTGAGGGCTCAAATTGGCCTTATCTGGACTCTGGGGTCCAACACCAGCCCAAGCGTGTCTGAAACAGACTCTTTCCGCAGTCAGGAAATCGCATGCGAGAGCCTATTCAAATACATGGAAGCACGCTCGCATCAATCGCACGCACCTCCCGGATGCGATTGATGCGGGAAGAATTACAATGTATTTGAATAGGTTCTCGCATGCGATTTCCTGAACGCGGAGTGGGTGCCACACTGACCCCTGAGGGTCCCATCCTTGCCTCAAGGACCCGCATTAGCCTTTGAGAGCCTAAGTCGGCCTCTGATGGCCTCAAACTGCCATTTTCAGGCCCTGTAATGGTCTCTGAGGGCCTTAAACTGGCCTCTGAGGGCACAAACCGACCTCTAAAGGTCCCACACCGGTTGCTGATGGCCTATTTTCTGCCTCTGAGATCCAAGACTGACCCTTTTGTGCCTCTGAGGGCCCCGTACTGGCTTCTGAAGGATCGATGCCGGTCTCTGAGGACCAATGTCAGTCTTATAAGGGTCTCACACTGATATCTGAGGCCCACATTTGCCTCTGATGGCTCCAAATTGAGGCCCTATTTAGTCCCTAATCAGCCTATAAGGTCTCTGATGGCCCTATTTTGTTGTCTGGCTGGGGACCCATGGCTTACACCTTAAGGCGTCACGCACTGGCCTCTGAGAGCCCACATCGGCCTCTGGGGTTCCATACGGGTCTTTGAGGCCGCTATGGCCATGGGCCTCTGTAAGCTAGCACCGCCCCCCCCCCCCCTCCGAGAGTTGGCAAAGTTGCCAAGTTGCCCCCACCCCCAAACGCCAAGTCTGCTACCGCCCCTGCATTCACATGCATCCATTGTAAAAAAAAATAACTTGCACTGCAGTGATTGGGGGCTGGGGCACTGGCTGCTAGCAAGTTTTTTTTTTCCGGGAAACCGAAGTGGTAGTTCCTACCGGACGTCTGGCCGGACCTTTATTTTTGCATTTGCTTCTGGGTGGGCAAATCGACGCCACTGGGTGGGCAATTGTGGTGACTGGGTAGGCATTTGCCCACCCAGTGGGTATGTTAGAGGAGGCCCTGGTGTTTTGATTTTCTCTAATGCCGGTGGCACCCGATTGATGGAGCACCAGCGAGCGCTCAACGCCCTCTACGGCGAGCGCCAGGTCAGGGCCGCAGCGCCCTCTAGAGCAGCGCCGCTTCAGGGCCGGTCACCGGTCAGCAGCGCTCTTTAGACCCTGCTTCAGAACCGGACAGCAGCATTCTCTAGAGCAGTCCCGCTCCACGATCGGACAGTAATTCTCCCTCCACTGTTCTCAGTGCCAGGATCCTGAACAGTAAACGGTTAAGCGCTGGACGATTTCGTTGGACGTCTCGGAATTCTCAGCGTCCCGGGGAGCTTTTTGAGCCTTTTACAGTGCATAAGTGTACGCACTACGTGTAACACCATCGACTAAGCAGGGCTGCGGAGTCGGAGTCGGAGTCGGAGTTGGAGTCGGTCGGAGTCGACAGTTTTGCCCGGAGTCGGAGTTGGAGTTAACGCTGCGTGGCTCAACGTCATGCACTGCACCTATATATGATTGACGATACTACGCTCGAAATAAGATTTTGTCGAAAAAATGTCATTTTGCTGTTGTGGACGAACGTTTTCAGCGAGACAAGCAGAAGACAGTGGATTCCCATTTCCCAAGAACCTGCGTTGTAATTCTGCATGTTATTTTTAACGCATATTTGCAACGTAAAGCCTTGGAAGTTGGAACGCACAAGGGATCGTTTCAGGCAAGATAAAACGTCTCCATTATGAAATTCAATATCATGGTATTGATTACGAGCGAGCGAGCGCAGCGAGCGGAGTGAGTCTTTTCAATAGGAGTGAGACAGGGTGCGCTTTTATCGCCGTGCCTCACCAATATGTTTTTATACCCGCTCATCCAACAGCTCGATGACTGTCGCTTGGGCGCCACGCTGTATGGCCACCATATCCCAGCAGTTGCATATGCTGATGATATTCTGATTATGTCTAGTAGCGCACGCGATCTTCAATCAATGCTTCATATCGTCTCCTCCTTCTCAGTGTTGTGGAGGATAGATTTTGTACATGTGAACCAAAGCTTGACCAAGAGTCACAGCTTTATATTCGGGGCCGAGTTCCTCTCTCGGACGCCTCAGTGGCAGCTATGTGGACAGATCCTGAAGCACCGACAGGAAACCACACACTTGGGTGTTGAGCTGCGCTCCCAGCTACACGGTGCCGATCAGGTGACTGCCCGAATTCAGCGGAGCAGGGGTGCGTTCTTTGGCCTAACGCCGGCCGGCATGTTTAATCAGCACCTCTCCGCTGTTGATAAGGCATTTCTATGGCGGATGATTGTCGCTCCTGTTCTGATTTATGGATGTGAGGTCTGTTTTTTAAGCTCTGGAGATATTGCTCGCCTCGAAGGCTGGCAAGCCTCGGCGGTCAAAAGCGCGCTACGCCTACCGCGCACTGCCCACCACTCCGCACTAATGGCGGCACTTCGCATCCCAAGTGTACAAGCTCTCGTTCGGCGGTCTATTTTTCGCGCTACTCAAAACGCTTTTCGTGGCCAGCACCGCCTCCGTTGTGTGCTGGTGAGTAGCCTGGCCCAGTTGGCGACCAATGCGAGATTCGCGGAAACATCTGCTTCTATTGTGTGCCATCTAATGTCGCTATGTGGGGGAAACTTCATGAGGGTACTGGAGGCTGCCAGCGGTCATATACACGGAGACTGGGTGCACACGCCCAGGCCCGAGTGTGGCCTTGCGGACTCGCTCAGCTGGCTGATGGACAGCAACAGCGCCGAGTCATGGCAGCTAGTAAGTTTTGTCCTCAAAGGATGTCAAATAAATATGATGATGATGATGATGATAACGGAAAAATCTCAGTATGAGCGGCTCGGCCCGGCCCGGCCTGTAACGCTTTTGAGAGGCTTATATCTCAGCAACCGCTGGACCGATTGGCCTGCGGTCTTTTTTGCTGGGTAAGCCCCATTCCTTCTACCCCGTAATTGACTACTTTTGATGCATCTCAGTGACCGTCGTGGCACGTGCCACGTGAAAAGTCAAGGGTGTTCAAGCTGTTTTGCAAAAGTAGTGATTTTGAGAGGCCCATATCTCAGCAGCCGCTTGGGCGATTGTCTTGCGGTAATTTTTGTAGGGTAGCTGCATCCCTTCTACCAAAGGTCGGATATTCTTGATCTATGTGAGGGACCCCCACTGCACGTGCAAAATGAAAAAGGAATAGGTGCCAAATTTGTTCCCATTTTAATAACTCGGTAATTACTGGGGCGATTTCGCTGAAACTTGGCATACAGGTAGGCACCCACCAGGCAATGCATTCCCATGTGTTGCGGTTAGGGTGCTACTGCACGTGCGCACGTGCAGGGGGCGCTCCCAGATCTCGAGAACGGCTGGGCCGATTGCGCTCAAATTTGGTACACGGTTGGGGACCAGTTAGTAGGGTGCCGTGCAGAAGTCAGTTTGGACCTCTTTTGCACGTGCGCACAAGCAGAATGCCGCTTCCAGATCTCAGGAACGGCTGGGCCGATTGCGTTCAAATCTGGCACACCGCTAGCGACCGGTTAGAAGGGTGCTTTGCACAAGCCCGTTGGAAGTACCCTCTCGCCCTTGCGCACGTGCAGGGCTCACTATCTCGCTCGCTCGTTCTTCGCCCAAAAGGCGTTTTACTGGTTTTAATAGAACCATCCGGAGTCGGAGTCGAAGTTGGAGTCGGAGTCGGAGTCGATTTTTTAAGCCGGAGCCGGAGTCGGAGTCACCCTAAAATCCATCGACTCCGCAGCCCTGCGACTAAGACACAAATCGAAATTCATGCCACATCTCACTTCTCCGCAAAACCTTGACCCCACCAGGAAATGTCAGGGCACTAGACACGGGTCACGTCACACATGACCTCACTCAAAAAAATATTGTTATGAAAGGTGAATATGTCCATAAAAAACATTTATTCATTACAAGTACTGACATATAAAACACAACATTCTGTATTTAACAACAACAAAAGGTCTGCTGGTGACGCTATTGGTCCGACTCGTCGGCGGCCTCCTGGTCCCTCTCCCGTCCGTAAGTGCCCGGCGGACTGTATCCGCCGAACGGCGTGTGACCTCCGATGTGAGGTCGGCCAGCGAACCGGCTCGAATCGCGCCCGAACCGACCTCCACCGCCCTCCGCGTCCAGTCCATCACCATGGCCACCCAGCAGCGCCTCCAGGTTCAGGTAGGGGTTGCTGGAGCCTGCCGAGCCGCCGCTACCCGGCACACTGTACCCGCCATAGGCCGAGTGGCCCCCGACGTGAGCTCCGCGGAACGACCCGCCCCCTGCGGAGACCCCCGGCACTCCGGAGCCGCCGAACGAGGGTCCGGAACCACCGAATGAGGGTCTAGAGTTGCCGAACGTCGCCCCGGCGCTACCAAACGTCGCCCCGGAGCTGCCGAACGCCGGCCCGGAGCCGCCGAATGTCGCCCCGGTGCCGCCGAATCCAGCTGCGTTCCCGTTATACCCCGCGCCCGGCCTGAAACTGCCCTGGCCTTGTCCTGTAAACCCAGATGCTAATGGTGTATATCCATTGTTAGCTCTGGTAAACCCGCCCCCGTTCCGACCGAATCCATTGTATCCTCCGTTGACGTTGTTGAGCCCGGCCGGCCTGTGGCCGCCCCGTGCCCCTCCAGTTGCTCTGGTGAAGCCGCCGGACTGTCCGCTGAGCCCGTTACCGCTGTAGTCGGCCGCTGCGAGGGCGTACTGGCCGTTAGTCAGCGTATACTCGCTGGCCACGCCGTTGAAATCACGCTGCGCGGAGGAGGCCGGCCGGGCGCCCGAGAAGCCACCGTAGCCGGGCGCTCCGCCCCGAGTACGGACCGTGTTGACGAACGTGCTGCCGATGGTTCCGTGGTTCCGCTGGTGACCTGTGTCGGCGGCGGCAGCAGCCAGCAGCAGCAGTAGAGGCGGCGTCTGTAACAAGACCCAACGATCACAGGGCGTCACGGACCGATCGAACGACCCGCTCATCACTATAGGCGTCACGAATCGTCCGTTACACGGCCTTACAGACCGACTGAAAACTCTGTATCATATAGCCCCGCTTGCTCTGAACCGTCGTACCGCGGCCGGTAGCTTACACTCACTACCCCGTCACAGGGTTCACATTTATACCGCAACTGACAGTTACGGACTGTCACGGTGTGTTACGTTGTTTGTAACAGAAGGCCACGAATCAGCAATTCAATTCCTGCGTGCTTTTGTCGTTGAATCAATTAGCATGTTTGTACCGATTCGCCTGAACGTTGAATGAAAGAAATAGTAGGTACATAAATGAATGGATGGATGAATAAACAAATCAATGCAACGATAAAATGCTTTTAAAGCAATAAGAATAAGAAACGCTGCGGTAGCAAAAAAGGAACGACGGCATACATAGATAATATAAGATGAATGTAAAACATGAGTGAGTAAACATTATAAACGGTCTTCAGTGAACTAAAACGAAACAATGTAGCTCCAGCACAGTCATACCTTTCCCAGCAGCTTCATGACCAGGCGCTCGGTGTTTCACTGTGCGTGTCTAGACCACGGCTGGCTTATATGTAGCAACCAGTTATCATTCACTTTCGAGAGGCGCCCCTCCGACGGGGAACGGCAGCGGGCCAGTTTTTCGGCCCGGCGCGGCGGCCGCGGTGCGCGACTGCACGGAGTGCGCTATACGCTGCGGCAGCTCCGTGATCGGAACGGCGCTGCCGGGGCAATTAGCAACACTTCCTCTACGTCGGCTCCTCGGCCAGCCAGCTATCAGCACTCAGCAGTACCTAAGTGGCATGTTCGAAGCTGGTTCGAAGGGTCGTCAAAAACTATGCACGAAACATTTTTGTCTTTGTTGAGTCAGGCCGAAGGTCAGTATGCCAGAGGTCATGGAAAAGTCAGGTTTTCCTTTGGACGTTCTTTGCCACATTGCCTATAAAGTTATAACCCACGAGGCACGAAGGCCCGGGTCATATGAGTTTTTCGTCAATAACTCCCGATCCAATTGAGCTAGTGAGTTGGAAGGAAAAGCCACTAATGGACTCAGAAAGACCTGCCGAATCGAATGATATGCGATATGACCTCTTTCCACCAGCTTCGTGACCTAGGGGCTCTGACCTGACCTGACCTTGACCAAAGAAGGTCACACCTTAAGTTGACCTCATCCGAACAAAAAGTATGCCATTCGATGCACCTGAACAAGGTGATCACGATGACGCCAAAATCGAGGCTCTACGGCCGTTTATTGCAGACTGCAGTTATTTATCAAAAACCGAGCCCGTGCCTTGGGTCACTTGACCTGGCCTCAGATGTCACCGGTTAACCTGAGACCTTAAATGAGTTAAAATCGAGTACCAGTCGCTGCGTCTCGTAACGGCGCACACGCTCGTTTTTTTTCCGCGAGGCTCTAGCTCCATCAGGATTCAGGGGCGAAACGGCGAGGGGGGTCGTATCAACCCTTCCCCTCGGCTGGCGTGTATGTAATTGTAGAAAGGCAAAAGGTCCGGCGAGGGTTAAATGTAACCAGCAGACGTAACGTTATCTTTGTGTCAAAGACCGCTGTTGAGTGCGCCCTATCTATTGCGCCGTCGCCCGTCTGCTTGTTGGTATTGGGCACGAGGAGGCGGGCTCGCGGCTCTCAGATCTGTGACCTTGGGCCCGCAGTCAGCTGTTGTTGGGGGTGCCCGGCCTCGCAGGCTGTGGTGGAGACTCGAGTGGTCCGCTGAAAGCTGTTTCGGCCGCCGTGCCGGTGTGTCTGCGGTGTTGTCCGCCAGTTTGTGCGTGCGCTGGTTCGTGTTGGAGAGCAGTGACCGAAGAAATGAAGCTGGTTGTAGGTTACACTCGCCGTTGCATCGCATACAACGTGCCCGTGTAATTGCTCGTTGCCCGTTGGCTACAGTCCAAGTCGTGTTTTGTTTGCCTTTGTGTTGCATAGTTAGAATCGATTTTTCTGTTACGAGAGGACGGATATCCGCTGTGGCAATCTATGTAGCCTCAGACCCGTTCATGAGAGAGTAAAAGTTATTGATGGACCAAAGAACTGCGGACATCCTGTACACGATTGTTACACGCCGCGCCGGTAACCGCGATAAAAAGTTGTCCGTCGCTCAGAGTTCGGCGTACCACGCCGGCCGCCAGACAAAACACACCTGCGTGGCTGGTCTGCCGGACAGGAGACACATTCCCTAGTGCCGCTTTCACAGCCCGACCGGATCCGCTGAACAAATTGTACTTGACTGATTAATTCAGCGTCCTTGACAATGTCAGGCACTCATGCCACGCACCGGCCTAAACTTCAAGATTTCGCCATGTCGTCGTTGCATTTTTCTTAGGATGTGAAGTCTCACAAACATAACAGCTTTGTGGTTATTTCAGTGGCTCCGCTTGTATTTTTTTTTTTTTGTGAACGACTTCATCACTAACACGCCTGTTTGTTTTTCCTTCTTTCAAGATTGGCTGAATTTCTCAACGGGAAGTGCGGCGATTTCTTCGCCTGTCAACGTTAAACCTGGTCAATGAATCAATAATGAAAATGTTGCTATTGATAACGGCCTCAGCACTGTTGTGCTGGTCATCAAGTTTGGCCGGGGATCGGCCCAACATTGTAGTGCTGCTGGCCGACGATCTGGGGTACGGCGACCTCAGCTGTTTCGGTAACCGGTCGTTCAGCACGTCTCACCTGGACCGTCTGGCGGCGTCTGGCGCGCGGCTGACCCACCACGTGGCGGCGGCGGCCGTGTGCGCGCCCAGCCGGACGGCGCTGCTCACCGGCCGCTACCCGGTCCGCACCGGCATGCAGGAGTCCCGCGGAGGCCCGCCGGTCGTGCGCAACGTGTTCGGCGCCGGCGGCCTGCCGCAGACGGAGCGGACCTTCGGCCGACGGCTGCAGGACGCCGGCTATCGCACACAGTTCGTCGGCAAGTGGCACCAGGGCTGGTCGTGCCGCGTCTGGGACGACCAGTGCCACGGGCCGCGCGAGCACGGCTTCCAGACGTTCTTCGGGCTGCCGCTGACGCTGCAAGAGGAAGAGGACGTCGACCCGCCGTCGCGCCGAGAGAGGGATGGTCCGTTTGTGAAGCACGTGCTGTCTGAGGTGCTGAGGGCCGGAGCAGAGGCCGGTGACGGCTCTAAGGGCAGCTGCGAACGGCCTTCAGCCACCAAGCTGTGGCACCTCTGGTTGGACATGACTCGTGCGACGTACTATGACGCAACACCACGCCGCGAGTGGTGGGGCCACACACTTGTCATGGACAAGTTTCTCAATCACATGCTGGTGCGGAACGGTGAGATCAAGTCGTGGCCGTACCAGCTGGTCGGCCTGACCCAGCGTCTGCTGGACGAGTCGCAGCGCTTCATCCGCGGCCAGGCGGCGCGCGGGGACGCCCCGTTCCTGCTGGTGCACTCGTTCCTGCACCCGCACACGCCGCTGTTCACGGCGCCAGTGTTTGCGAACGCGTCCGGCCACTCTCGTTACGCGGACAACGTGCTAGAAATGGACTGGGCGGTCGGCCAGCTGCTGGACACGCTCCAGGAGGCGGGCGTGGCCGACAACACGCTGGTCTACTTCGCCTCGGACCATGGCGCGCACCTGGAGCTGGTTGGCCGGGACGGACAGCGCGAGGGCGGCACCAACGCGCCCTTCGCCGGCGGGAAGGGCCAGGGTGGCGCCGAGGGCGGCATCCGGGTGCCGGCGATGGTACGTTGGCCAGGCAGGATCCCGGCCGGCAGGGCGGTGGACGTGCCGACCAGCGCCATGGACCTGCTGCCCACGCTGCTGGACGCCGCCGGCGTCGACGACGGAGACGAGGACACCGTCCTGGACGGGGTCAGCATGCTGCCTCTGCTCGAGGGGCGCAGCGACGCCCCCACGCACCGGTTCCTAGCGCACTACTGCGGCGACGACATCCACGCCGTGCGGTACGCGCCCGAGACGGAGCTGGGAGCCGTCTACAAGCTGCGGCTGGCGGTGCCGCGGTACCCCGACCCGGAGGTCGAGCACTGCGGCGTGCAAGATGGCCTCTGCTCCTGCTACGGCGAGGACGTGCTCTGGTTGCCAACGCCGCGCTTATACGAGCTGACCACCGACCCTGCAGAGCGTGACCCCATACCCGAGTCGGACCCGCGCTACGGCCGAATCGTGCCCAAAATGCTGGAGCTTCTGAAGCAGCATCGACAAAACGTCACGGTGGCACCGGCTCAGGTGGCCCGCTTCGAGCTGGCGGCCGTGCGCCCGGAGCTGGTACCCTGGGACCAGCTGGGGAAGTTCAGGGGCCTGGAATGGGACATGCACGGTCTAGATGACTGGAACGAGTTTATAGCTGGCCAAACGTGTCCAGCCAGCGGCCAAGGCGTGTCAGAACATTGTGTCAGACACTAGTGTTGCATTGTGGAGCCAGGCACGGGAAATGAGCGGCATGAGCGTTGTCAAATGTCATGTGACGTGCACTACACTGTAAAAAAAAATCTTACAAGCCCCTTGTATAGGAAAACCGCTGGCGCAAAAATGAGCATGCAGCGACGTGTAAAAATCGCCTCATATTTAGCTAGTAAGAGGGTACAAGCTTGTTTCGTTAGTAAATGACAAGCCCACGCCTCATAAACCGAGCACCCCCGTGTCAGCCCCTCGTTTCGTTATTCGGTACCTCGTTTGAAAACGAGGGCAAAACCAGCAGATCGGTACGCCGATTAGGCTCCTTAGCAGGACTCGCCTGGTAACCCAACCAGCTAGCGCCTGCTATTGCTGCACAGTAGTAATACTAGCTCAATTGCGTCACCCCCCCCCCCCCCTCCTTCTCCCCCAGCCGCCCCTCCGACTGGTGGACGACCCGGCCAACGACAGCCACGACAGCGTGCCAGCCACGTTACAAAAAAACATACACAAAAATAACGTTTATTACTTATTAGCATACGATACAAAATATCTAAATATATACATATTACAATATCATAGCGGAGTGGTGCAAAAGCTGATTTGAGTCAACACCAATAACATTCACAAAATAATACGGTTGCATGAGACACGATCGAGCACTTCCACGGGCTTTGACGCAACGGCACTTACAACAGGCGAGTGAGCAAGTTGATCCTGTCATGTCACGTACATTGTTCACTGTGCAGTCCATCAAATATTTGCCATACTTTGCAGATTCAAGCAAGTTTTTTTTCTGGGCGAGGCTTACCAACAGAAATATCGCTGGCTTCCGGTATACCTTCATGCCTCAGTCTCCCACAACTTTAAGCAACTCTGCAAACAGAAAAGAAAATTACTGCTGATTTTAAAATATCAGTGAGGATGGCTTTATTATCTACATCAACTGACTTTTGTATAAGATAAATCAATGTGAGGCAATATGTGTAGCTTACACATTTGGAAAAAAGGCTAGACAGCAACTGAAAGAAAGTCCGTCTTCCAACAGTCGGAATTCAAACAAAACAGTGGCCCACAACGGTCAAGGGGTGAATTCTATGACGCAACATGTGTTCAGAATATTACAAAATAAATAAAATGTCCCCCATTGCTACGTAAATATCATACAATATAACGTACCTTCGAAATATCCCAGCCCGAGAACTTCACAACGCACCGTGCCACAACACAACCGCACCAACCGCCGGCAGCCGCAGAACTGAACAATGGCGGCCGGAAATGACGGCCCCGCGCCGGAAGTGAAGGACGCGTTTTAGAAGCAGTCTCAGACTCGTCGCTGGTCACCGTAGCAGGGATTTATGAGGCACTACCGAATCAAAGTCGTTTCGCCTCATTCGGCAACACGAAAACCTTACCAGGACTAGTCCGATGATGAGTATCCGACTAGGTGGCGTGTGCGCAGGATTATATTTAAAGCACGTGCAGGGCGGTGCCTCATTAGCCGACATAATAATAATATGACACGATAATGAAACACGCATGTAACTAGCATGCAACAAGCTTCTGGCGGATTTAATTATGAGACTATGCGTAGTTTTCCGACACAGCGCGAAATCTGTTGATCAGCAGGAAGGGGTGTTAGGGAAGCATTTAAGTTATTAGGTTACCATTTGTAACCAATTGTTTCACGAGGCCACTCTTTAACTAACAACCCTCAGGCTGATAATCCCTAGTGAAAAAGTCCTTAAGGATTTCGCCAGAATCCCCACAATCCTTAAGGATCCATAAGGACCCATATGGATCAGATATGAAATCCTTAAGGATTCTACGGACCTTCTAGAATCCTTAAGGACGCATTCGCCGATCCGTAAGGATTTTAGGGCGATGTTTGGTATCCTTAAGGATCGCTCAGTATTCCGTAAAGAAATTGCTACTTGCTAGTGTCGCTTAATCCTTCAGGATAGCCGATGCAGCCAGTACGTCAATCATTATGGAGTGATTGAATCATCCCTAGTATTATTCCGTGCTCCGTATCCGTTAATATACGGCATGTAAAAACTTTGTGACGGACCAAAGCAGCGTTCGTTATCATCATAGGCGCGGGAACCGGGAGGCGAGGGGGCAGTGGGAGCAGCTTGCCCCCACTTTTGTGCTGCAACTTTGAAATTAAATATTTTCGATTTATGGCATTTCTCGATATTGCGCGCCAAAACCGGTGATTGTGAGCCAGGGATAACAATTTGGCTACCTTAACTCAGAATTAATATTTAGCTGGGATGGTGACCTAAATGTCCACGCTGGGTTCATCCAGACTCCAAATCGGATAGACGAATAGTTCTGATAAAAAGTACCTATTGGTATCTCAACCAAGTGCCACAGTATGCATGTATCGCATGGCCTCAGTGTCACCGGTGCCACAGCGTTTGCGCTGTGCTCTTTCAGAGACCGTACCGACTGGAATTTAGCGACCGCTGACCGTTTCAAAGACTGTACGGGCGGCAGCGGGCGGTCTGATCCTCGCCTCCGGCAAGAGGGGAGACCGCGCGTCCCCCTGTCGCATTGTGCCGCCGCCGCTCGCGGGATGCGGACGAGTCTGTTGAGTGTGTTGTGCCGTCTGCCGTCTCCTCTTCGGGCCATGTAAGTTTCTGCCATGCTGTGTATCAATGAAATAATTGATCCTAGTTATTACATTGATAGATAAAAAAAAAACCGGCGCTGAAACGTTCATTTCAATTAATGGCGATCGTCGTCCTCATTCATTTGGCTGCGGCAAATGAAAGTACTACCGGTAGCGTCTTTTAGCGCCATGCCTTGGAACGAGGCCCAGGTAAATATAATAGAATGGATTCAGGGTAGTAGGACGTAGGTGCATATGTGATGCATTGCTAAATGAACATACACAGGCATCTAAGCTGGAAATGACTGAACTGAATTTACTCAAAGGCTCACCAATATTCTTTGGCTGGGACTACAGTCTAAGCCTAAGAGTAGAATTCGTGAGCCTTTGAGTAGGTATTGTTGATCAGTATATTACTGTTATTACATAGGAATATCCGCCTTGTTACAGGAACGCAGGATGCGAGACTCGACAGGCGACGGGCGACTCAACCGCTCAAGATGTGTAGAATGTGGATGGCGTAGGAGCGGCGGCCGAGGACGTTTGACGTGATAATATCTGAAGCGTGGCTGACTCGAAAAAGTGTAGACTTATCTTCCTGTAAATATGTTTTTTTTTGGAAGTCCTCGGCTTATATTTCTCGGAGCCTCAGCTGCAACCTGCGAATGCCTGGAGCTCCATATATGTATACCCGGTCGCCTGTGGTTGGCGGCTGCTCCATTCCTGGCAATGAAAAATGGCTAAATGTGCTTATTTCAAGTAAAAAATATAGCTTCAGAGACCGTACAAATGTGTTTGCTAGGGTTTGATCCTTACGGATTTATATATCATTCATTAAGGAATAGCCTCAAAATCCTTGAGGATTGTCGCCAAGATCCTTAAAGATTTTGCTACCAATCTTTAAGGAAAAAAAACACAAAGTCCTTAAAGATTATTACCAATGTCCTTAAAGACATTGCTAGAGATCCTTAAGGATTTAGCTAAAAATCCTTACGGATTTTCCGCAGAATCCTTAAGGAATTTCTAACAAAATCCTTAAGGAATTTCTAACAAAATCCTTAAGGATTGTGTATCAATTTCGTACAAGGATTTTGTTAAGGATCGTCCTGAAGAAATACATAGGACTGTCCTTAAGGATTTTTTCACTAGGGATGTCCCTATATATAACAGCAAGGTACAATGGACGACCGTGTAACCCACTCCTTGTCATAGAATTGGCTCGTGACATTTTTTTTTACAGTGTATGTGAATTGATCGATAAGATAAAACTGGTGCATCCTGAATGGAACGAATATGGTGAATGATGAATGCAAAATGACGATTGGTGGGTCAGTGCTACAAATTAAATCCAAAAGTAGCATTGAGAATAGATACCCGGGAGGTAACTAACTACTATCTTTATTGTGGTTATTAGGGACAGGTCATGCATTGTCTTTTTGTTGTGTTTTCAGTCCAAATTTTAGACGCGGTAATTATTTCAGCTAATAATTCATAATGCACCGTTGAATGGTACTTTAATTTCTATATCGCACTCTACAGTCAAATTATCCTTGCTTTCACTGGACAAGTCCGCAGTAGGGCGGCAACATTAGTTTCGCTTCTGGAAAAGTGCTTGACCATTGATGTCTCCTGTTGAGGTCCATTCGGATAAAAATCGAATGACATAAACCGGCTTCCATTAGTAACGCTGTGTAAACAGGCATCAGAGATACAGCCTGTAGTCTAAAAAAGGGTCATTATTTGCACTGCTGTGCACCTGCATGTCATGCACACTGCACAGAACCTACCTATCACAGACGTAACGTCATTAAATGATAACGTCTGTGAACCCGACGTTTGTTTTTGTTCACGATTAGTGTCGATGAGCTAATGGATAATTTAGAACCCCAGTTTAGCGCCGTTATATATCCGATTGCGGCTTGCCGATCCATTCTACTCAATAGCCAACTCCCAAGAGAGCATTGCAAATGAGCTCACCAACCGCACACCATTTAATCCCCTCAGAAAGCTGCTCACGATGTCGAGCCCCAGGGCGACTCGCAACTGGGCTCTGGTTACCGGCATTTCAATGTTCTGCCATCTAAGTCACGGAACACGTTTATCTTAACGCCACATCGTCACTAAACGTTACCCATTTATTAGTCGCATACCTATGTTAGAATTTGTTAACCATTCTCAATTATGTATGCCTGCTCCATGAAGCTAGAACGCCAATCGACTGATGTTGTGACATGGCACGGCACTAGCGAACCACTGGAACCGGGGTAAGTATGTTTTACATATATGTAATAGAACAGCGTTAAATATTTTTTCGCTCATGTTGAAATTTCACACACAGGTCATTCAAGGAGGTCATATCATGAGGTCAGGTCATGACAATCGAGCTAACCTTCATGAATAATAGTGCTGGACATAGCCGCACCGACTGAATGATTGTTTGGAAAGTTTCAGCAGTTGATGAGGTAATGATTGTATTCAAATTGATGCTCATATTAACCCTCGCCCGTATTGGTGTTTTGCCAGACGCGAACGTAAAAAGAGGGGTCCAACGGACCCCCTTGCCGTTTCGCCTCTGATCGAGCTAGAGCTTCGCAGAAAATAACGAGCGTGCTGCCCGTGACGAGAGGAAGCCGATGATACCCAATTTTAAGGTCCTAACTCCTAGGTGATGTTTGATTCAATGTTTTGAATGTTTTCCGGCCAGGTTATCACCTTGACCTGAAATAAATTTTTCAAGCTAACTTTTTTTAGGCCAAGGTACCTCTATCTATTTGATTTAATGCGTTTTGAAAAACGAAACACGATGCTCGACGCCGGTAAAGGCAATATCATGCGGGCTTTTTCCGAAGTTAGCATTCCGAACTTAAAGCATTTTTCCACAAAAATATTAATTTCACATTTTACCCTCTAAGGCTAAACCATTGCTTAGGTCAAAGCTGTTGAGATTTTAGTGAAAAAGCTATAGGCATGTGAATTATTTGATTTTTTACTCGAAATTCGATGCCATGGAACCTCCAACGCGGTTGGAATGATTAATCAATCTTCTTGCTTATAGAAGCACCAGGTAACTGAGGACGACATCAGACATGAAAATCCATCAGAACTTTCGTCCGACAGGGGCTATTTATAGGACTCCGGTGTAACAGATACATGAAGGTTTGTGTTCAGGCGCGGGTGCATGCGGTACTATAAGACCAGATGAGCGGATGCAGGGCTGCTGCACGTCCCGGACAAACAGTGATGGGGTCAGAGAGGAGCGGTCATCCGCCTGACGGGGACTGGGCCGCTGCTCTCCCGCCCTGCACCACCTAATAATAACAAATATCCTGCGTACCGTGTATACCGTCGCCGGCCGAGCCCACAGGGGCGGACTCAGTACCGCCAGACGCGGTGGACATTTAAACGTGAAAAGATGGAGCGGAGAGCTCAGCAGCGCAGTGTTCGGAACGAATAGGGCTTTGTTAGTAACCAACCAGTCGCAATAGAGTCGGAAAGGGACCGAACACAATACAACATACGAGGCCGATTTAATTCATCGCGCGTAAAAACTCGCTGCACGCGTTAGTCATGGAAAAGGACGAAAGTAAATCAGTGCATAAAAACGATTCAGCGAAGTCCGATATAATGCAATTAACCGGTACGTACCTACCGAACAAGAACTACCCAAATTCAGAGTGTTTCCTGTGCAAACATACGTTCACGGGTATTCGAAAGACCAACACTGTGCGGCCATTACTGGTATAATATTACAAATAAACGATTACTTTTTGTAACTGGGATGTTTCTTGCAAGTCACCTTTGTTTTATTATTACGCCCGGGGTCCTGGCCTCGCCGTTGGGTCGCTGACGGCCTGTGCCGACGCCCCTGTGACCGCGGACCGACACTCGGCGGGCGACGGCGGATCGATTCGGAGCTCCGTCCTCACGCTCCAGACGCACCCCAACGTATCGAGGTCCAGGCCTCGGATACCGAGCTGCACAGGTGAGACAGGATAGACAGAGAGCAGAAAAGGGTTCGAGAGGGTCACCGCCAGACGTTCGAAAGTGAAGCAACTGTGTACGACCATTGACACATTACAATTGTTATATAATACGGCTTGCGTGAGTTTTGACAATTGTTTTACATGCTAAAACAACTCAGACTCCCCGACTTTTTCGCATTTCAACCCGATCATCCCTATCCGAGAGCATAAACAAGGTCGCAGACAGCGACAACACAGCCGAACGATCGTGGGTTTTATTATCACACCAGCTACGAGCTAATCTGTATGTTCTAAAAAATGTTGGGATATGGGAAATTTGAATGTATGTTCTTGGCTTCGGAGTTCGGATGGCTGGCTTTTAAAGGGCACAGACACGATCCTTACCCTGGGTTTTTATTGTCTCGAGTGTCGTTTTACTACAGTTGTTGCTCAGGATTAGCCTGAGCTTCCTTGAGCCGTAGCACACAGCAGACGCTGTCTGAGCATATCCGCTCGAGGCTGGGTCGGAATTCATTCGAGCTGTGTGCCCACAGCCACTGGAGTCTAAGTGGACAGCAAAGGAGCCAGGAGCCAAGCCACCTTTATCATGTCGACCGTCGAGTCCGAGAAGCCGCCGGCCGAGTCCGAGCAGCCGCCGGCGGCCGAAGGGAAGCGATGGGGCTCGCGGCCGTTCTGGGGCCTGGGCACCGAACTGGACCCTGACTGGACGCTCACCGAGTCTCAGAAGGAGTTGCGGAGCCAGCTGATTGAGCTGTGCCGCGAGCGCATCCGGCCGCACGCGCTGCACTGCGACCAGACATACACCTACCCGCGCCGATCGCTGTCAGCGCTGGCTGAGTTGCGCCTGCTCGGTCTGCTCGTGCCGCGCGAGCTGGGCGGCCTCGGCGAGAGCCACGCCTGTGCCGCCATGGTGCTCGAGACGCTGGCCCGCTACGGCTGCCCCAGCACGGCGCTCGTCTACACCATGCACCTGGCCGCGTGCGGCATCCTGCTGCGCAGCCACCACCGCAACGACACGCTGCGCGACCTGCTCTCGCGCCTGGACCGTGACCGACTGGTGGGCACCACCGTGCACAGCGATCCGGCCTCCGGTGGACACTTCTGGTACAACATCGCCACAAAGTCGCGCTTCCTGGACGGGGATCGCGTGCGCCTGACGAAGTTCTGCTCCTGGGTGACGTCGGCCGGCCACGCCGACTGGTACATGGTACAGGTCAGCAGTCCGACCCGGGAGCCCGGCGACTACACCCGCTACACCCACTACCTGGTCATGGGCGACGAAGTGCGCGCCAACTCGGACGACTGGCGCGCGCTCGGCATGCACGGCAACATGTCCGGTCCGATGATCGTGGACGGCGTGCTGAACCGCGACCGGCAGATCGGCGAGGACGGTCAGGGCCAGATCAACAACGACGACGGCGCCATCCTGTTCCTCCTGCTGACAGCCAGCGTGTGGAACGGTATCGCCATGGCCTGCCTGGACGTCGCCAAGAAGCACGTGACGCGCAAGACCCACGGCGACGTCGGTCTGCGGGTGTGCGACTACCCGGTGATCCAGGACTACTTTGGCGGCGGCGTGTGCAGCACCAATACCAGTCGACTGGCAGTGGCCTCCGCGGCGGCGGCCATGGACGCCGCGACCGGCAACGCCGACTGGAGCCGCTTCGCCGACACGGACTTCCGGCCGTACGCAGCCTTCGCGCTGTGGGGCTTCCAGCTGAAGACGGCCGCCGCGCAGAACGTGTGGACGGTGTCGGACCGCATGCTGCAGGCCTGCGGCGGCGCCGGTTACAAGGAGGAGCTCGGCCTGGAGCGGCTGCTAAGAGACGCCAAGGCCGGCTGGCTGATGGCGCCCAGCAACGAGGTGGTGCGACAGCTGGTGGGACAGGTGGCGCTACTCGGCCCGGAGAGCCTCGATCTGTGGGAGCAGACCGTCAACCGACGCGCCGTTCACCACGAGCTCGACAAGATGACGCAAGACGAGAAGGAGGAGCTGGGCCGGCGGCTTCTGCGGGAGGCAGAGATGGATCGGCCCGGCGCGCACGACGCCAAGCAGAGCGACTACCAGGACTCAGACTTTGAGAACCCGTTCCACACGCGGCCGCCGACCTACGTGTCCGAGCCGCTGGTGGTGGATGGTGCGAAGGTGCCGGCCGGCCTACACCCGGACACCTACACAGACCTGGTGCTGCTGGAGTGTCGCCAGCTCACGCCGCACATGGACTCCTACCGGTTCCGGTTTTCGGCCGGTGCTGGACACCACGGCTGTCTGCCAGGCCAGTATATTCAGGTGCGTGTGCAGTCGGAGGGCCAGTCGGCGCAAGAGCGGTACTTGTCGCCCGTCTCACGACCGGGTGCCGACGTCGTGGAGCTGGTGGTGCGCCGTGAGACCAGCGGCCTCCTGTCTGCGCACCTACGCGGCATGCGCACCGGCGACACCATCGCGGCGCGTGGTCCGTGCGGCGGCTTCGAGTACCGTCCGGGCTGTCTGGAGCACCTGGTGCTGCTGGCCTCCGGCGCCGGGGTGACGCCGTGCGTGCAGCTGGTGCGCAGCGTGGCCGCCGACCGGGCCGACACCACGCGCGTCACGCTGCTCTACCACGCCGAGCGGCGCGACGAGCTGCTCTTCGAGACGGAGCTGAGCGCGCTGGCCGCCGCCGACCCCCGACTGCGCGTGGTGTTCAGCCTCAGCGACGCGCCCGAGCACTGGGATGGCGAGGAGGGCTTCCTGGACGGCGCCATGCTGCAGCGTCACCTCCCGCCGCCGGGCAGCGGCCGCTGCCGGCTGCTCGTCTGCGGTGGCGCCACTATGACCGTGTCCACGCTGGGCTGCCTGCGCCAGCTCGACTACCCGTCGCGTGCCCTGTTCGTGTACGGCCCATTCGGCGCCGACCTGGTGCGGAAGGTGTTCGGTAGGAGCGCGCCGCTCGGCAGCCACGCCGCCGACGTCGAGTAGCGTCGAAACGGGCGGGCTGGCCGCTGGAGAGGAAAGATATGGAAGGCAGCGTTTGGCTTAGGTACCATAAATACACGGCTGCTGGCTGCCGTGTGACTTTACGCCTATTCATTATTTCTTGACAGTTCTCGTTCGGGCAATTCTTCATCTGAGCTGTTTATGAGTGACGACCAAATAAAAATATCACAATAAATAAACTACACATATGCCTACACGAAGGCGGTAAGACCTATCAAATCGCCGGATACTGTTACTCGCAGATAATAAATGCAGCCTCGTTACTCGTTAGCATACCAGATACCTGTTGGTGGGCCGTCCTAACCGATCTTTAGGGTACCTATTGCTGGCCTAATCGAGACCATACGGCTAGTGAAATCGTATATGGAGAATCGACTGCTGAGCTTTTCGCCTCTATAGGCCCAGTAGTTCCTGAGTTATAGAGTGGCTATTGGATTTAAAAAAAAAACGCTCAGGTGACCTTCAAGATCATTGAGGCCACCTGAGGTCACCATATTCGAAACGGTTGGTGAAATCTTATATGGTACGGTGAATCGACTGGAGATGTTTTGTCTCGGCCAGCCCAGCAGTTCCGGTGTTATAAAATGGCTGCTTTTAGAGGCAACAACACCGTCCGTCGTTTTCACCCTCAGGGTGCTGAAATCCTTCTTCTCCACCGTCCACGCCGCAACCCCCACTCCGGGCTGAACAGGCACCTTCATCTCATGCGGGCTGCTCCCTTGGGCCTTGGAGCGGCACGCTGCTCCCGAGGGAGCGCACCCCGTAGCCGCCGGTGCAGAAAGTGCTTAAAGGTAGTGTGCCACCTTTGAAAGATTTTCCGTTTTATTTTTCCTAGGATAAGAAGCTTCTGTTTTTACCTAATATCGCAAAAAATCAAAAATGGGCCTGGAATAGTGCCTTTTTCGCCTAAAAGTTTATCGGTTTTTAGATATGTATAACAACTGTAGTGGGCTCACCTGCAAACAGGCGTCGGGCAACAATCGCGAATGCGGCGCACTTGTGACAATAAGCAAAGGTCATTATAGTGTTACGACCATACGACGTACGGGAATGAGTTATCAGCTGTCTAATCGTAGACAACACAATGTCGAGCCTTAAACTGTAAGCCTGTATTGGTATTGTTTCTTAAATTTGGCTGTCGAACATTAATTTGTGGTTTGAAATATGATTTTATGTAAAATAATTGATATGAAACAGCCGTCTCTTAAGTTATGACCCCATTACACCACACGCAAGTGGCAGAAATGACAATGATCAGCTGACGCATTTTTCTTGGCCGAAGTCAGAGCGCGCGGCCCGACGCACCACGCGTATTTGGAAATTCCGACCTCGACGAGCATCAGAAGCCACCTAAAGGCCGGGCTCCACTACGCGTTTTTTCCGTGCGTTTTATCCGAGACATCGGTTTTTGCGGGAAATCGTTCCCGAAAAAAAAGTTCGCATCATTGCTCAACATTGGGCAAGCTACACTGGGAACGATGTCACGCAAAACACGACAACTTGCAAATTCCGTACCGATTTTAAGGAAATCTCGGTAAAACGCATGACGATGTCACGCAAACTCGGAAATCTCGTACCTATAAAAAGTTCAATTATTTGAACTTTTCATCGTTTTTTGCGTGATCTCGGCCGGGAAACATGACTTGCGCGCTGCGGCAGACAGTGTGAATGTAATTTTGTGTTTGTTTTTAACGTTGTTAAATATGTTTCCAATTCTTGTGTTGAAGCTAGGAAATTTTTGTAGAAGTTTTTTTTAGTGTGAGATGAGTGAAGAGGATGAGTGAAGGCAAGAAATGATGAACATAGCAACCCTACATATTTCATTTTGCGCTTAAGGCAGTGTCAATGCAGGGGAAAATGGTTTTAATTCAAATAGAAATTGGCGCAGTAGTGATAGGTTGGTTTGAAATTAAATGAACTAGCTGCAACACTTGCGGACCTATAGCTCGGAGGCCGGGGCCAATCGTAAAAATGATTCATTTCTATACATGTATTGCCCAGATTGGAAAAGACACATATGCCGAGTATGTATGTCCTGTGCCATGACGCGTGTTGTGGTATTGGGTTTTTATTGGAACATCAACTAATTCAGACGCTCAAACAGGGGTGAGCGTCCGAGGCACCGGAACACCCCTGGTTGATATAGCCTTGGTCAGTAGATGTGCACAGTGCACACGCGCTTTTTGTAAAAGTGGATTATTTCGGCACAAATAGGCACCCAACTCATTCAGGGTAAGTGATGCAGAAATTTCAGCTCAAAATTGCTTGTGTCGAGTTTCGGCGCATGAGGGTCTCACGGGCGTCCAGCTAGTGTATGGATGTTTTCCAGTCTGGCGCATTGCCATAGGTAGGCGGAATGTTAAAGGTAGTGTGCCAGCTTTCTTGGACCGTATGGAGTTAATGGCCCAGATAAGGAGAACCGGATTTTTAGAACTTATCCCTACCTTCAAAACTCATGGAAACGTCTTAAATTCTTCAAATTTTGAGTACCCCAGTGCGAAATTCGCCCCGACGGGTTGTCGGTCGTACCCCAACCACATTTCACACCACTATGAACAATAAATGCACACACTGAAATCGCTATTACCGATATGCTCATCCAATCAAGTTTCGATAAACCCGTTCATCATCATCTCCTGCGGTTTCGAACACGCCTGTTAGGTGGCTTCTGATGCTCGTCGAGGTCGGAATTTCCAAATACGCGTGGTGCGTCGGGCCGCGCGCTCTGACTTCGGCCAAGAAAAATGCGTCAGCTGATCATTGTCATTTCTGCCACTTGCGTGTGGTGAAATGGGGTCATAACTTATAAGACGGCTTTTTCATATCAATTATTTTACATAAAATCATATTTCAAACCATAAATAATGTTCGACAGCCAAATAAAAGAAACAATACCAATACGGGCTTACAGTTTAAGGCTCGACATTGTGTTGTCTACGATTAGACAGCTGATAACTCATTCCCGTACGTCGTATGGTCGTAACACTATAATGACCTTTGCTTATTGTCACAAGTGCGCCGCATTCGCGATTGTTGCCCGACGCCTGTTTGCAGGTGAGCCCACTACAGTTGTTATACATATCTAAAAACCGAAAAACTTTTAAGCGAAAAAGGCACTATTCCAGGCCCATTTTTGATTTTTTTTTTTGCGATATTAGGTAAAAACAGAAGCTTCTTATCCTAGGAAAAATAAAATGGGAAATCTTTCAAAGGTGGCACACTACCTTTAACCCGCGCCGTGCTGGTGGCCTGAACTTTCCGCCGAGTGCTGGGGGGGGGGGGGGCGTTTTCACGCCCCCGTCTAACTCGGCTCCTGGGCCACGTAGCGACACGCGGTAAGCGGCAATCGAAAGAGCGTCAAAAATAAGGACGAAAACACTTCGGTCATTTTTTGGGTCAGGTCAAAGGTCAGGTCACCAGAGGTCACCAAAGGTAAAATGTTGACTATTTCAACATTTTGGAAACTGCCAACGGCTATCTCGGGAACCGATAGAGCTACAGCGCCGCGGAAAAGCGCATTCGATAGCCCTTTTACAGACCTTTCTGAGTAATGTTCTCAGATTTGAGCTCAGGTCAACGGTTTAGCCTCTAGAGGGCAAAAACTCCAAAAATAGCCGTTTTTACGAAAAACGTTTTTTCGTCAATAACTTTTGACTCATAAGCGCCATGACATTACTTTTGCCAGCATCGTGTTCCTCTCGTCGAGACGCGTCGAATGAACTATTTGTTGACCTTGAAAGGTCATTTTGAAAATTTGACCTCAGGTCAAGGTCATGACCTGACCGAAAAGGGTCATGTTGCATATCAGTCGATCCGTATCGTCGAGCTGAACACATCTGACGTGTTTTCACCGCTCTAGCACGTCTCTATCAAAAGTTATAGCCAAAAAACTGCTGGCGACCGTTCATGACCTGAGATGACCTCAGGGGCACACAGAGGGGTCACAGGTGCATTTTTCCTATTCAGTGTGTCATGTTTACCTATGAACCGATGTTTGAGAGCGTTTTGAACGATATTCGTCCAAAAGAGGCGCATTTCAATTTTCTCCCATTGACTTATAATGGAGAGGTCGCAAAATTGACCTGACCTTAGGTCACAGATATCAAAAATCCGAGATATACATTTTATACATACTGTTACTCATATCAATCGCTGAAAGTTTCAAAGTGATCGTTCAGTCGGTGTAGCTATAGCGAGCCTTTGAACTTTTTCTGAGGTAAGGTCACTTGACGTGACCTGGTGACCTGACCTTGAACGGCCTATGTCTGAAATTTTCACAACATGTGCGGCAGTGTTCGCCACGGGCCGAAAAATCCTAGTCCAGCCCAGCCCAGGCCCATGGGTTAACAGCCCGGCCCAGCCGGAGCCCATTCATGGTAAAAGCGTCAAAGCCCAGCCCGGCCCAGCCCGTCAAAAATGAATGGGTTAAAAATTATTGACACCACACAGCTACCCAAAGGTAGCAAAGGAACAATATTGTGCGAGCCGCATGCACAATGCACATTGCATGCGTGCTTTATGGACTTGTTTTTGAGTCTTGCACGGTAGTAAGTTATGTAGTTATAGTTTTTGTCTCAGTTGCGAACCCCTGACTCCACTTAACAGTTCCTTGCCCAGCCCATCCACAGCCCATCAATCCTTCATATTTGAGGGCCCAGCCCAGCCCGTAGCCCAGCCCAGCCCATGGCCCATTGGGCTGGCCCAGCCCATGGCGAACACTGATGTGCGGAAATGATGTAGGAACACGTGTACCAAAAACGGCGGCGCTGCGCGCCGCCGTTTTTGAGATATTCGCGAAAAACCTGAGGGGGGGGGGGGCGTAAAAACGCCCCCCCCCAGCACGGCGCGGGTTAAGAATAAAAAATCCCTTGCCCTCTTCAGCCACCAGTGGCTAGCTATGAAACAAGTTATGTATTTAAGCAAGTTTATCATGGGTGCAAGGCTAGCAACATGTGCAAGACACTTCAGCATCAAATTCTGCTCAATTTTGTCATTTGTGCCCTTCAAAAAATAAACAGGTACATCAAAAGGAATGTACACGCCGAGCACAGAGGCTCTGGCGTGAGAAAGCCCAGCCTTGTGCCGTGCTGCCATCCAATTGTTGAACATGATTGAACTGGGTGCGGGTGAAGATTGATTGGTGGGTCCATGCTGCTATGCAACAACCTCTGCTTAGTGGGCACCCGGGCTCAAAGCCACCCACTCAATCCTTCAGACAAATTTTTATTAAAGTTTGGTTTACTTTTTATTAAATGTACCTAGCAAAGCACCTTCTTTATAGGCTCAAAATAAACAAAGTGTGATTTTCCGCGTGGTGGAGCCTGGGTTTAATGACAACAATGTCACGTGCTTCAGGATGACAAGCAAAACACGATATCACGCAAAAACCGACAAATTGCAAAACCGATTTCACGCAAAAACCGATGTCTCGGATAAAACGCGCGTGAAAAAAAACGCGTAGTGGAGCCCGGCCTTAACAGGCGTGTTCGAAACCGCAGGAGATGATGATGAACGGGTTTATCGAAACTTGATTGGATAAGCCTATCGGTAATAGCGATTTTAGTGTGTGCATTTATTGTTCATAGTGGTGTGAAATGTGGTTGGGGTACGACCGACATCCGTCGGGGCGAATTTCGCACTGGGGTACTCAAAATTTGAAGAATTTAAGACGTTTCCATAAGTTTTGAAGGTATGGATAAGTTCTAAAAATCCGGTTCTCCTTATCCGGGTCATTAACTCCATATGGTCCAAGAAAGCTGGCACACTACCTTTAAGGGTCGGCCTGTCCATTCGGACGGGCTCTATTCCCTATTCCCCTGATTCCTATTATCCCTCCGGCTCTGAAATGGTCTTGTCAGATCGAAAGGCCTAACCCAACAAAACAAACAAACAAAGAGGCAACAAAACAACGCTCGAAGGTGACCTCCCAAGGTCACCAAGGTCATTTGAGGTCAACATTTTCGAAACGTCGATGCCATTGCATAGGTACGGCGAATCGATTGGTGGCGTTGTCTCGATTGGTTGGTCCAACAGTTTGGGTAAGGTGCCTAATTAGCGACCCCCTTAATTTGAACCGTCATTGCTCACGCTCTGTGGGTGCCACTGTATTACTGGCTTGATTTTCGGAGAGATCGTTCATTTTTCTATTAAAATATAGTCATTTTCTGCCCCAATATTCACTAACTTATTTGTAGTGAGTATTTTGGCAAACCATTGCAAAAAAACGCTAATAGGGAACTATTCCCGATTAGCGACCGGGGAGGGTCGCTAATAAGTCTATGGGTTTCCCCATATTAAAAATGGCAAAAAATGCGACGCCTGAAAATATGAAATATGATCTCAAAAAGGTGACCTATACGCAAAGCACTCAATTACTCGAACAGGAACGTTTATCCAACACATTTGCGTAAGTAAAAACTGATCACGTGATGCACCGAAGGCGAAAAGAAGGCGGAAACCCAAATTTTGCGGGCTATCTCGTATGATATTCGAGGTCCGCGCTGAATTCGGCACCCCTGCAGTCGGTGACGACATTTGGCATCCCCTGCCACACATTGCAAGCTTCAGCAACACCTCATTTTCATTTCTCTCTTTTCCCCTTTCTTTCCCTTCTTGAGCTATTTGCGACCATGTCAGGCGCAAATAGGAAATATGAGTTGCGACACATTTTTAACCAGACATGTGCGTGGATCCGAGAAAATGGATCTGGGATCTGATCCCACGGATCCTGATCTCGGATCCAACGGGATCATAGATCCAGCTCTGTAATTTATCGAGAGATCCGTAGGGATCACAGATCCGAATCTCATTTTTTGCTTGAGATCCAGTGAGATCATAGATCCTCACTTATTTTTTGTCAACACATATATCCCAAAAGAACGCTTGTTTCAACTCACAAACATTCTGTTTTAGTGATTTTCTGTGATCGCACGTCATAATCCATAGGTTTGTGTCACTTACTGGCATAGAAACCCTTTAAAACATGGTTTCAGATGTGGTGCATGGTGGGATCCACTCAGAGCATAGATCCATGTTCTAAATTTATCGTCAGATCATATGAGATCATAGATCCTAGATGTATTTTTCACGCCGGATCCGGTGGGATCATAGATTCCAACTTGTATTTTGCTTCGAGATCCACTGAGATCATAGATCCATCACTCGGATCCATGCACATGTCTGTTTTTAACCATCATGCTGTGCACAGTTGAGCGATTCACTATGGGAAAACGGCAATCAATTGAAAAAGGAATGTCGATTCAGAATAATAAAGGTGTATCATCCTAATGTGCATCGCTTTTCATCAGAGAGGGCCCAAACAAACATACCTACACGTTTTGGATAAGAAACTCGTCATTTTTATTTAAACTCACCTGAAACGTCCCACCAGAAAAATCGACGACCGGAAAATAATTTAATTTTATAACCAAAGTATGGCTGACCTTTTGACGATATTTTTACCCCGTTTTCTCCTGCCAATTTTTCTGTAGGGAGGTAGGTCGCAAATCGGAAAGGGTCGCTAATTAGGCACCTTACCCTTATACTTCCTGAGTTATAGAGTGGCTGTTAAATTCAAAAACGCTGGTGACCCCCCAAGATAATTAAGGTCATCTAAAGTCACCATATTCGAAAAGGCCCACTCGAACTCGCATACGGTGTGCCGATTGGTGATGCTTTCGTCTCGATATACCAGGCCCCAGTAGGTATAACCCGCGCACCGACGGGGGGGGGGGCGGATATCCGCCCCCCTGAGGTTTTTCGCAAATAGCGGGAAAACCGCGGCGCGTAGCGCCGCGAAATTTGGTACGACTATTCCCTCATCAATTTCACACATGATGTGCAAGTTTGAACCTCCTACCTTTTAACCCTATTCCTGGCGGGGGGGGGCCTCAGGAGCCCCCCCCCCTGAGGTTTTTTGGTTATTTCTCCCAAACGCGTTGAGCTAGGAAGCTCAAATTTTCTGACTTTTCCTAAAAGGCTTCTACGCAACATGTCTGTAAATTTTGAGTTGATCTGACCTCAGGTCAGGTCACCAGAGGCGGTTTGGTGACCCTACCTCAGAAAAGTTTGCAATCACGCCAGAGCTAGAGTTTTTGACCGATCAATTTCTTCTCTTCAGGCTTTAGTTAGGGTACCAGTATGTGCAATTTGTATATCTCGGAATTTTGATATCGGTGACCTAAGGTCAGGTCAGTTTCGCGACTTCCCCATTATAAGTCAATGGGGGAAAAATCAACTCCCTGTTTTTACCACTAAAACGGGTCGGAATGGCCCCATATACCATACATGACTTCATATACGATCAACCTTCACTACCTTGAGGTCTGTTTTGCTGTTGGGCAGCTGTGAGGTCATGTGACGTCATCAAAGGTAACCAAAGGTTTTTGGCCAATAACTCCGTACAGGAACAAGATACAGACGCGTGGATGGTCTCATTGTGTTCAGCTCGTCAAGACGCATCGAATGATATACATGATGACCTCGAGGTCACGTGACCTGAGGTCAACCTTTGACCTTGACCTTTCGAGGTCAACATATATATCATTCGATGCGGATTGACGAGAGGATCACGATGATGCCCTTAGTTTGTTCCTATCTTGACTAATTCGAAAGTTATTCGAGAAAAACTCTCTCCATATCTAGCGCCGCCATTTTGAGTTTTTCGACCCCGGTGACGTCATCTTTGACCTGACCTGAAAATGACCTTAGTAAAAATTGTAGTTCTTGACCGTGCGTATCCGATGCCGTTTACCGCTTGTCGCTATCTTGCTTCGTTCTCGAGATCTCAGGGGGGGGGCCGAATCGGCCCCCCCCGCCAGTTTCTTGTCCCGGCGGAGCCCGCCAGGAATAGGGTTAAGGTCAGGTCACCAGGTCACTTTGAATGACCCAACCTCAAGCCACTTTTTTGCAACTTTGTCACCGTGCCAGAGCTACAGTAGATGTCGGAGGCCTTTGAAAGTCGCAGGATGTTATTAGGTCATTAGTAGCTACAATTTGTATATCTCGGAATTTTGATATCGGTGACCTAAGGTCAGGTCAATTTCGCGACCTCCCCATTACCTACCTAAGTCAATGGGGAAAAAATCAACTCCCTGTTTTTACCACTAAAACGGGTCGGAATGGCCCCATATACCATACATGACTTCATATACGATCAATCTTCACTACCTTGAGGTCTGTTTTGCTGTTGGGCAGCTGTGAGGTCATGTGACGTCATCAAAGGTCACCAAAGGTTTTTGGCCAATAACTCCGTACAGGAACAAGATACAGCCGCGTAGATGGTCTCATTGTGTTCAGCTCGTCAAGACGCATCGAGTGATATACATGATGACCTCGAGGTCACGTGACCTGAGGTCAACCTTTGACCTTGACCTTTCGAGGTCAACATATATATCATTCGATGCGGATTGACGAGAGGATCACGATGATGCCCTTAGTTTGTTCCTATCTTGACTAATTCGAAAGTTATTTGAGAAAAACTCTCTCCATATCTAGCGCCGCCATTTTGACTTTTTCGACCCCTGTGACGTCATCTTTGACCTGACCTGAAAATGACCTTAGTAAAAATTGTAGATCTTGACCGTGCGTATCCGATGCCGTTTACCGCTTGTCGCTATCTCGCTTCGTTCTCGAGATCTCAGGGGGGGGGGGGGCGGTCATCCGCCCCCCCGTCGGTGCGAAGTTGGCGCAGACCCCCGTCGGTGCGCGGGATAAGTTTCCGAGTAGTAGAATGGCTGCAATAAGCTTGAAATCGTTAAGTTGTGTGGGAAACTTTTCCCCTCCAACGCGGCCAGGCCGTGGCTGCCGCCGGACCCGGCGGACCGCTACGCGACCGCATCGTCACCCCACCAGCTGATGGGCGTAGAACCATCCCTTCCGCCCCGCATTGCCGGAGGCCGGGGGCGGAATGCGGCAGCGGCCGCGCTGGGCCGCGCAAACATCCGCAGGGGAGGACGCGGCGCGGCGAAACCACGGAGCGGCGCAGCAGCGCGACCAGCGGAGAGTCCATGAGACCCAGGTGCCTCCGCCGGCGCGGGTGGACCCAGCCGGGCCACCTGGCACCGCCCCTGCGAGCTCATCTTCTTCATTACCTGTTACGATCACCTGGCCGGCCGACTCCCACCGTTCGGCGCCGCCTGTCACTTGGAGGGGAACAACAACAACCCCTCTGGGCAGCAATCAGGGCAGGCCGGCGGCCGGACGGACCGTTACTAGGTCGAGTCGGCGGCACCATCTACTTCCTCGTTCTGCTCTGCACTGTTCTGCTCTGCACTGTTCTGCTCTGTCCTGTTCTGCCCTGCCATGTTCTGTGCGCTCTGTCCTGCGGGACTAGCCTTGCGTGCCGCGCCCGAGGCAAATGCCAACCGCCGGAGGCGCGGTATATAAGCTGAGTCCCGCAGTGATCTCTCTCTCTCTTCGCGCTCCTCGGGAGCTACGTATTGGAGTCGACTGCCCGTGCGCGTTGTGCGTCCCTCATACCTACGCACTGCAGCCATGTAAGTACTAAGTAGAAGGGTGCGGCCCTTATTGGGGCTTTGTATATAGCCGTGACCAGTGTAATAATGTGTGCGCATGTAAATAATTACCTTGAAAACTTGCACAGTCTGTTGTGGGACAAATGGTGGGGGAGAGAATGAACGGCGAACTGAACTGAACGGCACCGAACTTGGCAAACGTAACATAGAGCAGCTCGGAAGCTCAAACAAACGCTACCTTTTAAACGACACAGTTAACTTCGGCACGCCACGCTACCAATAGTAATCCCAACCGTAGCAATGATAGAAATAAGGAACGTAACAACTTATAGAGAGAAAAAATAGTTTCACAGTGGTGACAGCGGTGGGATTTAAAACTGACTTGTTTTATTTTAAGCACGCCTAAGGCGAGCTAATTAATTTATTGTCGGTTCCGCTCCAAACAGGGCGGCGAACCCAACGTTTTTTTTTTTTGCAATATATTTCTTAGATTGTGATTTTGTTTTCCCTTTAAATGTAAGTCATGTATGTAGGTATCGGGCCGTTCATGTTCGCAGTGGTTCATCTCCCCCAGCTGTCCCGGCCAGTGGGCCAGGCGGGCGGCTCGGCCCTCGCGGTCAGTCACCGCGGGGTGCCAGCGCCGGCTCGCGGCGGTCCCGCGGCAATTAGGCCCTGCCCTCCGCTCTGTCTGATTGGTGTAGGGACGGAGGATGGGCGTGGCCAAATTGAGTGTGGGGCTGAGGGGTGCCTCTGAGGACAGTGTATGTCCAGGTGTTCTTCCGCGTCATTGCTGAGGGTTCTCGGGCCCATTCGTGCATTGTGCTGAAAGCAACGAAATTTGAGGTGAGCGATGGAATTCGCACTTATCGAAGTCGCGATTGCCCTACCAGTGACCCGGGACGATTGTTTATGAGGGACCGGCTACCGTCTCATATTTCAAGTGTACACGACCCAAAGCCCATCAACTGAGCGGTAGGCCAAGCGCGGCTTCGGGCCAAACGTTGTGTGGGGTGAAGCGCTGCTCCACGCCTGATTGGGACTGCAGCCCATCAGAGCAAAGTGGGCATATAAACAATCGTCCTGTGTGAGTCAATACCCGACTAGAGATGGGTTAGTTTGGGGGTAGAGGCCGTGAGTCCATGACGCTACTCGTTTTATTTTCGCTTTCAGCACGATGACCGATCCGGAGTCCCGAGAACAACAGGCGGGAGGCACCACCGGGACCAATATGTACTCGGAAAATTATTACACCCTCCCATCAGAACGCCCGCAGCCGGAAGCTCCTGTGGATTCGTCCGGAGCCCCAGGTCAGTCCGGTATACGGGGAACTGCTGGAATGGGCGGTGTGGTGGAAGGCGTCCGTGCACTGCAGTTAGGAGAGAGCAGCGGTCAACACGTAGAGTCCTTTTTCTTGCGTCAACTGGGTCATTTTAAAGGAGAATACAACGGCGAGGCCATTACAGAGTGGACCGATAAAGTAGAGTTGTTGAAGGAGATCGCGGAAGCCTCTGATGCGGAGATTTTGCGTGTCCTTCCGCTCCGCATGTCATCTCGTGCGGTTCAGTTCATGAGAGGATTTCTAGCCTCAAAACCAGTCTCAGAGCGAACCTGGAGAAATGTTAAGAGTGCCCTTCTGACCCAATTCGGAGGGAAAATCGAACCCACTCAGCTGGTCAACCAGCTACAGCAGGCGAAAATGGGAAGGGACACTCCCGTCCGTGAGTTCGCCCTCCAAGTAGGTCGACTCGCTCGACTAGCATACCCCGAGTTATCAAGTGATCTTGGTACCCCCGAGCAAAAGAAGCTCCAGCATACCATGTTTAACAGAATTGCTCTTGAGCAGTTCACGGCCGGGCTTCCTCCGCTCTTGAGCCGTCCCATTCTGGAAAACCGTGTCACAGACTTCCAAGATGCTGTTGAGTTAGCGGCACATCATGAAGAGATAAATGCCAGATACATGAAAAAGTCAACCATTCACGCAATGCATGAATTCGAGGCAGGGTCTCACCCAAACCAAGCTCCCAACAGCAACAGCTCCGGGAGAAATAGCTCGGGCCCTGAAAATTCGCGTGGTCGCAACAGGACCCCAGGCCGGCGCGGTAAACCTTATCGCAACAATAAGCCAGTGATCTGCCATCGGTGTCATAAGCCAGGGCACTATAAGAGGGATTGTCAGGTCGGGATAGGTTGCGAGGTCTGTGGAGAGGCTGATCACATTATGGTTGACTGTCGCAACATTGTTTGCGCCCTGTGCAAGGGAAACGGTCACCCTGCCAACAAGTGTCCTTCAAAAAACTCCCAGGGCCCAGCGCCGAGCCGGCCAAACATCAGCTGATGCAGCTCAAGGTCGGGCGGCGCGAGCTGTATGCTCTGGTGGACAGTGGTGCTCCGGTTTCACTGCTCAGTGCGGAAACTTATCGCGAGCTACAGCCAAATGGTGACGAATCTCTTTTACCTCCTAAGGTAAACCTAAAATCAGTGACAGGTCAACAACTCGAAATATTAGGCACGGGAGAGTTGCTTTTTGAGATTTCCGAAAACGTGACGGTGAAGCATCAGTTTCAAATAGCAAAAAATCTACAGCCTTATGAAGCGATTCTAGGATTAGACTTCTTGGCCGACCCCAGTCGACAAATTCAACACGAGTTGTCAAACTACGTCCTTACATACAACAAACTTCCCATTCGACTTTTCAACTCGGATCACCACCGACCATGTGCAACCGTGATACCGATCAGGGCTAAAGGACGACACCAGTACGTTGGGCCCCATTCGGTAACATTCATCAGAGTTGAGGCCGAGAAACCCACACCGGACTCTGCTCTGGAAACCGCGGAAAATTTTGAGTTTCAACCTCACATCGTTTCCGCCGGAGAACCTCAGCCCATTCCGTGTTTGTTCGATCATCAGCAGTACCACTCAAATGACCTTTTTGTAGGCTTTCTCAATATGTCTGACCAGGGCGCGGTCATCAGAAATGACGAACCAGTTGGATTTTTGACCTCAGTCAGCGCACAGCCATTTCATGACCTTGTGGCCACCGTCATCCGAGAGAGGGAGAAGGGAGCTCCCGGCGAGAAGGAGACAAAAGGTTCAGCTCATGAAACCGGCACAGCTGGTGCTGATGCATTCCTGAAAGCATTCGAGTACGGTGAGCTGACTTCGGCTCAGCTCAGCGATGTACAAAACATGCTACTTGAGTATCGCGATTGTTTTGTCATGGATGGAGATGAATTGGGTCTGTGTAATCGCGTGATTCACAGAATCGAAACCACCGTCGACGAACCAGTGGTAACCCAACCATATCGGGTCCCAAAGGCTTTAGAAGCAGGAGTCAAAACGCTCATTCAAAAGATGCTTGATCAAAACTTGATTAGGAAAAGCAATTCTGAGTACAGTTCACCAGTGGTGCTGGTCGAAAAACCAGACAAAAGCTTACGCTTATGTGTAAATTATCAAAAGCTAAACGCGATATGCAAAAAACGCATGTTTCCCCTACCAAACCCTGACGAGCTCTTGGCAAAGATTGGCGAAAACCAGCCAAAATGGTTTAGTTCCACGGATTTAGCGGCGGCCTTTCATCAAGTCCCAATTCACGAAGGCGACAAGCACAAGACTGCTTTCACTCTACCATGGGCAACCTATGAGTGGAACATTCTACCCACAGGGCTTAGCTCGTCCCCAATTTGTTTTGCCAGGCTCGGGCAAGAAATTTTTGGAGACCTTCTGTCGGAACAAGGATTAGTTTTGTTTATAGATGACCTATGTATGTACGGGCCAACTTTTGAAGATCACATTCAGACCTGGCGCAAAGTCCTAAAATTACTGAGAGAAAACAACTTGAAGCTAAAGCCGTCGAAGACGCATTTGTTCACACAGGAAGGGCTGAAATTTCTGGGACATCAAGTGGGGCCAGGCGGAATCGCACCGAACCCACAAAAGATCGAGGCCATTAAAGACTACCCAACCCCTGAAAACGTTAAGAATGTCAGGTCATTTGTTGCGCTTTGTTCGTACTTCCGCAAACATGTCCCATCATTTGCAGCACTAGCAGCCCCCTTGAACAAACTGACCAGAAAGGGACACAAATTCCAATGGACTGAAGAGTGTGAAAAGGCCTTCACCGGAATGAAAAATGCCTTGGTGAACGCCAATCTGTTGTCATTCCCTCAGTTTGACCGTGAGGTTTCGCCATTCATTCTAGCCACAGACGCCAGCGATGCTGGTATTGGGGGATGGCTGAGTCAAGAGATTGATGGAGAAAGACGGCCAATCTCGTTTTATTCCCGGACCCTTACATCAGCAGAATCAAACTACAGTACAATTGAGAAAGAAGCATTGGCCATCGTTGCAAGCATCAGGGCTTTTCATTATTATCTCCATGGTAGATTCTTCATACTTGAAAGTGACCATGCTCCACTTCGATACGTCCTATCAAACGAACAAAAGGGAAGGGTCCAAAACACGAGGCTCGAGAGGTGGAAGTTGGCCTTACAAGGCTTAGATATGCAGATCAGATACGTAGCCGGTCCCAAAAACACAGTTGCGGATTCGTTATCGAGAAGCCCCTTACCGATAGACTGGAAAGAATTCCAGAAACTCCCCGCCATAGACGACCCAGACATTGGCATCACCCTCGCTACCCTTTTCACCGACGCCGAAACAGACCAGCCTCATCCACGGGTGGCGGCTGCCGATCCGACCCCTCCGACAGCAAGCCCTGTCGAACCACCCGTCCGCCCCGGCGGTCAGCCTGATACGGGGGCAGGCTCAGAGGTCCTAGGCCAGCTCCAGACGGACGCTAGCCAAACAAGGAAACAAACAGTCGACATCGGAACGCTGCAGAGGCAGGACGACCTCTGGAGCCCTCTGATTGACATCCTGGAGGGCAAACGAAAACGCGGGACGCCAAAGCTCTGGAGTCAACTCCCGGAGTTCCATCTCGATGACTCAGGTGTCTTGGTTTATCAGCCGCAGGGCGCTAAACCACGCAAGGTGGTGCCCTCATCTCTCGTTTCACAGCTCATCTCGGAAAGCCACGACCACGCTCTCGCTGGGCATTATCATCCGAAGGCTGTCCATGAAAGATTGAAGGAGCATTATTACTGGCCGTCAATGTGGAAAGACATCAAAGCATTTTGTGACAGCTGTGTCAGATGCCACAGCGTCAAAACAAATCACAGAGACAGGCCTGCGCAGCTTGGCACCAACCCACCCGCATATGGACCGTGGGAAACCCTTCATACCGACATTCTCGGACCACTTCCAGAAACCCCAGAAGGATTCAGATGGGTTCTTTTGGTGGTATGTGCCTTCTCCAAATTCGTAGAGCTGGTGCCGCTGAAAGACACCACAGCTGAGACGGTCGCAGAGGCTCTAGTTAACACCTTCTATAGGTACGGCATTCCTCATGAGCTCATCTCAGACAACGGCGTCCAGTTCCGGGCGAAGCTTCTCAAAGAAATTAACAACCTGCTAGGAGTCAAACACATCTTTATTTCGGCCTACCACGCACAAGCAAATTCAAACGCTGAGCGCATGTGTGGGATCGTCAAAAACATGATCGCAACTTCCCTCAACCGCTCACAACGAGAATGGAATCAGTTTCTGGGTGCTACACAGCATGCCATCAATGCTTCCTACCAAACAACAAACAAATGGAGCCCAGCATTCCTCATGTTTGGCAGACATTTCCAACTTCCAATAGAAAAAGCCATGTCATCTGAACTGTCTCCTAACTCAGGCGAGTTAGAAGATTTGGTCACGATTCTGAGGGAACGTCAAGCTGATGCAATTACGCAAGTAATTAGCAATCAGAAGGACGCCCGGAAAAAGCAACGAGAGTGGTACAACCGCCGCGCGCGTGAAAAGGGTTTCGAAATTGGGGATCTGGTCTATGTCTACACGCCTTCAGTTAAAACCGGAAACGCTCGAAAGTTGACCGCAAAATGGCGCCCAGGCTTCGTGATTGAAGGAAAGCATCGGAACGGTCTCACGTACGAAGTTCGTAAGCCGGGCTCACACAAACCAGCAGACGCAGTGCACGTGGACCGCTTGAAGCCCTGCCCGCAGTCCCACGTATATCGGGCTGCTGGGAAGGCCGGACGGGTTCTCGGGAGCAGCCGAGCCGTTCAGGCCCAAGAGACCCTCCATAGACAATTAGAAAAGCCGGGACGGGGAGATGACGGAGAAACTGACGGCTCGACCTCGGATGAGGACAACTTTTTTCCAGGTCGACGCCAGACCAGGCGTCTGTCGGGGACAGGGACCGCTGCTGGAGACGCCAGCAGCGGCATCACCACGGTGCTGGAGGCGGTGGAGGAGCCGCAGCTCCAGGAGGGCTTTTCGTCCTCCTCGGGAGCAGAGGCCCAAAGTGACTCCACGTCCACAGGCTCCTCAGGAGAGGAGGGGTCGGCACGGCCGACCCGGGGCAACGCCGTGTGGCCCAGGAGGTCCCAGCGGGAAAGGAGACCCCCTGACCGTTATAGTCCCTGAGGACCTATATGGCCTTGCCCTGAGGAAACTGAGTTGGGAGTAAAGTAAGGATAGCTTTGCAATCAGTTTGCGCCCCAGTATGATGGTACATGGCTTCAAGTGTATAAATGTGTTTATAAGGCGAACAGACATTCCAGTGGATATTGATTTCAGTGCCTTCAGCACGGCTATCGTTAGCGGAGAAACAAGTACGCAGGTAGGTAACAGACTGTAGGGCTCGCAAGTCGCAAGTGTCTAAAATGTTATTGATGGTTTAATATTGCTTACTGCCAAACATGCAAGCGTTGCAACATCGGCCAATCAAGTGGTCAGATGCAAGGGTACAGTGCATTAGCTGCTAAAGTTACCGTAACAGAAATGTGATTAAATGTGTTGAATCATTTTGCCTAGAGGACTATGATGTTGTTAATGAATGTAAAGGACGCGGTGGCCTACTTGTTCCTAACCTTGTCCGAGGTACAGCACATTTATTTTACCAAATACCGTCTGCATACCTATGTCTTCCGGCGAAGTCAATGTCTTTTTTTTTCAGTCAGTCTAAATGGAGTGCCATGAATAAGAGTGAGCGCTGCCAGAAGGCCAATAATTGCATCCGAACGCTGAACTGCCGAGACTAACTAGAACGCCAGGTAACGGTCATAAAAGTACAGCTCTATCGAAACAAGCATATTTGAACAACTAGACCAATTCTGCGGCAATGTCCATCCCTGGCCGTTACAAATGACGAGAATTGGGCAACGATGTTCTGAGCGAACTCAGCCTCCCGCGATATCATGACTCACAGTTGTCCGGTGTATGGAGCGTCGGCTCTAGTTGCAGTACCTACTTGCAGTGGCAGATAGCCAAGCGCCAAAAGGTTGCAAAGACAGCCCAGGCAGCACAAAGTGCACACCTGCTGCTCGCTTCTTGGGACCCTACAGCAGTGAAACCCATCGGCGTCCACAGCGGTGGTCTCCGTCTTCAACATGGGTCGACTCCATTGCAGATAGGAGGAGTTCGCGTCAGAGTGAGCTATCACTGTCTGGAAGGTCACCATTAGCGGGCTAAAAGGGTCACAAAGTCATGGCAAACTGTCCAAGCACAATGGTACTGGCACCTGCACACCGGCAGTCTTGTGTAGTCCAACAAATGGGACGGTCAATTACGCTCGGGACAGAGATGCTCGGCTGTCACTAAAATGGCATCAGTGATGGGACGTCACGGAGTCGCCCAAAAATTACATTAATATACATATAAGTTGTACAATGCTTAAGGACTAGAATCCAGTGAAACGTCTGTTAACGTGGCAAGGCAAGAAGCCGATACTTTGTGTTTAGTTGTCCGAGTTTGGGATAAGGATGCGAATATACGGCAGAGCTGAGAGCGCTACTCTCACACTCAAAGGCACAAGAAAAGAATAAATTTAAGCAAAGTCATAACCAGTTATTACTGAGGCACGACTGTTTGACGCCATTCCGCTCCTCTCACGACCAAGTTTAAATCCTAGTCCACATTGGTTCCAAATGGCCATTTATTTTGTAAATGACGAGGAAGTAACGCATGTCATGCAGTACCAAGGCGACAGCAACGCAGTAACGCAGTAAGAAATATTAAACCATAGTTGAGGATCTAGAGGAAGCAGTACCGGGGCAGAGCTAGCTATACTGAGCTTTTGGATCTCCCAATTCAGTTGAAATATCAACATGTCCAGGATTTGACAGGTGCTCTATGACCCACAGATCTACCCGGAGTTCGGAATCGCTCTGTCATCTATATTCATCGGAGGGATGTGGGAAACTTTTCCCCTCCAACGCGGCCAGGCCGTGGCTGCCGCCGGACCCGGCGGACCGCTACGCGACCGCATCGTCACCCCACCAGCTGATGGGCGTAGAACCATCCCTTCCGCCCCGCATTGCCGGAGGCCGGGGGCGGAATGCGGCAGCGGCCGCGCTGGGCCGCGCAAACATCCGCAGGGGAGGACGCGGCGCGGCGAAACCACGGAGCGGCGCAGCAGCGCGACCAGCGGAGAGTCCATGAGACCCAGGTGCCTCCGCCGGCGCGGGTGGACCCAGCCGGGCCACCTGGCACCGCCCCTGCGAGCTCATCTTCTTCATTACCTGTTACGATCACCTGGCCGGCCGACTCCCACCGTTCGGCGCCGCCTGTCACTTGGAGGGGAACAACAACAACCCCTCTGGGCAGCAATCAGGGCAGGCCGGCGGCCGGACGGACCGTTACTAGGTCGAGTCGGCGGCACCATCTACTTCCTCGTTCTGCTCTGCACTGTTCTGCTCTGCACTGTTCTGCTCTGTCCTGTTCTGCCCTGCCATGTTCTGTGCGCTCTGTCCTGCGGGACTAGCCTTGCGTGCCGCGCCCGAGGCAAATGCCAACCGCCGGAGGCGCGGTATATAAGCTGAGTCCCGCAGTGATCTCTCTCTCTCTTCGCGCTCCTCGGGAGCTACGTATTGGAGTCGACTGCCCGTGCGCGTTGTGCGTCCCTCATACCTACGCACTGCAGCCATGTAAGTACTAAGTAGAAGGGTGCGGCCCTTATTGGGGCTTTGTATATAGCCGTGACCAGTGTAATAATGTGTGCGCATGTAAATAATTACCTTGAAAACTTGCACAGTCTGTTGTGGGACAAATGGTGGGGGAGAGAATGAACGGCGAACTGAACTGAACGGCACCGAACTTGGCAAACGTAACATAGAGCAGCTCGGAAGCTCAAACAAACGCTACCTTTTAAACGACACAGTTAACTTCGGCACGCCACGCTACCAATAGTAATCCCAACCGTAGCAATGATAGAAATAAGGAACGTAACAACTTATAGAGAGAAAAAATAGTTTCACAGTTGACTTATTAGTCAACGAGGTCGCCTGAGATCCCCATATTCAAAACAATAGGAGAAATCACAGACGGCAAATCGGCTAGCGGTATTTTCGTTTCGATCGGCGGATCGGCCCAGTAGTTCCCGTGTTATAGAATTGCCGCAACAGGCAAAATCGTTAAACTGACCTTTTAGAGCTAACAAGGTCATCTAAGGTCACAATATTGAAAACTGCTAATAAAATTGCATAGAAAAAGTTTACAGGTGGTGTTTTGTCTCAATCAGCCCTGTTGTTCCTCAGTTATAGAATGGCTGCAAGGATGGCGGTCGATTAGTGTTGTCCGTCCCAAGATTCTTGTCCGTATTTATAGTCACCGTCAGTCACCGTTATGGTCACCGTGGTCCGTCCGAGCAGCTTATGGCCAGGAATGGACGCATAAGCAAGCAAGTACTTATTTATCCGTCTGTGCTGCCAGCGCTGCCAGGCAGTAAGTTTCACTTTTCTGGTGTCCAATTGGTTTACTTTGACGAATAGCTGTCAACGCTAGCAAAAATTTGGCAATCTTATGCTTGTATGAACATCTTATTTAGAAACACAAGCTCCTATTTCGCCGCATTCATTGAAACTGAGTGAATGTGTTTATAGATAGGGTTACACATGTGTTTCGGGAATAATCCCTTGAACATACCATATAAAAGTAGCTATATCCAAAACACTTTACTTTTATCCATCACACTTTTATATGGTGTGATCAAGGGATTATTCCTGAAACACATGTGTAACCAATTTTAATATAAAAAACACATGCCCATTGCCTTTCCCATTTATATCAAGGAAATTTTATATATAATCTGACAAAAATGCTTCATTGCTTCCTCATTTTCTTGACTTTTAAATGCTGAATGAAACAGCTCAGTGTGTCATGTGGGGCTAATGCGGTAATACCCCTTTGTCAGTGTATTTTAATCTAGTGACAGTGTAGTCCATGGCTGGGCGGAATACCACACAAATCAGTGTTTGAACCAGTGCGTGGTGCGTGGGGTGTGCGCGGTGCGGTGTTTGAATGGACGCCGGTGAAAACAGGGCGCCGGAGGGCATATTAGTCACTTGATATTTGGAACTGTGCCTGCTCCAAGGGCCTTCTATATGCCAAACGTCACGTGTAAATTTCACGAACCTTGATCAAATTGCCCCAGGCGCCCTTTTTTCACCGTTGTCCGATTGAACACCCCCACGGGCCACGGGTTTCGCGAATATCTCACGGCGGCGCTTCGCGTGAAGCGCCGCCGTTTTTGGCACACCTTATCATAAATCTTTTCTACATATGTTGAGAAAATTTCAGACCTAGGTCACTTAAGGTCAGGTCACCAGGTCAGGTCAAGTGGCCTCACTACATAAAAAGTTTCAATGTCTGCCAAAGCTACACCAAGTAACCGATCGCTTTTAAACTTTCAGAGCTTGATAAGAGCAACATTATGTAAAAAATGTATATCTTGGAATTTTGATATCGATGACCTAAGGTCAGGTCAGTTTTGCGAGCTCCATTATAAGTCAATGGGAGAAAATGGAAAGTTGCCTTTTTTAGACGGAAGTGATTATAAACACTCAATAATGAATTACTAGTATCTTTGACGCACTAAACATGAAAATGGCACCCTTGACCCCTGAGGTCATCTCAGGTCACCAATGGTATCTGAGTGCTTTTCGCGAATAACTTTTGATAGAGGCATGCTAGAGCGATGAAAACACATTAGTTGTGTTAAGCTCGACGATACGGATCGACTGGCATGCAACTTGACCCTTACCGGTCAGGTCATGACCTTGACCTGAGGTCAAATTTTCAAGTTGACCTTTCAAGGTCAAGTGATATTCAATCGACGCATCTTGACGAAAGGAACACAATGCTGGTAAAAGAAAGTTTGTGCAAGGTTTTTGTCAGAAGCTATTGCAGAAAAACGGTTTCCGAAAAAATCGGCTATTTTGGCAGTTTTCGCCCCCTGCAGGCAAAACCGTTGACGGTAGGTCAAATCCGATAGAATTATCTAGAAAGAGCTTCAGTAGGGCTATCAAATGCGCTTTTCCGCGGCGCTGTAGCTTTATTAGTTTCCGAGCTGTACGTCGATTTGTTGAAAATTGTCGACATCTGGCCTACAAATCGAATTTTGGTCTTCAATGGCCTCTGTTGACCTGACCTTTGACCTGACCAAAAAGTGACTAAAGTTTTTTCTTCCTTATTTTTAACGCTCTTTCGAACGCCACCTTTCCCGTGTCGCTACGTGGCTCAGGAGCCGAGTTAGAAGGGGGGGGGTGTTCAAACACACCCCCCCCCCCAGCACGGCGTGGAAATCCAGGACCCCAGCTGGGCGCGGGATAAGGGCTAGATAAGACTGGACCACGACTTTCAGCCACAACATTGCTGTTTCATTTTTCAGGCTAATGTTTCTTTGGAAAGAAGGAAATCTGTAAATTGGCACCAGTGATTCATTTATATTATCAAAATGCCAAATCGGAAGAAGTTTAATGCCAGATTTCCACCAGTAAGTATTCTGCAATATTTTGTGCTTTTTTACTAAGGTAACCAGTCAGGCTTTGTTCAGTTTTCCTGGTTAAACAATTACTACTGCGCTTTACCCCAGTTGCTAATGCACATTAATCCTTTGTTGCTGACATTGACATTGACATTGCTGACATTGATATCACTGCTTGCTTATATTCTCAGTGTCCTGTCTTCATTGCTTTTGATTTGTGCAATGTATGATAGCAACCCATTTCAAGTTAGGCTGAGTGCATGAAATTTGTCGTAGTATTTTACATCTGACTATTTTAATTACAAAGAAGATATCAAGAGGTCATACCTGTTGTTACAGTTGCTCTTAACTTCTTACCTAAGAATATCTGCCAATGCCTCTTGGCACAACTGTTTGACATGGACACTGATGGACCATCAGGTCTAGCGATCCCGGGCTCTGGCGAGAGCAATTAACGATCGCCAAATCGATTCATATCGGGCGCTTTACCTGGGTCGGCTTAGACGGTTGACACTTCTGCCGTGGTGCTTGTGTGGGCTACAGTTTCCACACCCACAGTTAACTTTCTGTGATTTCATATCTATTCATTTCAGGCCAGAATCAAGAAGATAATGAGGACTGACAAGGAAGTGGGGAAAGTTGCTGCGCCAGTTCCAGCAGTGATCTATATCCTTTATAACCTACTGGCGTGTGTACACGTGCATGCGCCCTGTTGTTCACGCACGTGTGTGTGTGTGTGTGTGTGTGCGTACTTGTAGCCCCTGGAAACACCACGTCGTCAATCGTAGCCTCCAAACGTCAATATCTAAAAAAGCCTCAGTTGATTTGGAGAGACCACAATAGAAATAATGTGAACCAAAGTAACGATGCAGCCATTAAAACACGGGGTTGCAGTGTAATTCTTAATACGGTATTATACAAGTTTCGGTAAGAGGAAAACATTTTTGCGATAAAGTAATCTTGATTATTCAATATTCATTGCATATCCCGACTGTTAACATACAATAACCATCTGCAGGAAGCGTAGGAACTCTGTTGTGACTGACGATGTGTGCTGTTGCGCTGTCACGTGGGATGCTGCGGGGAGGTAGGCGAATTCATGCGCTGGTTTCCTTGACTGCCGTGCACCGCGCGCCCTGGAGCTGTTTGCTGAGCAGCTGCTGCAGCGGGCCGGCGAGGTTACTCTGTCGCGCGGATCCCGCACGCTCAGCCCCGCACACCTGTGAGTGACTGGGCTAGGTTTCTAGCAATTCTCATTCTCTTTTGATTGCATATTCCGTATTTATTGGACTGGCAAATACTCTTAAATACTCTTACCTGCTATGCAGTCACGTAAGTTTCAGTTTCAGTTTAGCTGGGCAATGCTTAGCCATTTAGTATTATTCATTTCACAAGGCTCCTCACTTGAGGAAAATCTTTGCTTCTTTGATATGAATTCAGCTGCTAAGTACCGTCTGTTTATAATGGTTAGCTCGGATAATTCACGCGAATGGCTCGTCGCTGTGCTGAAGTCACAACGATAATATAAAAGCTGAAACATTCGTTGACACACGTTTGAATGCCCGTTGCGGCACGCTCTGTGCGCTCGCGCAGGAAGCACTGCATTCAGACGGAGCAGCGGTTCGACTTTCTGCGCGAGCTGGTGGAGGATATTCCGGACGCCACTGAGTCAGAGGAGGCGGCCGGCTCGTCTTCGGCGGCCGCCAGGACGGCGGCTTCAACTTCGGCCGCCGCCGCAGCACGGTGGGTGCACTGGGTGCATGGTGGATCGGTAGTGGGTGAATGATGGGTGGAGTGGGTGAATGGTGGGTGGTTAATGGGTAGATCACGGTGGATGGCGCATGGCGGATGGTGGGTGGTGGGTGCTGGCCGGTGGGTGATGGTGGGTGTGGATGGTGGATTGTGGTTGGGTCACGGTGAGTGGATGCCGTGGTATATTACATCATTGGTCACCATGTTTATGATGGGATTCAAAATGCTTAAAAGTCTAAAATATCCATACGAAGATCGTTTTCCACCGATATCTATATTTGTATGTATGTTTAATATCCGTTGTTCAGTGCAGATCCTCGTTCTCATTATCAATCAATCAGAGTGAATATTCTGGTTTGTTCACTGATTCGTTCCTGTGTAATGCTGCAGCTGGGGGTGGCCACCTCGCTAGACTTCCTCGCTCACTCACTGGTCTGTGTCTTCGCTGCATATTCTTATACGTCTGTCTGCGCCCAGCAGGTCGGTCGGCCGTCCACCCAAGTACCTGAAGATGGACATACCACCGCGTGGCTCGGTACCGTCCAGCACCAACGGCCCGCCACACAGGTAGGTAACGGGGCGCGGCGGGACACACCTGTGCGGATTTGGGGAGGGATGGGGATGTCCGCCGCCTCCGGCCGGATGTGCCCCCACCAGCTGTGTGCAGTGGCTCTACCGGGGGAGCGTAGGGAGAGTGAGGGCTACCTGCGGCTATCAACTGCTGACTGCGTACAAATTTGGTGCAGGCTATGCTGACTGTCAGTAGAGGGGGAGGGCATAGCAGGCTGTTTTTGCTGACAGATCACAGCGATTTGACTAAATCGGCGTGACCAGTGTTCATCATGGGGTGTTGACAGTACAGACTACAGAGTAGCACTATCCATCGGGTGAATCATTTGCTACACACTTCTGGTGCAGGCTGGATGCTGTGCACCGGCATCCATTAGGCGCAGGCAGGGCTGTACTGGTGTGCCGGGTGCCCATCGAGGGGACTGTTCTCGACGTGGTCTTTTGTGGTTACCGTGCTGATATTTCCCACAAATAGATCACCAGAAGTATGTTGTGCTTACTGACGGCGCTGGGTGTTTGCGAACTGAACGATGTGTTCACTGTTCAGTTCGCTGGGTGTCAATTCGCCACTCAGACCGGCCAACTGCGGTCTGGGCTCCCTTCCGTCCGTGTGTCTGGTTGTGCGTGTTCAATGTTCATCTCTGTTGGTAACCATTCCATAGTGGTGTCTGTGTGAATAAGTCTCGAGTCTCGACCCAGTGTGCTCCCGTGTACACTGTACCGTCATCTGACCGGGTCTGTCCGCCCGCAGCGCTCCCCCCGGCCGTCCGCCGGTGCCGGGACTGATCCACACCTCGCTGCTGGGCCTGACCGGCGGCGCCGTCTCGGCCGCCGCCACCGTCCCCGGCGAACCGTACTCGCCGCTCGCTCTGGCCACCAGCGTGACTCCGCAGCCGCCGCCGGCGCACGGCGGCCCGGCGCAACCACCGGCACAGCCGCCGGCGGCCCACTGCGGGCCGGCGCGGCCGCCGCCGCTGGCCGTCCGCTACGGCAGCGTGACCGACACCGACGGGCCGGAGGGACTCTGAGGGATGCACGGAGGGACTCTGAGGGACGCACTGATAAACCGACAGGATGTACTTTTGATGGCTTGGCAGAGCGGCCCGAGGGACTCTGAGAGACCGACAGGAGGACGACCGAGAGACGCTGAGGGCTTGACGGAGCGGGCTCGGAGGGACGACAGAGCGACTCGACGGCCTTTGGTTGATTGACAGAACGGCCCTGCGCCCTATGAGAGACTCAGGAGCTCGACTGCCCCTGAGGGACTCGCAGAGCCTGATCGCGTCTGCTGCCTTGTCGGCGTCCGTCGCACCCCCCCCCCCCCTGACCCGGCCGGCGCCCGCCCGAGCAGCGCGGACCAAAGTCACCCCCCCCCCCCCGCCTCTGGCGGTCCGGCCTGCAGCGGCTGCCGGCTCTGTGTTAGCCATGGCGCCGCTGTTTCAATTTGTACAATATTTTGAAGCGTTATCAGTCAAGGGTAATACAGTTTCTTTGTATGCGATAATTGCGTTTGGATGATTGATATGTCAGGCTACTAATTCATCTATTCTCGTGAGTACGGCAGTGTTGCAAATGACATGCTGCGTGCGATTGCCGTCGGCGCGGGGCGGGCTCACTGAACCTTATCCCGCACGTCGATTGTACACCCAGTACACAAAACACTTCAACTTGGTCAAGCTCGATACTCAAGCCTAGTGAATGTAGTATCGGGTCGACAAAGGATTTCCATCACGACTACAAACTGTGTACTCGCATCACTAATACTGACGAAAGTATGGCTTGTGGAGCCCTCTCAGGCTGGTGCTGTGTTTCATACCGACGATATTTTATGATGATGCTGAACAAACATCAAACGTGGCCAAACATGTCGAGAGTTGTTGGAAAGAATGTGTGTGTGTGGGGGGGGGGGCGAGGAGAGATCCAAGAGGGATAGGTATCTGATACGATGCTGGATCAGACCCTCACAGTGCCGTAGTGGAACCCAATAATGGCCTGCCGCAGGCCAACTTCAGCTCCGGCTGGGAGGGGACCGCCGCACTGATGAGCATATTTTTATAGGTTTGTCTGTACGGTATAAAAGCAAGATACGAGGAAAGTGCAACACAAAGTTGAAGGTACTGAGCAAAAGAAAGGCCGTTCAACAAAGCGTCTGTCCCCATTTTCCGGGCTAATTCATCACTTTATACTCACCAATAATTAACCTATGATTTCCTTGATATATACATTTCCTGCCAATATCAATTCGTCGCCTTATCCACATACGTGTATGCATTGAATATTTGTCACAAACCTAGCGGTGAATTTGTGTGTATATATTTTATTGGTTTCATTTATGAGAAAAATTTGCTCAGGTGAACGCAACTTAAACCTCATCAATTAAAAATTATTTGTATCTGATATGTTTTAACTGAAAAAATAAATCAGGCCCAATTTTTCTTGTAAAAAAATCCGCATTTACTTCGGGAGTCAAAACTATGGGGAGCCGTAGTCAACTCAAAGTCAACTTTTCGATGACTTGGAGATCGTGCCGGCGCTCGACCCCGGATGATAAGGCGTTTTAGTGTGATATCATTTAGAAATAATTGATCTGTTGGTCAATCATACAAGCATTGTATTTATCCTTCGAAGGAGTCCAAGCCATTTAGCCACTTTCGAGTTAAAGGAATCGGTTAGGCTGGTGCGATTGTCGCACTTCGTTAAAAACGAATACCAATTCTTGACACTGAATTGGAGGCGTACCCTCATGAGATGTGGGAGTGCTTATAAATAGAAATATAGGTACCTACTGTTATATCGTTAGTGATTACCCTGTGATTCTACCAGAGTGTGAGGTTTAGCCTTGTAATTTTCTCGTGAGATTTGAACCGTCGACATAAACATCACAAAGCCATGCTAAGGTAAGAAAAGTCATATAGCTGATAAATGTGTTGAGAGTGAAGGACATGGAGATGTTATGCACTTTGTAATCCTTACCTTACCCTACCTTAGGTGGTCTTCGGGATAAGAGGCTACTCAGCCTATGGGTCCTGCTCGTATTGAGTAAAAGGCATTGTCGGAGAGGCTGTATAAACTTTAATTAAGTGTGTTGAAAGGGGGATTGCTCATGATGGTGCTATGGAACTTAACTGTTTTCATGTTAAATCAAAATAGCACTATTTGATGAAATTCTGGTGTTTTTGGATGGCTGGAAATGCATGATTTTCATAGATTAAATCACCATTTTTCAGATGGATAGTATATCTGGCAGTTTTTGGCTGCCTCTCTGTAGCAGTGGACCGTGGGAATTTCAAGACCTGTGATCAAAGTAGCTTCTGCAAGTAAGTTTTGGCCTGGGAAATAAGTCTGAGCATGAGAGAGAGAGAGAAAGAGTGTGAGATGTGAGAGAACTAAGAGTACAAGAGCAAGAGGAAGGAAGAGTGAGAGTGAGAGAAAGAATTAGAGCATGAGAAGAAAGCAAGGGTGTGAGAGAAAGGAAGACGGAGATTGAGAGTGGTTGAAAGAGAGTGAGAGGAGAGAGGGAGAGGGCATAGGAGGGAGAGGGAGAATGTGAGATGGTAGTACAAACGTGGTCATGTGTAGACCTCTGACCTGACCATGTCATCTGACCATGCCTGTAACCGGGCCCAGCCTCTAGCATGACCCTATCTCTGACAGTGTGACAGTGTGACTCTATTCTGTGACTTCCCTTTGACTGTGACTCTTCTATGACTCTGTAGCTCTCCTTATTGTGACTCTTCCCCTCTGACCCTGTGATCTCTGACTCTGTGACTCCCCTCTGACTCTGTGACTCCCCTCTGACTCTGTGAATTCTCTCTGACTCTTTGATTCCCCTCTGACTGTGTAACTCCCATATGACTCTGACTCCCCTCAGACTGTGACTCCTCTGCCTCTGTGACTTTTCTGACTCCCCTCTGACTCTGTGATCCCTCTGACCATGTGACTCTCCTATGTGATTCCTCTCTGACTCTGTGACTCCTTCTCACTCTGACTCCCCTCTGAATGTGTGACCCGTCTGCTGCAGGCGGAACCGGGCACTGACGCCGGGCCAGTCGCCGTACCGCGTGTCGCCCGACTCTGTGGCGGTCTCCGGCGCGGAGGTGACGGCGCGGCTGCAGGACGGCGCGGCCGCCGGCGCCGTGCCGCTGCGCCTCACACTCACAGCACTGGCCGACACCACAGTCCGTCTGTTCGTGGTCGAGGAGACCCCGCTGCGGCCGCGCTACTCGCCGCAGTACGCTCTCGAGCGGCCGCCCACCGCCGACCCTGCCGGCTTCAAGGTGGTCTCGCAGACGGCCGAGCGGCTGCACTTGTCGTTTGGCACGGACGGCCAGCTGGTGCTCAGCTACGAGCCATTCCAGCTGGAGGTGGCCCGGGCCGGCACCACCGTCATCACCGTCAACTCGGCCGGCCTGTTCAACTTCGAGCACTACCGCCCCAAGCCGCAGCCGTGAGTCACCGACGGTCACAGAAGACTGCACCAATGTTTTGTGACGTCATGCTGGCTCATTCATTTTGTAACATATTTGACAGTTATATTTTATGAATGGTTGTGGAGTTCAAACATAAGAAACAAAACAGCTTAGGAGCAATGTTTTCGGCAAAGACGGCTAGGTGAAAGTTCTCATGTTTTGCCATGCAGCCGGTGTTGTTTGTATGAAATCTGGGCTCAGGTATGGTGCTTAGAAGGCACTTTCTGCGATCTAACACGTCATTACGTGTGTGTGCACAGGAAGGAGGCGGCGGCGGAGGCGGAGGGAGGCGAGGCCAGCGACCAGGAGCAGCCGGCCGCCGACAGTGAGCAGCCAGGTACGTGACACGATCCTGCCGCCGCTCCTCCGAACCATCCGCATCAACTTAGCTATGGAGCTCTGGGAGTAAGCTGGGGACTGATGTCAGTGAAAACAGTGAATGTCAAATAATTAATCAATTCAGGGGCGATCGAGTATGGTTGTTGCGATACGGGAACTTACCGACAACGTGCCGTAGGAAAAAATATAGCGTTTGTCACTAATCTGTGACTCCAGGGACTGAACGGGACTGTCGCTGACCGTCCTGCTCGGCCCGGCCTCTGACCGCTCTCCCCGTCGTCAGGCCAATGGGAGGAGAACTTCAAGACGCACCGGGACAGCAAGCCGCACGGACCGTCGTCGGTGGGCGTGGATGTGACCTTCCCCGGCTCGGCTCACGTGTACGGCATTCCCGAGCACGCCGACAACTTTGCCCTCAGTGACACCAAGTGAGTGGGGATGGAGAGACCGGAGGGCAATACAGGTAGGTGGTGTCCCTCTCGTAGTCGGTTGGTACGTGTCGGCGGGTACGTGATGATGGAGCACTTTGCTCCCCGAGGCCTCGGGGAGACGCTGTCCCCACGTGAAGGGGGCTCCGTTGACAGCAAGCAGCGAGTTGAGACGCCCATCGATCTGGCCAGCGCCCGAACCGCCATACGGCAGCGCGCCAGGGAAATGCAGGCCACGCGTGCACACCGGCACCCGCACCCCCAGCCCACACCTGGACTCCAAGACCTCCCGCGCTGGGGGCAAGTGACCGTGTCGCAGCTGCGGACCGGCCACTGCCCCCTGGCACGAGCGACGCTCCACCGCCTGGAGCTCACCCTGGACCCTCTCTGCCGGGAGTGCGGTGCCGAGGACACCGTTCGCCACCTCCTCACCGAGTGCCCAGCATTCGCCACCACGAGACGCCGGCTCTGGGGGGACCCCTGCCATCCCTCGACGAGGTCCTCTCCGGGCCGGCCGGCAAGATAGTTGAATACATTCGGCGGGTGGGGCGGTCCGAGCCGCCGCTCGACCAGCCCCCGTCCGACGCGCCTGCGGGCGCGTCCACGTGACGTGCGACGAAGAAGAAGAAGGGCAATACAGACATGGGAGCCAAATGACCGAGGGGCTGCGAATTGCGGGGCAGTGCTTCCGAACAACCCACCTGATCTTATGGGTGCAATGCCCTTACTACGTGATGTGACATTCTATTCTATTCACAGCTCATTTTGTCCTTACTAGTTACATGTTGTACTTCAATAGTTGTGACATTGGATCCAACCCATCAGCCCTAGGTGTAACACTCATTCTGTCCCATCATGTCGGGCGACTGGCTATACAATTCGGACATATTCTGACACTGACCCCCGCCTCTGCAGGTCAGGAGAGCCGTACCGGCTGTACAATCTGGACGTGTTCGAGTATGAAGTGGGCAACCCGATGGCGCTGTACGGTTCCGTGCCAGTCGTACTCTCACAGAGGTATGTCATCAGAACGGAACAGGCGCCGTGCTACTGCCGTTCGAGATCGCACTGCTGTCCGTGTGGTGTTTCTTTCCTTTTTGCTTGACGTACCCGATATTTCTGTCTATTTTTCTATGTCTCTTTTTTCTCTCCCTCCTCATTCTCTACCTCTTCCCTCCCTTTCCTTCCTTCGATTATATGTCAAACATCAATAATTGATGATTGAAAATAGCTTCAGTGCATGCACTACTTCAATATGCAACAACACCATTTTTGCTTAGGTGATGCCACTTAGGTGGACCTCCCTCATGACAAATTATATCGATACTGATCGTGCCGGCGTCGTCCTTCCATGGCTCGCCTTTCGATTCGTGAGTGGCGTCTGTACGTCGATCGGTGAATCGAGTCGGTACGTCATTTGTTCGCCGACGTCGTGCGTTACATGCCGCCGGTGGACTATAATGCCTAGATCAATCGGGCGGTACCGGCTGGGGCGTTTGTCCGCGTGGAATATGGACGAAGCGTGCCGGGGGAAGTGTTTGAACAGACAGTAGACACGTCGTGTGGAGTACATACGGTCGAAACGTGCTAGCAGGGAATAGTCCTGTGAAAGAAACACGAGCTCGCCTGTCGTGATGGATGCACTGGATCAAATTATGAATGATCCGTCGCGTCTCGATATGAGAAATACGATGGTGGTGGTAAATATTACTGTCATTGCATCAATCGATATTGCTGAAGACGTGATTCCGGATGACGATTTCGCATGACGGCTCTTTTGGATTTATGATGTGGTTTCAAGCAAATCGTTGAAAATTAGCATCATTTGTCAAAAACGACTTGACCGCGAATGCAGTTTTCGTTGCAATATTCCTTCAACCTTTTCAATGCAGTCTACTGACATCACGTATGGATGGTCTGACTCCCCCCCCCCCCTCCTACTGAGTGCAGTGCTGGCGTACGCTGCTCCGTCTGAACTTCCCCTCCCCTCTGACATCTGACACCCTCCCCTCGCCCGTCACAGCGCCACGCACGGGGCGGCCGGCGTGTTCTGGCACAACGCCGCCGAGACGTGGGTGGACGTGCGCTCGGAGCCCGACTCGGGCCTGGTGTCGACCGTCACCTCGTACCTGGGTGGCAGCCGCGCGCAGGCCAGCAAACACCTGCACTGGATCTCCGAGTCCGGCGCGCTGGATGTGTTCCTGATGCTGGGCCCGACGGCGGCCGATGTGATGAGGCAGTACAAACAGCTGACGGGCGTCACTCAGCTGCCGCCGGTGAGTACAGGGGGGGGGGGGGGAGTTATAAGGGAGGGTGACGGCAGGGTATAGGCAAGGGGGACAGCGAGACGCGAGCACGAGCCTCGCACACAGGTTGGGACGGACAGGTCGTGCGTAAAAGGGTCAGCGGGATGAACACAGGCCGCGGGACGCCAGTGTTGAGATAGCCGAACGAACACAGGCTGGGAAGTTACTGGCCGCTGCACGCAGGATAGGAACAGCTGCGGGATGCATGGCCGTTTTTGTGTCTGTGTCCGCTGATCCTCCTTCCCTTTGCTTTCCGCGCACCTTTGTTCTGTGTCTCCTGTTTCTCTCTTCCCAGTATGCTCTCTAAGTGTTTGCAGGCTGTCAGCTGTGCCCCCCATTTCCCTCTGCCATGCTGACCGCTCCCTCTCCGTTCCAGCTGTTCGCCCTGGGCTACCACCAGTGCCGGTGGAACTACAACGACCAGCGTGACGTGGCCGAGGTGGACTCTCAGCTGGACAGACACGATCTGCCGTTCGACACCATCTGGCTCGACATCGAGCACACGGACGGAAAACGGTCAGAGGAAGCGCAGTAACTGCGCGCGTGTGTCGGACGCAGTGTGTGCATATTACAACTGACTGGTGATTCATGAGCCACAGGTTTTCAAAACCAACTCGTCGACGTTGCCAGGTGTCAATATAATCAATATGTCCTCCCAGCGCAGTAATAATTCACACGCGCCGTCAAAGTAGCCACATTGATCTCGTGCGTATGCACTATGCAGTCTTTTTGGATGGCGTCATGTCGATTGTTGGTATCCTGAATTGCTCGGCGAGCGTATTACCCCGCTTACCACTTACCCCTCTTACCCCCTTACCCCTCCCGTTCATCAGCTACTTCACCTGGGACAGTCACAAGTTCCCCTCGCCGGAGGAAATGATCCGTAACGTGACGTCACGCGGCCGCAAGATGGTCACCATTATCGACCCGCACATAAAGCGCGACAACGGCTACTTTGTGCACGCGGACGCCACGGCCAACGGATACTACGTCAAGGATCGCGACGGAAACGACTTCGACGGTTAGTATACACTTAACAGTAGTATCGTAGGAGGATCGTAGCGATTGGCCCAGGCACGGGCTCCTGAACTCGGGTGGATTCGGCTCAGGACTGAATTGGACCGAACTAACGCGTGCTGTTCGGAAACCCAGGACCCAGCTCTTACACCTCCGTGATTGCTTTGCTCTTTATGGACGTTGTGTTTGTGGCATCGTGATTGATGGCTTCCCCTTTCTCGTCACCAGGCTGGTGCTGGCCCGGCTCCTCGGGCTACCTGGACTTTTTCAACCCGGCCGTCCAGGAGTACTGGGCGTCCCGGTTCCAGCTGGACAACTACAAAGGCTCCACGCTCGACCTCTACACGTGGAACGACATGAACGAGCCGAGCGTCTTTAACGGACCAGAGGTGAGCGGCGAGTATGTCGATGTGAGAGCCCTTGTCTTCGTACATCTGACAATACGCCCCATGTCGCTCGCAAGATGTTGTACGTCACTTATCACGTCGATTCCATTATTTCAGGTAGCGCTAGTAGTGCCAACATGTCCCTGTTCATCCAACAAGGCCATGTCATTGCTCTGTGTAACTTGTGACCACAATCTGTAACCGCCCTCCCCCTCCCCCGCCCAGGTGACGATGCACAAGGACGCGCAGCACCACGGCGGCTGGGAGCACCGCGACCTGCACAACGAGTACGGCATGCTGGTACCGATGGCCACGGCCCGCGGCCAGGTGGCCCGCTCGGGCGGCACGCTGAGGCCGTTCACGCTGACTCGCGCCGCGTTCGCGGGCTCTCAGCGGTTTGGCGCCAAGTGGACGGGCGACAACACGGCCCAGTGGTCTCACCTGAAACACTCGCTGCCCATGTTACTCTCCAGCTCCGTGGCCGGGATCTCCTTCATCGGCGCCGACATCGGCGGCTTCTTCGGCGACCCGGACCCGCAGATGCTGGTGCGCTGGTACCAGGCTTCCGCCTTCCAGCCGTTCATGCGGGCGCACGCGCACATTGACACGCGCCGCCGCGAGCCGTACCTGTTTGGTGAGGAAACCACGCGACTGGTGCGCGCCGCACTGCGCCAGCGCTACCGCTTCCTGCCGCTCTGGTACACGCTGTTCTACGAGAACGAGCTGACGGGCATGCCGCCGATGCGGCCGCTGTTCTTCTCGTTCCCCGGAGATACGTCTGTGTACGGTACGGATGATGAGTACCTGATCGGCGAGGCGCTGCTGGTCCACCCGCAGACGGAGCAAGACGGCCGCTCGGTGTCCGTGTATTTCCCGGGCGCCGACACGGTGTGGTATGATGTGGATACGGCCGAGAGGTTCGTCCATGGCACCAGCACCGTCAGCACGCCCCTTGACAAGGTGAGTCGGTGACCGACCGTCTTGCACGGGGCTGGGTAACGATGACTGCTCACTTATGATAGGGAAGATAGGTTAGATAGGTAAGGCCTTCTCCGATTAAATAAGTTCTATGTCGATAGCTCTAGTAAGTGAAAATGCTGGTAGGCTTAGGGGGAATAGGTGCCTTTTTGTTCTTGCTGCACTAGTGACTCATGTGCGTTTTTAATGCAGAGTATGCATGTAGGGTACTGGTAAGTTACTTGTGATATCTCCGTGTGGCGTTGAGTATGACTTGTAGTATATGGTGAGTAACTCACCATTTGTGTCGGTAAATCTGTGCATCGTGGTGCGTTAGAATCTCGGTGCGGCGTTGTCGCACGGTGCCGCCGCGCCGGTCCCGTCTAACTCCGTCCTCCCCTCCCGGTCAGATCCCGGTGTACCAGCGGTCTGGTACGATCGTACCCACCAAGGAGCGACCGCGGCGCGCCAGCGCTCACCAGGCCTCAGACCCGTACACTCTAACGGTGGCGCTGGACGCTGCATGGACCGCCACCGGTACCCTCTACACGGACGACGGCGCCTCGTTCAGCTACAAGGACGGACAGCACATCTATCGCCGGCTCAGCTTCGAAAACAACACGCTCAAGTCCAGGTGCGAAATACTCTAAGAATGAAACACCGGACTTCTTAGAATTGAACTGAAATGCACTCATTCGTCTGGAATTAAAAGTTATTATTAGGATTATGTGCAGCATGTCCCGGAGTCTCTGCCGGTTTGGGTATGCTGAATGCTGCCTATGGGGTGAATGCTGCCACCGTTTGGGTAACCGTGTGTGTTACCGTTTGTTATTGCTGGCTCGGTGATTTGAGTTGGATGATGAGTGTGTCCCTGACCGAATTTTCCGCCTGTGTCAGCGCTATCTCTGTTAGCGGTGATATGAGCGGTGTGTTGACTGTTGACTGTGTCTGTAAGATCCCCTTACCGAGCTGTCGGATCGTTTCAGCGCCATCTCTGTTAGCGGTGATATGAGCGGTGTGTTGAATGTTGACTGTGTCTGTAAGCTCCCCTGACCACTTTGTCCACTCGTTTCAGCGCCATCTCTGGCAGCGGTGAGACGGCCGGCTGGGTGGAGCGGGTCGTGGTGCTCGGACTGGACAAGGTGCCCAAATCGGTCACCGTCACCTCCTCAGGTCAGTTCCGGCTCAGCTATGTACAAAAAGATACATATGGTATCATGGTCCTGTGTCACAGACTCACAGTGCAGTCCAGACTCCCTTCTACCGCATAAGTGCATATTCACCGTCAGCTCCTAAGTCAATCAATTTTCAGCCTTCTGAGCTCATTCAGTGACGCCTGACGGTACAGTCCCGGTCATGAGTCAGTCACTGTCCATCCCCTAGTTTTGGTGCTCAGTCACCATCGGCTCTTTAGATCAGCCATTCAATCCGGTTCATTCCGCTCAGTCACTGTCAGCAACAGTGGTCTGGCCAGGCGCCTACTCCGGTCCCAACATGTGTTACGTTCACATGGCCCATATCGATAAGCACCGGACACCGACGAAGGTCGATGGTCCGCAGTATGTACCGAGTGTTTTCTAGTTTCTACGCTTTGCCTGGGAAATTTTGAGACCTGAAATGGCCATCGACGTTGGCGGGTGGGATAAAGCCGTGTTTGTTGTTTGCCTACACACAGTTGCCATTTGCCAGCAATGGTGTTTTTGCCAGCTGAGGACTGCTGCTGTGGCTGGCCTGGTGCCGCACTCTGTCACATAAATGCCTTCTACCTCGCCCGCCCCCGCCGACTGACCACACTAGACACACCCTCAGCTAACCGGCACTGTGCTCCCCTCGCAGGCCGCGAGGAGAACCTCGACTTCAAGTACGACAAGGATCTGCTGCGACTGGTCATCAGGAAGCCGGCCGTGAATGCCGGTGCCGACTGGTCGATCGTGATCGCGTAATGGCCGCCCCGTGGCGGCCGCGCGGCGGCGGGCTGGTCAGTGATACAGAGCGGCGCGGCGTCGGCCGTGTCTCCTACGGTCTCCCGCGCGTTACGCACATTCCGGCCGGCATGACGCCTCGACTGGGACTGGGTGGTGTGGGCCGACTCTCTGGGACCCGGTGGGACCCGGTGGGACTCTGTGGGACTCGGTGGGACTCTGTGGGACTCTGTGGGAGGGTGGGTGTTGGTGGGAGGGCGGTCGCAGCCCTGGTTGTGATGCTCGCTCCGCCCCAGGCCGCTGTGTTTGGGTGCCCGGTGCTCGGAGACGCCAGCACTGCCGGCGCTATGCTGTACCCAACAGCGGCAGTTCTGTCTGAGGTCCGCCGGCGTCTGTACCGAACCGGACAGAGGGCTCAAAGGGCCGGCCACGGAGATACCCACACTGGTGCGTGGTTTACTCAGCCGCGCTAACTCCTACGGGGAGGCGCCGGCGCAATCTGTTGTCCGCTGTGCAGTGTTGATGTACCTTTTTTGTCGTCGGTATCTTAGCGCTAAGCAGGCAAGTAACTTTGTTGCAAGACAAAAGGCGATGTATGTTCGTGAGATTGTTTTCAGTATCCCCCAACAGATTCCACCGTTTTAATTTCCCTGCCTAACGATTAACGAATCCCGTCATCTTTACCGTTTCGCCGCCGTTTTCTGTTGTTTTAGCCATGTCTCGCTATACGATCCTGTCGTCTTCACCGCAATCTGGTCGCGATTACGTGCGCCGCTCGCCTGTCTTGCCGGTGGTGGTGGTCCTACCGATTTTGTGTTTGTCCATGTTTCTGTTATTGCTGTGCCTGTGATGTAATTTCGTGTCGGTCGTTGTCTGTAACCTATAATCTAGTATTCCTTTGCGTCCAGTCCTCGATCCATGCTATGCTGTTCTTAGTCTGTCCGGGTTCTTTGCCATCGAGCACGCACCTTGTCGCACTCTCCCGTCGGCCAATCGTGTGTGGGCGTCTCTCAGTCGTTTTGGCTGCGTCTCGTGTTTATCTAGTAATGTCCATTGCGGGCCTCCTCACCACTAAGGGTTCTCTGCCAGTGAGGATTCTTTACCAGCGAGGTTTCTCTCTACCAGTGAGGGCTCTCACCAGTGAGGATTCTTTACCAGCGAGTTATCACTACCAGCTGGAGCTCTCTCCGTCTCCGGCCTACGAGCCACCGGTGCCGCCGAGTTGACTGCGCGATAGCTGTTTATCTGCCCCTCGAGTATCAGGATCTGTGACGGAGGACGATCGTCAGACCAACTGCACGGCCGTGGTGGAGCGCTCCCCTCCCAGCCGTATAGCTCTATGACCTGGGGCCGCCGCTCCGCAGTGCCGCTGGCGTCCACCGCACTGCACTGCACCGTCTCGTCTCACGGTGTGCATCTGTTCGGCCGTGCGGGGCTGTCGCTCGACGGCCCCACGTGTGATCTAGGTAATAAGGATCGGTAAGAATACAATACAGGGGTGCGTGAGATGAGGACGCTTTTCCTGTAGTTTGTAGACGCAGTGGGTGCGCGGTCGTAGCTTAGTGCTGAGGATACTGCACTGTCAGCCGGGCCAGGTCACGAAACTGCCACGAATTGATTGGTTGTCGTGACCTCTAGTGGATCGTCCCCAGAGGAGGGCCGAAGTTGACCCCCCTCAGGCGTCCAACGCTACGGACCTACAGTGTCGATAGTGCAGAAACACGATGAGGTGGATACAAACTGCAGTAGGCTGTCGTATAAAGTATATTCGTAACATCTGAGTACAAAGCATCACAAAAAAGTGGCTAATTGTAACAGCTGAATAGCCTCAGTCATTCACCTTTTCCACAGCCTAAGGCGCTTCTAGATTCAGCACATCCAGCAAGTTCAGTACGACCCGTTCTGAGCGGGCCAGATCATAGTCACGTTCGACCACCAACTCACTGACTGTGCATAATACAGTCGATTCTAACAATGAAGCACTAATTGCACAGGACTCAATATGAAGTAATACTGTATGGGTCGTGGAGCGTTCGAATAAATGAACGCGCCACCTGTCAGAGCACAAACCTCTCGAATCGCACGTCTTTGCAGCTACTTGTCTTCCATCCTGCGCGCTCGACATCGCTAAAGCACTCACTAAACGGTAGATGCGAATACGAATCGTGTATGAGGATGAATGTAAAATGCACTTCAATTGTTTGCCTTCAATCGCTACCTATTGTTCGATATGAATTGACATCACAATTGCATTCAAAACCCAACAAGTCACAATAGTATCCCTTCTATGAGCATTTCTTGACGGGTATGATCTGCTACAATGGTGATCTATCGGCCATCGCTAGCTGCATTGTCGCAGCCGCTGTCTGCGCGGCGACTGGTCCCCTTCAGATTCACGGTGGCTCGCCCTTAAGAGACCGTCCGTTCGCCTTCACCGCACGTTGTACAGGGTGTCTCAAAAGTTCGCTTACACATTTCCCATGTCAATAAAGCATATAAGAACCGGCCAAAAATCTAAGGTTTTGGTGTCCGTGTGTACACTAGACAAATATGCATGCTTTGACAACTGATTCGGAAGGTTGGAAACCAAACCCTTTGCTGTATCTCCAAAAATATTTGCCCATACCGATTTTCGTCACTCCGTCAGCTGCCGGAGGCTGATAAAAGGTTACCAGCTTTCAAGCTCTTGTAGGGGAATCCCCTGCAGTTTCTGCGTCGGATTTAGGTTTGACGAGCTCCCCGGCAACATCCGCTTCTCCCTGAAAGCCGATAGCTTGCATCGACACCATCCGTGAGTATTTTGTAGGTCTTCTCTGGCGCTAACTCCTTCATGAATGACTGGCGCTGACCTCCCAAGCACCATTTTCCTTTTCAAAACAACCCCATTCCTGAACAAATGGGAAGTGCCAGGGGCAAATTTTTCGCAGCATATCGTAGCAGAATGTGTCGGCCATCTGTTTTTTAGACACATTTTGCAAAATTTGCAAATCCCGAACGCTCGTCATTCCCAATGCCAAGACCTTCGCTGGGTTTTGGAGTGTTTTCCTCAGGAGAGGTTCTGCTTTGTAAACGGCCAAAACCTGTCCATCGTGCGGTTTTGTCCGGATTTTGTGTGTAAAAGAAAGCTATTTGCTCCAGATCTGCCTCTTGAAACTTCGTTAGATAAAACTTTACATTAATTGACACTTTTGGAGGGTCACTTGTCCTCGGCATTGACGATTTTCGCATTATTTTCCCTCAAAATTTAGCGTTATAGATATTATAAACAATTTTAAATGATATTTTGTCTTTATTTTATGATGACCTGCAATTTTTGAAACTGGGTAACCTCTGTCTGTGAGCTTCTAGTCAGTTTTCAATAGTTATGACTTCATTTTCAGCTGCTTTCCGGAGCACGAGTCTGCTGCGGTACAAGGGTCGTTCAAAGCGCTGTTAGTCTCGCATGGTTTTGTCCTTCAAAAATTTTAGCCACCGTTTTTATTAGATGACCATCATGTTGTACTCATCCTCGCCGACACTTTGCCATGTGTCATTTCCGACCTAACCATTCCCATTACTCGTGAAGCAGAGAGTTTCTCAGCCGACCCGAGTATGCGACCTCCATTTTCATGCCTGATCCATGGTCAGAGGTGAACCCTTTTTGTGAGCTCATGAAGGGTCGAATGCGCTTGAAAACAATGAAGCTGCTTGAGGAAGGTTGTTACCAATGCCCATGCAAAATTTCGACTGTTAATTTCATGTTGATTCAGAATTATTGACAAAAAAGCATGGCTGGTACCTGTAAGCGAACTTTTGAGACACCCTGTACAGCTGAAGCCATCAGCGCACTACTAAACAAGCACTGCCAACAGCAGCTAGGTGTGCGACAGACTGTAGTAATTGGCAGCGAGAGCGAGCTCAGACAGAAAGTCCGATCGAGCTCAGACTATAGTCCGTGCAAACGGAGTCAGCAGTCTAATCGAGCTCAAAGCACAGCACAGTCGCAGACGGGACACCGGCTGGAAGCCCCGGGTTGTCCCGCGCGCCGCGGGACGGCAATACTGGCGCGGACGGTGTTTCTGCCGCAGCAGGTGCTACTGGTCGCGCTCCGCCCAGATGATGCGTCGCATCTCCTCCACTGAGGTCACCTTCTGTCGCGGCGCTCCGGTCTGCCGTCCGCGCTCCGTTTCCGCCTCGTCCAGCCGCAGCCAGTCGGCGAAACCCACTGGGCGAACACCTGGGAGGAGGGAGGGGACATCGGTCACCGTAATGCATCTGGGAGCTAAAGCACTTGGTAACATCGGTACCCGAAGGGACACCTAGGGACCATCCACTGGTCGCCGGTGGGGTATGCCTATGGGATACCGGTCACTGGACAGGAACCTAACTATTACCTAGAGACCATTAGTCATCGGATGAATACCTATAAGGGTCACCTATGTATGTACAAGCAACTCTGAACAAACAGAACAAACAGCTCTGGGTCACCGGGCGGACGCCTAAGGAACACATCGCTCACCGTACGAACACCTAGGGAGGTGAAATGAACCATGCCGCACTAACTATAGTCCACAACAGCTACTGGTCACAGCAGTCCCATGGACGCGCTGGAACACTCACCCCTGGAACGGATCGTCTCCAGCAGTTGGTCCGGCTCTGAACTCCTGCCGCCGAGCCGACCGGCGGCCAGGTCGTCCGAAACCAGCCGTCCCACGCCAAAGCTGGCCGTCATGGTGGAGACGATGACTCCGACGGGTCCGGTGCCGATCCAGCCCGTGGCGTACACGCCTACCGTGGAGTTTCGGGGGTATAGGTCATATTCATGGGGCAGACTCAAGTACAGCTACAGGCGCAGACACAAGAAATAGGCGCAAACATGACGCATGGCCACAGGAGTGGAAGCCAGGGCCACAGGTACAGGCACGGACAAGAGTGCGTGCGGACCAGCCTTCCCACTGAACAGGACGGGCCGGCAATGCACAAGTGACACCTTGGTCGGTGACATTCAGCCTAAAATGACCAATTGCAATGCAGCAGTGACGCACTATCTGCGGCCGAGAAGGTTTGGGATATTGAGCATCATTCGACAGCCTATAGCGGCAAGAGTCGCGAATAGCTTCCCCCTGACAACCATTATTAACCTTGTTAGCCACACAATGCCAACAATGTACAAACTGTCGCTGAGCTCGGGGTATTCAAGCTTCAACTGACAAAATCTGACATGCGAAGGGAAAACCCAGGTACCACCACCACATAGCAGGCCCTTGCCAGATCATACATGTAGCTGGTGACCTTCCAACTTCTGTCAATACCTACATTGTTTGCAATTCTTTCCCACCCAGAAGTCCCTGGACAGACTGAGCCAAAGTCGATCGGTCGACTCCCGTGGCTTCCCATCAATCATCATGCTTCCGCTGGTGTCAGGGGTAATAACTTACCTGGTATCCCCGTGACGCGTCCGTTAGTGTTTGGGATGACTCCTCGGTCGGCGTCAAACGGTAAGTCGGGGTCTATCGACTGGCCCTTGTACCTATGTGGACGGCAGACGGCGGTCACAGAGGCCTCAGGACATCTAAAACAGCTACGGAAACACGGACGGACACGAAAAAACAGCTGCGGAACACGGTCACTGTTGAATTAACGATCACAACCAAACCTTCAGCGACAGCCAAACTACCAACTGAACAGGCTGCGATGAGAGAGCATATCAATGAACTCCCTCCCTGCACCATAAAACCGTTCACTCGTGTAAACCGCTCGTTGGAATGCTCTGGGTGCGGAAGTCAAGGGAGACTTCCGCACCCAGAGCATTCCAACGAGGTTCATGCGGTTCAGTCATTGCAGGGAGATAAGAAGCGATGTTTGGCCGCCACTAACGCTAGTGCGCTGGGCGAGGAGAAGACGGGGTGCGAGAGGGCGTACGTGGGAGGAAGGGCCTGGCCCCCTGACTGAACCAGCGCTAGGCGAGAGGCGGGGGTGAGATGCTGCCCCCTGACTGACCCGGTGCTGGTGATGAGCAGCTGACACGGCAGTCGCTCCGTCTCTCCCGTCGCCGCCACCTTATCCCCGTCCAGTCTATTCACCGCCAGCCGCAGTTCCGCCACCCGTCCGGCGGCGTCCCCGTGCGCCTCCAGCGGGCTGCGCAGGAACCGCAGGCTCCAGGAGCGGCGGCCGTCGGCGGGCGACCGCCGGTCGCGAGCCGCCTTCACCATCAGCTCCGTGAGCCGGCGACGGGGACGGGGCAGGTCTGCGGTAAACAGGGTTGTGCTCGACTAAAAAAAAAAAAATTGCCGACTCGACTCATCATTCAACTTCAGAAAGCTCTGACTCAACTCTGACTCAAACAAGGAGTTGACTTTTCCCTTGACTCGACTCATGACTCAAGCGGCTCAATGAAAATATGAGTCGACTCAAACTTGACTCAAATTTTTTGTTGAGTCAAGTGAGTTGACTCAAAATTGACTCAGATAAAAAAGTTGTTGAGCGGGGGGGGGGGGGGGGGGTGAAAAAATCCGGCAGTAGGGCCAGGGCTAAGTTGTTACGCGGGGGCGGGGGAATGAAACGCTTTTATAGATTGTTTCTAGAAGGTTGAGTCAGCTGACTCATGTTCACAAATGTTTGACTCAACTCAATGTGAAAAGTTATTTTACTGACTCAACTCTGACTCAACATAACACCTTAATATTTTTGTCCGACTCAACCCTGACTCAACTCAACAGTTCAACATTTTATCCGACTCGACTCAAACCTGACTCATTTGAGTCAGAGTTGAGTCAAATTTCTGACTCGACTCATGAGTCAAACACAACCCTGGTGGTAAACAACACGGAGTGTCATAGACGGTCAGAGGTCCCGATCACCGCACGTACGAAACACACAGCGCAGAGTTTGTCTATCAGAGACCGACGGACAACAGGCAACGACGGATGAACAAACAGTCACTGCTCAGCAGACAGTCAGGACCCAGGAGTATCCCTACTATTTTCCTTCCTCCATTCCCGCTCACTGCCTTTCGCTCCTTACCTCCCTTCTCTCTTCCATCCAACAGTCAGTGGTCTATAACTTCCCCTCCCACCTTCCTTCCCGCCCTTCCCTCTCCTTCCCACCTTCCTTCCCGCCCTTCCCTCTCCTTCTCCCTCTTCCTTCTTCCCCTTCAGTCCCCACCCACCGGGCAGCTGCTTCTCCAGCTGGTCGGCCGGGAAGTCGTCCCACAGCGCCGTCACGCCCGGCAGTTGCAGCTGCTCGCGCAGCTCCTTGATGGTGAAGGCCGCCTGCAGCGGGCCGCGCCGGCCCACCACGGTCACGTGCCGGATACGGGACTCGGCCAGCGCCGACAGCGCGTTCTCCGTGATGTCTGTCTCCTGCCGGCGCAGAAACCGGTTACAGGGGCGCAAACAACGACTACGGTGGACACACAGACTACAATTGGCGCTATGCGGCTAAAGTCGGGCGCAGAGACCGGATACAGTGTGCAAACACCAGCTATAAAGGACACAAACTGACTGAAGTAGGCTCTGGCTAGGGCTACAGTGGGCACAAAAACTGCTCGAGTTGGTGCAAATCGCCGCCACGGTGTGCGGGACGGTTGCAGTAGGCGCCGACCGGCACCCATCATCCCACCTCCATCAGATCTAACCTCTTGCCCGCCACATATTTATTTAAGCCTCTGACCTTCAGCATGTCCAGGGGCGCGGTGAGGATGCGCAGCACGTCCAGCGCCACGTTGCCCATGCCGATGATGACGGCGTGCTCGGCGCTGAGGTCCGCCGGCGCCGGACAGCCGGGCAGGCCGTTATACCAGCCCACCAGGCGGCGCGCCGAGGTCACGTTGGCCAGCTCCTCGCCGGGAATCCCCAACGACCGCTCCTGGTCGGCGCCGTACGCCTGGTGCACACATACACCAGAGAAGGCTCAGTTATACCGAAATATATTCGATAATCTACACGGGGTAATTTCTCGTTTGTACCAGACGATGAAGGACATTCTCGAAGATCTTACCTCATGTAGATCACAACTGAAGCAAAAATGGGTAAAAACTGAAGTGTGCCAGGTTGGCGACTGACTGAGGGTTATATGACTGGGTGCAATTGATCTGGCGATGGATGCGACAGAACAGCGAGGTGCGAAACTTTAAAGGAAAACCAGCACGATCACAAAAACGACGAAAACGAACGAAACGAAAATAAATGATACGCTCGCCTCGGCAGACCTATATTCACGCAACATTCGAAACCCCCATGACCGGTCACCCTACGAGCGGCGCGACTCACCGAACGGCCGAAATAGCACCGCAGCCCCGTCGGTAGCACTGACCAGCACGACGGCGTCGTAGGCGGCGCGCAGCTCTGCCACCGACACGTGCTCGCCCACGGTGACGTCCGCTAGCAGCCGGACGCCGGGCAGTGCGGCCGTCTGGCTGAACGAGTGCTCCACGTTCTTTACCTCCGGGTGGTCGGGCGCCACGCCGTACCGGACCAGACCGAACGGCGCCGGCAGCCGCTCAAACAGGTCCACACGGCAGCCGGGTGTCCTCTGCGCGAGTGGCAATGGTCAGCGATACATGGGACAAAGGGTGCAGACAGATCAGCAATACACAGGACTCTAGACAGCTGTAGTTCGTGCAAAAATAGTGCCCAGTAGTGAGCAGTAATGAGTAGTAAATACTGGTGACCTACCTTGATGATCTGCTGAGCTGTATAGAAGCCAGCTGGTCCAGCGCCCACAATAGCCACACAAGGCTCTGTAGCTGCTGTGGTAGTCAGTGGTTGGCAATGACCGACTGGCGCCACTGTAAGTGGCTGTGCAGTAATGGTGGGGCGAAGTGATGCTGCCACATTTCGGCAGAGCCGTACACCAAGAACCCTGTTCATGATTGATCACTGAAAACATGAGTACAAGTAAAGTAGGCACCTGGATACATCTTTATCAAAAAGAGATTAGGTAGGTAGGTTAGGTAGGTATGTCAATGTTGATGTAGGTACCGGTACCCAACATTCCCGAGACCAAGACACTGCACAAAATGGGACTCAACGAGACCCAGAGTGGGAATAAGAATGAAACAATATTCCATATCTATTCAACTTTGTTTTTTCCAGCTATCACAATCAGAGGTGAGCAACCACAGGCCGCTGCCTATCCATTTGCCTAATTTTCTGCCCTAGCAAATAGTAGGGATGCTTCAATGAATCAATGATAATGATGATGATAATGATGATGATGAAGAATCATTTTCTACACCAGGACGGGATGCACTAGTGTAAAAAGCAAGGAGCATTTCCGTCTTACCACCGCCACCCCCAAAGCTAAAATGATGATAGCAGCAGCAACCTTTACCGCTTCATTCATCAAACGCTCTTCTAAAATGTTTTGTTTATGTTTTGTTTATTGCAAAAATAATTTGAGCCAACTGCGCAGGAAATGTATACAAAATAATGCAGCGAATGGCTGATAATAGTGTCGGCATTAATTATTTTGAAATTTTTTGCTATACTCTTCAAAATGAAACAAATTTTTGTCATCAAATATTACAGTTTAAAAATACTTAAAGCGTATACAAGTTAAAAAAGGGGTGAAATAATTTTCGATTTCATAATGTCCACAACTATACAATTTTCGTAGATTTTCGTCGGTCGTTGCGTTTTTACTGTGATTTGTTTGGTGATTGAGTGAATTGATATGAATGGATCTTGATAAAGAGTGTTTTCAGTGATATTTTTCGTTCATTGCGAATTGGTTGAACTTCATTCTGCCCCGTATAAATGCAACCGGATGAGGAGGAGGTGGTAAGTATTATCAGCCATTTTGTGTGTCATCGGTTTCGACTGCGCCATAGTTGTATTCTTTGCATGTATCGCATGTGATATCGTTGAACTTAGAAGCTAAATGGCAAAAATATTGTTTTTAAGAATTTGGGATTAGCTTTTCAGCTCTGTTTCTGTGCTATTAAGGTAGATAATTTATTTTGGTTTGTTTATTTTTTGTTTACTTGATATACTGCTTGCCTAATGGCAAGTTTGAAGGTATATTTTCACAGATATATTATTTTCAGTGCTTAGCAAACAGTATTTAAAAGTTGCAGCTATCACACCCAGCACTACTGAATAATGTGTTGTACTTGTAAGCTCTTCATTGTCACTGTATTGTTCTTAAATACCGATACTAGCAATGAGCTTACAGGCAGTGGCGGCGGAACACCTTTAGTTAAAGGGACCCTCCCACCTTCAAAAAAGTTAATGAATTGGCATGAAAGTGATGTCGCTCGGTTCAGAAAGAGCAAAAACGAATATCTACCAAATTTCATCGAAAAATATTCACCGGTTTTCAAGATATTAGACTTTTACTTTTGTTTACTTTTTGGGATCTCCGCTGTTCCTAGCGACTTTATTTGAAAGTGCGGCATTTGTTGCGCGCAAAGCAGCATATACCACCGCGTGCTACAAAACGTTTTAGTCAAACATTTAACGGACGTTCGAAAGCCTGATGACGTCATCAGATTCCCGTAATGGTTAAGAGATAGGGACCACGCTGGTCCCACCCTGCAAGTAAAGGGAAGAAATTTCTTGAACACCATAAAGCTGCGGGGGTTGCGACCAGGATAAATGGTGGTTTCTGAGCCTGGCCGCAAACTTGGCTCTCTCAACTCAAAACTAATGTTAAGGTGGGAGGGTCCCTTTAAGGGGGAGCAATGCCAACTTTTGGTCCCATTCTTTCCATGCAACGCCCATAGAGCTAATGTTAAAATGCTAAAATTAAAGGGGGCACATTGCCCCTGTGCCCCCCGTTCCGCCGCCTATGATTACAGGTGCAGCAGCAAATAAGGGGTGGTATTCATATAGCAGGCATCTTGCATGGTGCCTTCTGTTTGTGAAAATTCACTAGACTCTCCAGCTCTGGAAATAGTTAGTATTTACCTGCACTTTGCTTATAAAAGTCTAATCAAAATGTCTTCAGAACAAAACATAATCTAACCTGGCCTAACATAATCTAACCTGGCCTAACCTTACCTACTAACCTGCATCCTACCAACATACAAAATTAAAACCTACCAATGTGCAGCCCACAGCAGAATCCATGTAAATATTTCAAGAACTGGAGAGTCTAGCCTCTAGTGACTTTTAATAAATGGGTGGTAGCATGTGAGACGCCTACTATATGATTGCCTAAGGGGCCTGATATAGTTTCTCTTTTTACATTTATGCCAAAACCATATAATCTATGAAAACCTCAACTGCATATATGAATTTTGCTTTGGTAGGTCAGAGGAGGGAAGGTGCCACATGTATGTGATTTGATGCTGAAGAGAGCCCTCTCTCTTCCAGGAGTCATTCTGTTATCAGCTTAGTGCTTTAAATTAGAACAGTATTCCCAGAAATACTGATAAGAACATTCTTCTAATGTCTTATGTCACTGTTATGCCCTGAACATCTTAAGGGAAAACCTGAGTACTTTTGATAACTAGCTGGTCTGCATTTGGGTGCATTGGAGGTAGACTTATGTATTCCAATTCCTTTTGACTTGACACAGAGTATAACTATTAACTATGCCAGGATATGAAACAATTACTTTATGATAAAAGGAAAAAGCTGATGACTTTTTTCTTCAGAATCTGTACTATTCATATCTACTAATCCCTAAACATGTAACAATGTTTAGTTTTTTTCTAATTGGATAAATTCAGGCAAGGAATGTGTAATGGTTGTGTACTGCATACCTATTCCAGAATAAAAAGAACAGGTCAGCTAATGTTAATGATTGATCTAGTGATGGTGTACTCTGATTGTTAATTGATATTTGTCAGATTTGATGATCCTTTTTTCTGGTTTATGATAATTCAGCTAAAGATAAGGTACCTATCTGCTAAAAGGTTGCATTGTGTGACATGTTTCTACCAGGAATGGAGTTTTTTTTTTAGTGGTAGTTGATGCTGAATAATAGCCTTAAAGTAGCTAAGATACCTCTGAAGCTTAAAGCAACAACTAGTCATAAGACTTTCCATTGATTTAAGCTGTGTATATTATTTAGGACAGATTTGGCAATGGCCCAAACTGCCCACACAAATTACTATATCTTTTAAGTAATGTTTTGAAGCACAAAAATAGGCACTAGGATAACAAAGTAGTCACCAGTCTTTTCATTCATAATTCTGCTTACAGTTGTGCCATACAGACTGCAGAACATGGCATAAGCTGAATCTCTAAGAGACAATGAATTTTGACAACTTCAAAAAACAACATTTGGAAACTGTAGTTGTTTATTGTTTGTTTACTGAACAATCAGCAACAGGCTTGCACCCAATCACAGGTGAAGTCAGACAGTAAAGTTGCCTACATATACCTTATATATAGCTACATTTAAGAGTGTTACTGCAGTGATGAAGTATGTCACACAGTTCATGCACATGTTACTTTATGATAAAAGGCATGAAAGTTAACGCCGCCAAAACACAGATGCTGGTGTTGGGCACACCAGCAATGTTGCGTGGACTCCCGCCCGTCACTGTCAACTTTTGTGGTTCAACTGTAGTCGATGCAGGGACGGTGAAGAACCTCGGACTTTATCTCGACCGCCATCTGAACTATCAAGCTCACATCACCGCCATGGCATCAAAATGCACAGGAATTTTAATCGCTCTCAGTCATGCCCGCCACGTGATGCCAGCAAACACACGTAAGGTAGTTGTTCAAGCCCTAGTCATATCGATCGTGCGGTATTGTATAAGCGTGTATGGGTCGTGCGGTGTGACCCAGATGGCTCGTGTCCAGAAAATTCTCAATTTCTGTGCCAGAGTCGTCAGTGGCCGTAGACGCAGCGACCACATCTCTGACGTCATACAGCAGCTCGGCTGGCTGCGGGCAGACGAATTAGCCGAGTACCACACTATCTGCGCAGTCCACCGAGCCATCACATCGGGTACTCCTGAACATATCAGTGATACCATCGGTCCTGTAGCCCGTGACATACACGACCACAACACCCGAAACGCAGGGCTGATAACACAGCCACGGGCCCGAACAGAGACGGGGAGACGTCGACTATGTATTAGAGGAGTCGCGATGTTAAACGGTACCGAGTTGAGCCCGTATATACCAGCGTTTCGCGCCAATGTGAAGCGTGTGATCATGTCGAGACGCCGAGTAGCTGTCTGAACCTGTTCCAGTCGCACGCTTGTTTGTGTTTGCCAGTGATATCTATGCCTACTCGTACTGTCTATATGTTCCCCGTTTTATCTGGTTTTACGTGTCTGGTGAAAAGCCACTTTTATTGTGGATCCTAGATGAATACACATCTGTATCTGTTCTCTGTTTTTGTGAATGTGGTCTGTGGTGTATTGTATTGTACAGTGCTTCCCCTTTGGTATGTTGATGGTGCTTTTGCCAGGTTGAGCCTAGTGTGCAAACCCTGGCCTATACCAATCATCCAATCAGCAATTTTAGCCAGTTACCTTTTTCCACCAAGCTCAAAGAGTATATGCTCTTATATAGAGTATATGAGCATATGGTATGCATCCATTATCCAGGTAAATGACTTCAGCCTGGCTGTGTGACTTGTTGCTTGCTACCACTTGCTGTATGGTATCCTGACCAGGATTCTCTGGAGTTGAGTGTCATGGTAAAGGAAAACTTGAGCTTTAAAAGTCGGATGTTTAATGCTCTGCCAGCTGAGGTGAAAGACCAAAGCCCTGGGCTGCAGTGGGCCATGAACTATGCAATATGCATGCTTCTGTAGCGCATTGGGAGACTGTGTGTCTTGTGAGTTGACTGTGTCTCTGTGTTGTCTCTAATCAACTTGTTCTGTGGTAGAGTAAATGCTGACTACCTAGTGACTGTTGCCTACATCCGAGGACTGAGGAGAAATTATTACCCGGTGTAAGTGTTGAGAGCCCAGTTGAAGTTAGCTTGTGAGACAGGCCATATTGTCAGGTTGTGTGGACACATCAACCCACATCAATGTGGCTCACCCTGTTTGTCGAAGTGCCCAATCTTGAGTCATGAGCCATGAGTCAAGAGTCGGAACACATAAGGATGCTTTTTATGGCCCTTTAACTCAATATCTAAGTCCTGGAGTACCTAGTGGCAAGTGGCGAACAGTGTTTGAAAGGTCCTTTAACCCTCGCCCGCACATGCCATGTTCCCATCCTAGAACGCACATGGGGTGTGGTGAACGCACGGGGGGTGGTTGCCACCCCCCCCCCCCCCGCGCCATTTTGTTCCTGTTGGAGATAGAGCTTAGCAGTAAAGACCAAAAAGATTCTTTGGGAAGAGACGAATCCAATGATACCCAGTTTTACCTTCTCAGGTCAGTCATTAACCTTCCAGGTCAGGTCAAACTAAAAAATGTTGCTGTTTTGGGTCACCGTTGGATATCAAGTGTGCTGCTTATCAAATACCGATGACGATGCTGTTTTCTGGTGCCAAATCAGCCTTCTAGCTCTAAAAATGTTGAGTGCAGAGCAGAAAGACTACCTGGGGGGGTGGCAACCCCCCCCCCATGTGCGGGCGAGGGTTAAACAGATAATGAAAGCACCCCAAGCATTTTTGTACAAACCGCCAAAACTTAACACATTGAAGGTGAAATGTTGCTGAAGTCAACATTTGAAAAACTTTAATGTATTCTTGTATGGAGATCTGTTCGTTATCTTCCTTCTGCATGTTTAACTCAATATTTTCTTTTTGAGAACCTGTAGGGCATTGATTCCCCATGCTTGTTTTGCTTTTATGTTCTGTTGTGAAGGGCTCACGCTCAGCATCATCAATATTTTTTCTTAAAGCATAGCAAAACCTAGTTTCTGTGTATTTTCCAAAGCTTTTGATTCTTTCCCTGAGCTGTTCAGCCTCTTCCACTGACCGATTCCACTCGTTAGCATCGATTGTGACCTCTCCTGGCTCCTGAAATCGTCGGAGACCTGTTACTATAGCTCAGTTAGTGGAGCGCGGAGCTACAGATGTTGACCCGGGTTCGAGTTGCTCGGGCGCTCGATGTATGATACTCCTGACGTGTATGGCCCGGCAGACTTTGGTATATGAATTCTCCCGTTACCTGGCATTGTCTGATATAATTGTAGGTGTCGTGGGGTGTTCCACAAGCTCTACTCAGCGTGGGCTCCAGTCCAGCTCTATCACCCCGTCGGTTTAAACACTGAGTCTTGTCCACAAACAAATGCCCTCCCACTCGCCACCTCACACTCATACTCCCTGATTTTCAGCTATGAGTCTTCCTCTGTGCCAAATTCTTCTGATGAACCTCAACGTCACACACCGTTGCCACCGCTAACCCATGCCCATATTGTGTGCCCGCAGATTGTGCTAGTGTGGCCACCGTCAGCAGCGTAGAGGGGCGTGGGAGGGGAGGCCCGCACCTGCCGGCCGGCCGGGAATGGTGGCCCGCTGAGCCGAGGTCGCCACCAGCCTGCAGACATGGCCTCCACGTCGGCGTTTGTCGACAAAATCGACCCGTTCGCCAAAAAGTCGCTCAAGAAGAAGCAGCGCAAGTCTCAGGGCTCTTCGCGCTACCAGGCTCACAGCAATGTGGAAATTGTGCCACTGCCACTGCTCAAAGGTCAGTCGCCGGCTCTTGGTCTGGCATGTGAACTAGACGGTGTGAAGTGCACGTCAATCGATTGCGCCTTAACAATCATTATATGATGAGTACAGAAAAAAAGAGCCTGTAACCTCCTGAGGAGCGTACCTCTTCACAACTACCGATCCGTTTTGGCAGAGGGTCTTCCATGTTGGGTAGCCACAGCCCGTCTGCCTCTAATGCGAGTGTTCCTTTTTAGCTTGTGTCCATATTATGTGCATGCATGCTATTGAGCGATATTTGTTTTTCCCTTTTTGAATGCTGTACTCGTGAGGCGGATTAAGAGCTCCATTTTACTCAGTCCATAGGTCGGCAACCCTTTGTAGAGGCCAGAAAGAACCTTTACGAAGCGGTGAGCGAGCTGCACAAAGCATGCAGCTGTAATTTACCATACATGGCAATAGCATGTAACATTGGGAAAAATATTACAGCTATTCAAATGGATTGTCAAGTTATGACAGCTGAAATGTGTTACGCTTTTACATATACTGGAATTTGCGCTCTTGGACAGGCTTCGCCAGCAGGCAACAGCGAGTTTCATTTTTTACCGATTTTAGCGGCGGGCCGGATGTCGGACAGTCGCGGGCCGGATCCTGCCCGCCGACCGGAGATTGCCGGCCACTGAAGTAGGCCGATGAATTTGTATATATACGTGCGCTTACCCTGCAGAGGGTGTTGCCCTCCATTTTAGAAACTCGCAGAATGGTGGTAAGCTCTCTTCTAATGCAATTATTAAGGTCAGATTAACCCTCGCACCGACGGGGGGCGCGGATATCCGCCCCCCCCCCCCTGAGGTTTTTCGCAAATAGCGGGAAAACCGCGGCGCGTAGCGCCGCGAAATTTGGTATGACTATAACCTCATCAATTTTACACATGGTGTGTAAGTTTGAACCTCCTACCTTTTAAGGTCAGGTCACCAGGTCACTTTGAATGACCCAACCTCAAGTCACTTTTTTGCAACTTTGTCACCGTGCCAGAGCTACAGTAGATGTCGGAGGCCTTTGAAAGTCGCAGGATATTATTAGGTCATTAGTAGCTACAATTTGTATATCTCGGAATTTTGATATCGGTGACCTAAGGTCAGGTCAATTTCGCGACCTCCCCATTATAAGTCAATGAGGGAAAAATCAACTCCCTGTTTTTACCACTAAAACGGGTCAGAATGGCCCCATATACCATACATGACTTCATATACGATCAACCTTCACTACCTTGAGGTCTGTTTTGCTGTTGGGCAGCTGTGAGGTCATGTGACGTCATCAAAGGTCACCAAAGGTTTTTGGCCAATAACTCCGTACAGGAACAAGATACAGACGCGTGGATGGTCTCATTGTGTTCAGCTCGTCAAGACGCATCGAATGATATACATGATGACCTCGAGGTCACGTGACCTGAGGTCAACCTTTGACCTTGACCTTTCGAGGTCAACATATATATCATTCGATGCGGATTGACGAGAGGATCACGATGATGCCCTTAGTTTGCTCCTATTTGACTAATTCGAAAGTTATTCGAGAAAAACTCTCTCCATATCTAGCGCCGCCATTTTGACTTTTTCGACCCCTGTGACGTCATCTTTGACCTGACCTGAAAATGACCTTAATAAAAATTGTAGATCTTGGCCGTGCGTATCCGATGCCGTTTACCGCTTGTCGCTATCTTGCTTCGTTCTCGAGATCTCAGGGGGGGGGGGCGGTCATCCGCCCCCCCCCCCCGTCGGTGCGAAGTTGGCGCAGACCCCCGTCGGTGCGCGGGTTAAGTTAATGGAAAGTGGCATGCCAGTTTTGTCCCCTTTTTTTAGACGCTCCTTCTGTTCGTGGTGAATCTTGGTCTTTGTAGACCTAGGTGTAAATGCTTAGTAGGTGGATCGTGGTGGTACACCTGGACTGTCTGTTGAAGACAAGTCTGCCCTCCCAGCCCAGCCAGACCTGCTGCGCTAGCTGAGCTCAGATTTTCTGTCCGCTCTCTGCAACTATAGGTCCGTGCTCTCCTATCCGCTGGTCCACTCCTACTCCCCCCCCCCCCCTCCCCCAGTTCATCCGCCTCTCGTTCGGGCAAGTGGCTCTTGCCCGGTGTATCTGTTGCCATTATCGAGCTGACGCAATGGTTCGATGATGCGACTGTCAGGAACCGTTCTCGGCGAAAATAAACAAAGTGACGCGTCGGTGCCCGCTGCCGTCTGAGGGTGGCGCCGGTGATGGATCACTGGCGCTCACTCAGAGACATTCAGGGACTCAGGTGTCCATTTGACTCGGCACCTGAGCTGTGAACTGCGCGGTACGGCCGCACCAAGTCTGCCTTGTGAGCAGCAGAGGCTGGACGTCTGTTTGCTGACGTTCTGGCTTTCGGTTGCGAGTCATAGATGACTCCTGCCGTCAGCAGCAGATATCCAGTAACACGTTTGCGACAGTGTGATGCCGGCTCAAAAGACATTGCCCGGGCTGCGTGCCGTTCAGTACAGGGACCGCGGTGCTAGGTGGAGGCTCATTGGAACGCGTCGTTCAGTGCTGGGTCGTGGACCGGGCCGGGTGACTGCAGGGTAAAAGGTCTCTGGGTCGCACCGCTCGGTATAGGGGTGGTTCGAGTGACCACAAGCAGCGACCTCGCAGCTTCTGTCAGCGCTGCCCAGCATAGCCCCCGGCTCCGGGCCGTTCGGTACAGGGCCGTATACCACGGCGAACCATTCAGAATAGGGGAAGTTGATTTGGGCCGCTCGGTGCAGGATCGGTGGCCCTAGTCGCGCCGTTCGGTACAGGGTCGGACCGCCCAGTGTAGGGTCCGGGCCGCGGCGGGCCGCTCAGTACTCGATACAGGACCGGTGGTGTCAGCCGCCCGTTACTACACAGGACCGGTGGTCCTGGCCGCCCGGTCCGTTGGCCGCCGGTGTTTGTCCGTAGGCGCGGTGAGTCACTCCCCGCCCAGCACGGCGCCGACCACTGCACGGCCGCTACGCCCGGCGCGCGTGCATACGAGCGCCGCTGGCCGCCGCATTCCCTGCTGCCGCTGACGTGCGACTGGACTGGTGACTGGCGGACTGTGACCGGCGAGCTGTGACCGGCGCCGTGTGAACGAGGAACTGGGAGTGAAGGCTTCTGTCGCTCAATCGAAGGGGTATGTTCGATCCTCACCAGATCAGTCGGTCTATGCAGTGTGGGGCCGCTGAACCGGACGCTGGCTAGTCGGACGGGGACTGGGTGTTAGCGCGTGACAGGGCCGACGTTTTTGAGCTGCAACGGCTGATCTCGGCTTTGAAACTATGCATGGCGTTTTGTTCGAAATGCATTCGCCTTTCCAGAATTTTCCGAACTGGTGATGGAATTCGGGACCCAATCTGTTTAGTGCACAAAAGGTCATGTATGAGCTTGGTTGGAATCGTGGTCCTCGTCTGGTTGGAATCGTGGTTCTAGTAGCATGACCAATGTTTGCTTTCGTTTATTTAAATTTTAAGAACAAATTCATGTTTATTATAGGCATCGGTATTGTGGTTAGATACTGAAGTCCTTACTGTAGGGCCACCAGACCCTTAATTGTGCCTCCTGTTGCGGCTAGGAGCCCTACTGTGGACCCTCGTGTGGACAGCTGCGGACCCATTTCTGGTTCCTTCTGTTCCGGCCCCAGACGCTCCCCGTGCCCGGTCCCAGACGCTCCCCGTGCCCGGCCCCAGACGCTCCCCGTGCCTCCCGGTCTCGCCGGTCGGCGGTCGCCGTGTCCGCCGTGGAAGCCCGGCAGGTGCGCTCGGCTGCAGCTGCGACCAACAGGGAAGACGGCGCTGTGGCCGGGCCTCCCACCGACTGACGTGTCTACTCGCCGTAGAATTGTCTGCGCGGTCACTCCGTGTGGCGGGGGAGGCAGGGCTTCCGCCTCAGATTCTGCCGATTTAGATCGGACTTTTATCAAATCAAATGACGTCAATTTTGAGCTTGGTTAGAAATCGCCTACATTTCCGTCATAGATCTATGTAGCAAATGTCGTTTGCCGCTTGTTATCAAGTTACCTCGGACGTCCGGACGTGGGCGGCTCCGGCGCAGAGTGGCGGTGCGTGGCTGTGCTCTGCCGGCTCCGGTGACCCGCCCTCTGGCACCGCTAGCTGCCCGGCTGGTCGGGGATTTCCCAGTGACGTCATCCATTCACGGGGACCCGGTGACGTCACGGTGGGCGGTCGGGCGGTCTCTGGGCGCGGCCGTGCCGCCCCCACTCACCGTCCGGACGCTCCGCCCGCCAGATCACCACCTGCTCGTCAGATATTAATTCGAGCGTCCGGTCAGCGGGCCGCTCCGCTCGGCCGGCCGGCCACTGGACTCGGAGGTGGCTATTTTGGCGCGCGCGCGCGCGTGCTGCCTCTGACGGGCGCCGCCGATCGATCCGTGCTCGGCGGGCGGGCTCGTCCGACGCCGCTACCCAGATGGGTCGGCCGGAGGCGGCGACTGTCGACGCCTGCCGACGGGCTCTCCGGGTGACGACCACGGCTGACGTCACCGTGACTGTCGGATCCAGATCCGGCACTGCCAACCAGTGGACAAATGCCAGCGGATACTCCACGATGCTTTTCTAACTCGTGCTACTTATGTTTTTGTTGTTTTTGCATCTGAATGTTGACATGCCTGTCTTTGATTGTCTCGCAACTGTGTATCCGGTTAAATACTGCGGATGGATGGTTCCGAACCCAACTCAGTCGTTGACCCATGTGATTGAACAGAAGTACGGGCCAATCACTCTGAGCTGAGCCCTCCTTCGCTCCGCCCACTGTGTCCAGTCTATGTTGTCCCAATCGGTCATTGGCAGGCCCTGCTATTACAATGCGCCCGAATTGCCCAAATTAGGCACGTCTGGCCGTTCCTATGCGTCTGGAGGGCGTTCAGCAATGCTGAATAAGAAAACGGAAGGACGGGAATACGGAATGTGTGTTTCCTATTGCCTATTTTTGCCTATTGAGCAGGAAATGCGTCGGCATTGTGCGCTTGCCCGTGACCCTGCCGCCGAGCGTGGCATGCCCACAGGCGGGCGATGTCGCAAATCATGCCACTGGAGCAGTGGCACGCTGCTCCGAGCTGATGGTCACTAGATGGGGAGGGGATGGCGGACTACTCCATCACCGTAGTACCTTTAATTGGACCCGCCCGAGGTGTGAGCCGTCGGTCCCACCTGGGGCGGCGGCTGCCACGCCACCCCGTGGTGGTGGTCTGCGCGCGCGGTGGGAAGACGTCGCCGGACGCTCCCACGGCGGCGGCGTCTGCAGGCGCGAGTGGGGCGGACCGGCCCTCGGTCCCGGTCCGCTGGCGGGACGGCTGCGGCCTGCACCGGCCAGTGTCCACTGTGCAGCGTGCAGAGCAGGCCCGGCGCGGCGTCCAGAACGGGACGGCGCCGCGGCGGGCGGCACCGAGCTGTCTTGGGCGTCACCGGCACGGCACGGCTGAGTGCAGACTGAGCTGTCAATTCCTGGTCGAAAACGGACAGAGCTAGGTCTCAGCTTCACTCCGATGAAATTGGCTTTATGTCTCAGAAAAGAATGTTTCTTTTTACATTCACGCCCAGTTCTTTTTTAATAAAATATATTTTATAGAAAGCTTAGATGTTAGATATTAGATGTAAGGCATGGCAAGGCCTTATTACATGTTGTAACTCGTAAGGAAACCTTCACAGCTACGGGAGCATTCGTGGAGTGCTTGGACGCCCGGTGTTTGGTCTCGGCGGCAGGCCAGCGTTTCTGGCAGTGGTTGCCAGGTGCGCCGCTGTTATGCGCCAACACCTCCCTGGTGTTATGACTGGTGACGTTTAGAAGCTATACGTCAGCGAGATGAGAACGGTGATCCATCCGTGTAGACACGCTTACAGTCACGCCTGAAACTGTGCGAAGTTTCATGGTGCTACACTGGCTTATAAAGCATTGCCGTACAAGAACGGCGCCTCAACCTGCTTTTTACTTGTATGAAAAAAAAAAACTGAATCAGTTCGGTTGGGGTGTGGAACTAAAAATTCAGCTATTGAAATGACATCCATGAGAAAACCTGTAAAGTCTGATGACTGGAAACAGTCGGATGGAGGGGAGGATGTAATCCGGTTCAATTTCCGAATGATTGATTTTCGACACATATAAGCCCGGTTGGAGCATGACCTTTCAACCGCTGGTCATTGAGTCTGAGGTACTGGCCAGTGGCCACTGATCATCAACCTCGAACTGGCTGTTTGTCGTCAGAGTCGTACTGCTGACGGACAGATCCGCATTGGCTGTTGACCAACAGAGCCGTACTCCCCGACCGGCCGGCCGACTCTCAGTAGGCGCCGGGTCGGAGTCGGAGACCCCCGGTCGGACGTGGCGCTCGGCCGGCGGCCGGCCCACCCGACATGGCCCACTGTTTATGTTTGTTGGAAACATCACCGGTCGCTCGCGGGGCCACCGCCTCCCGGCGTCAGTGGCGAGCTGGGGCCAGGTTAACGCGACACGGCGCCGCTGCCAACAGGTGGACTCGCGGTCAGCCGACGGCGCACGCGGCACGGCGCCGTGAAAAGGGTCATGAGGGCGACGCTTCTTGACCGACAGCTTCTTGGTAGCTGAGAAATCGTTGTACGGATTGGTATGTGTCCTTACGCTACAGAGCCCTACGGAGCCTTGCTGTCGACACTACTCTAAAGCCCCAATAAACAAGATTTAGCACCATGATTTCAATCCTCCATTCCTATCACGGGACTGCTAAGAAACTCTGACGTCATTCGACAATCCGCTGTCGCAACTCTGCAATAACTCCTTTTAAATCGCCTTTCTTTCGTAACGCATCGACGAGCAGTGAGAAAGAACTGCGTTTGGCGCTTAACGTTTCTCAGCCCTCCCAATAGTAATCATATGTGAGAAGTGACCGTGTATACGGTAGCAGTCCTGCTGCCGGGTTCCGTTCCGTTCCGTGTATCTGGAGGGCCGATGAACCGGCGCCCGAGTGTCTGGCCGGATGCTGAGGGGATATCACGGTGCAGATATGTACCGGAGTGCCCGGTATCGGCCGGCAGTGCTCTGCCAGTATCAGCCGGCGCTGCCGATCGGCTGCCGTCCATCTCCTATCGGCCGGCCGCGCCAGATTAATCCGTTGCATCGGCTTATCGACTGTGGAGCGGCAGCCAGTGGGAATCAATACGGATACCTGGCGCCGAGTGGGTCCGGTCCGGCCGCCACTCGACCGCGGTGGACGGCCAGACCCTTATCGAGCGGATTTTACCGCCCAGCGCTGAGCGCGCTCAAACGCCGTCCTGGGGTTCACTGATACATGTTTACTGATTTGGTCGTCGATAATGCTCGACGCGCTTTGTCAACTCAAAGAGTAGCTTTGTTTGTTACAGCTGGTCTTCTGTGGATGTGTTGCGAACCATTTGACATTGTGTCATATATTTTGTTGTATTGTTGTGTATCATGAATTATTGTTTATTCACACTTCTGCAGCAGTCGTCGTCGACCATAGATCTAGACAGTCTCTATAAATAGGTTATAAATACCTAGCTCTAATCACTAAAGTTAACGACTAAAGGCCTGGCTACACTATGCGTTTTCTGCATGCGTTTTTGCAGGTTTGCGTGTTTTGCGTAATATCGTTCTAGGAAAAAAGTTATAAACAATATAATTTTTACTTTGGTTATATACAAAAGCTAATATAACTCTTATGTAACTAAAATTTAAGGTGAAAAACATCTTAAAAACGTAATATCGTTCCTTTTTCTAGAACGATATCACGCAAAACACGCAAACACGCAAAAAACGCACGAAGAAAACGCATAGTGTAGCCAGGCCTTAAGCGTAAGTGCATGACATGGGCTGGGTACGCTGAACGACATTGCCACCCCACCAGTAATTCATCATCATGTATTGATATTTGATAATAAACCATGACATCTCGTTGGTCCCAGTGGGACCGTCCCACCCAGGAACTGTTTACTACCACTTACCAGAGTCATCTATCGGCAGCTTTATAAGTTTCATTTCATCTTTTGTCCGCCAGATGTGCCGCCGGCCGAGCAGGAGGAGCTATTTATCCGCAAACTGCGCCAGTGCTGCATCTCGTTCGACTTTATGGACCCGGTGGCCGACCTGAAGGGCAAGGAGATGAAGCGCGCCACGCTCAACGAGCTGGTGGACCACATCACCTCCGGGCGCGGCGTGCTCACCGAGGCCGTCTACCCGGAGATCATCCGCTGTGTGAGTGAACGCACGACGCGCACAGCGGAGGAGGAATGGTCGGAGGGTTGGGACACATCGGAGAGGAATGGTCGGGGTGCGGGGTACACACACCGGATAAGAAGTGGTCAAGGCATCGGGACACACAAACAGAATGGTCAGGGCGTTGGGACGCAAAAAGAATAGTGAGGGCACTGGGACACACAGAGGTCAGGGCGGTGGGAGACAGGCAGAATGGTCAGGGCGCTGAGATACAGGCAGAATGGTCAGGGCGCTGGGACACAGGCAGAATGGTCAGGGCGGTGGGAGACAGGCAGAATGGTCAGGTCGCTGAGATACAGGCAGAATGGTCAGGTCGCTGGGACACAGGCAGAATGGTCAGGTCGCTGAGATACAGGCAGAATGGTCAGGGCGCTGGGACACAGGCAGAATGGTCAGGGCGGTGGGAGACAGGCAGAATGGTCAGGGCGCTGGGACACACAGAATGGTTAGGGCGCTGGGACACACACCGTGAACGGAAGGGTGAGGGATACGCACTGGAGTGGTCAAAGCGCTGGGACGCACACATTGACAGAATGGTCAGAGCGCTGGAACACACCGGAGACAAAATGGTCGGGGCGCCAGGATACATATCGGCGCGCTAATGGTCTCGTAGATACTAATTACGCATATACGATCGCACGCTTCTATATGAGTAACGTTTGCACAAACGTACCTTGCCACACATGTTCCCGGGTCAATAGCATGTTAGTAGGCCTTTTATTAGGTAGTTTTCCACGAACCAGTCGGAACATCCGACTGCTGACCGAATTTCGACGTGTGTTACCGGTGAATCAGCTGTGGTGCCTCAGATGCTTCCCAGATTACGAATGACATTCAGCCGATATCCGGCCTCATATAGGGCGGATATCGTATATCGTATATCGATATCGATATCGTGTATATCATATATATCCGGCCTAGGTAGTTTGACCGATGATGTATGTCCGGTGCAGATCGGCTGTAACCTGTTCCGGACATTGCCGCCGAGCGAGAACCAGGAGTTTGACCCCGAGGAGGACGACCCCACCCTGGAGGCGTCATGGCCGCACCTACAGGTCAGTAACAGTCCACTAGGCCTCTGTCGGTGGCTGATCGGGGGGGGGGACGGGGGCGCGTTCCTGTGAACAATACTGATACTAGTGATATTTGTGTAGTTGTTGGACGTCATACTATCGTGGAGTGTCGTACGCTTATTCATCTATCGATAGCGAGACCAATCAAGCATTGTGTATAATGACACATGACTGTATCGACATATGTGCGTCAGCACCATTAGCATGTGTAATTTTCCTTACGGCGAGTCACACAGGAACGGGAACGGGAAGTGCATGCTAAAACAACACGTTGCGTTCCATTTTGATTGAACAACCCGTGTCTACCAGTTCTGAGTCCGTATCATTGGACTCTGATTCTTTGTTTTGTGTGTTGGGGGATGGGCGACGTTTTGTCCGTGGCTCCAGGAACCCCCAGTACGTTGAAGGCGAAATATGTCCGTGTCTGCAGGCGGTTCTGGTCCGGCGATGTACCGCTCGTTAGTCGGCAGTCGGAGCTGACATTGAATGACGGGATACACGCCGACCAGCTGACGCGGGACGCACGCTTTGAGACACCAGTCCGGGTGGCTGTGCTGCATTCCTCCTGCCAGACTCTGACTGTAGTCTTCTGTTTCTTCTATTTCAGCTCGTCTACGAGTTCTTTCTGCGCTTTCTGGAGTCACCGGACTTCCAGCCCAACATAGGAAAGAAAGTTATAGACCAGAAATTCGTTTTGCAAGTAAGTAATGTTGTTGCCTTATTATGTTAATTGGTTATGCTTTGTGTTTTGCATTTTTTTAGTTTCAATAACCCTGTAACCAATGTGCACAACTGGTGCAGAGGGCATTTTATGTAAACATTCGTTAATGTTTTCGATGTGCGGACTGCAGAGGGCTGACCCTCTGTCCCTCCCGGTGCGCTCTGCAGTTGTTACAGCTGTTCGACAGCGAAGACCCCCGGGAGCGAGACTTCCTCAAGACGGTGCTGCACCGGATCTACGGAAAGTTCCTCGGCTGGCGGGCGTTCATCCGCAAACAGATCAACAACTTTTTCCTGCGCTTCATCTACGAGACGGAGCACTTCAACGGCGTGGGAGAGCTGCTGGAGATCCTCGGAAGGTGCGGAAAGCGGTGGTGACGTGGGATTTCGGCCCGTAGAGAGGGCGGTTGGGGTGGCCGGGGACAGTGCCGGGTCGGCTGGGTGGGAGTCTTCACTCTAAAGGTCAGCTTACGCGGCTCGAGCGCCCTATAACCCAAATTTTACATCACGCGGGATAAAAGCAACAATTTATAGGTGTTATGGTATAAATATTTTTGTTATCTATTGCATCATGTTGTTTGTGTTTTTTTCAGTCTAGCGACGCATCTATCTGTTGATGTGCGCTGATATGTCCGCTCATCTGACGTTTCCGCTTGCGTGATGCAATCTGTGCTGACGTATTTACGTCATTGATCTGTGCTGACGTGTCCGCTGACAGCATCATCAACGGGTTCGCGCTTCCTCTGAAGCACGAGCACAAGCAGTTCCTGAACAAGGTGTTGATCCCGCTGCACAAGGTGCGGTGCCTGAGCCAGTACCACGCGCAGCTGGCCTACTGCGTGGTGCAGTTCCTGGAGAAGGACCCTACACTGACGGAAAAGGTGATCCTGGGCCTGCTCAAGTACTGGCCGAAAACCTGCAGTCAGAAGGAGGTAAGGACGAGGGCAGCCGGCCGCGGAACTGGGGTGGGATGGCTCGTTGCTACGCCTTGTTCATCGCGGCATGATCAGTAACGCAGCTTAATATGCTAGAAATACCTATTCAGAAATCAAAGGACGAACCTTTTCATTCCTCGCAATGCCAATTAAGTTGTTTAAACTGTCACGATGTCATGGGCGTCAATGACCAACGCAGTCCGGGCGCCCTAAAAGCCCAAATCATCATCATCGTCCCGATGCCCTGTGTTGGTCGCCCCGCCCCTGACGCCCACCGTCCGAGTCCCGGCACTGAAGCCGTATGTGTGTCTGTCGCCGACAGGTGATGTTCCTGGGAGAGATCGAGGAGATTCTGGACGTGATCGAGCCCAATCAGTTTGTGCGCATCCAGGAGCCGCTGTTCAGGCAGATCGCAAAGTGCGTCTCCAGCCCCCACTTCCAAGTGAGTCTGGGCACCGGAGACACGCGGGGACCGATGTACTGATCTGTGCGACATCTGATCTATTGTGTTCGTCTGCGCGCTTTTGTCCAGAACTCCCATCAGTTTCTGGCTGATCGCTGTATTTGCGATTATCTGGGCTACTCGTCTTCGCGACGAGATTGACAGCTGGACGACAGACGTGTCGTTTTTGCCCATCCCGTGTCTTTCTGTGAACTGTTGAGAAGGGTGTGTCGGGGATCCGGCAGCACTCCTATCGGTATCGCTGACTCTGCGATCATGCTTCTCTGACGCTGCGGACATACTGCGACGCTTTGGGCCCCCTGCTAACGCTGTGACCTGACGTTGCGGACCCCTCCGCCAGGTGGCCGAGCGGGCGCTCTACTACTGGAACAATGAGTACATCATGTCACTGATCGAGGACAATAGCAGTGTCACGCTGCCAATCATGTTCCCGGCTCTCTATCGGTAAGACACGTTATACCACAGGCAGAAACACGGGCACCGTTTGCCACTCATTGAAATGCAAGCCGATACTGAATTATTTGTTACTCACTGAAATGCAAGAGACATTAGGTATCATACATGGTATTATGTTGCGTCCTTATGTTCAGCTGAGCGTCAATACGGCACTAAGGATTATCTTCTTAAGTATCCGGGCGTATCATGCCACACTTCAGAATCAATCATTACAAGCGATTGCTAGCCAACCCACTGAACCTATAGATTCATTACTCTGTACTCAGAACTATGCTGACCAGCGTTTTCTTTTTCTATCAACAGGATTAGCAAGGAGCATTGGAACCAGACGATTGTGGCGCTCGTGTACAATGTGCTCAAGACTTTTATGGAGATGAACGGCAAGCTGTTCGACGAGCTCACCGCCTCGTACAAGTCGGAGCGACAAAAGTACGTGAGCCCGCGGTCTGTTTATGCGAATGAACTGGTTGCTAGGGAACTTTTTATCGTATATTGTTTATTGCCTTTACCAGTCCGATGCATAGTACCACAAACATAATTCACATTTCCTCTCTTAGGAACCAGTTCACTTCATTGGGCTCCATTATTGGCTCTTGATCTGCCAACAAGATCCGGCATGCGTAGCTTGTGGGGCGGGCTCAATTGCTACATTGGTTATGCGGGTTTGTGCTTTGGTTTGCACGTTATTAATTAACAGATATAAGTTTATGATCATTTGGGGTCGGCAGGCTGTCTCAAAATCTTGAAAGCCCGCTGTCACAAGTCAATATGTTTGTCTCGGAAGCTTAGCTAAGTTTTGGTCTTGGTGTGAGGCTCCATTGGACAGCCGTACCAATTTGCGGACTGGTCGGAATCCGCTAATCTGCTGGCGTAATCTGCAAACCCCATCGTCAGTGCCGGTTACGTTTGGTTGTTTCATGTTCAATGATGAAAGCTGGCAATGTCTGATTGCGTCTGGTCCATATTCAGCGTCCTGAATTTACGGTGTCATATTTTGCTCAGTCACCTATCTTTTCCTGCATTCAGATCTCCACACCATCTCTTCCAACGCTTTTTATTTTTGGCGATTGACTGTAAAAGTTTTTGGGAGCTACATGTGAGCGCAGGCGACCCCTCGAAACCAGCGACTTCCCTCCTACATCTGACCCGTCCACGCCGGTTGCAGAGAGAAGAAGCGGGAGAAGGAGCGCGAGGAGCTGTGGAAGCGGTTAGAGGCGCTGGAGCTGCAGACACAGAAGGAGACGGCCGGCGACGCCAAGTAACGGGCGCGCTCTCGGCCGCAGCCGCCGGCCGGCGCGCCGCGGCTCGCTAGTCAGCGTCCGGCGGCGGCCGCTGAGTCGGCGGACCAGGGCGCGCCACCACTCATGTGATCGCTATACGGGGCGGCGCCGGCGGCGCGCTCGGGCTCGGCCAGTGGGGCGCGCGCCGGCTGTTGTTCGTTTGTCATAGAGGAGTGCCGCGCCGCCCGTCTGTTGCACACTGCTCTCTCTCTCTCTCTCCCCTCTGTCCGTACTGGCTCCGTCTCCTCTCCCGCGCGGACCGCCCGCCCGCCTGCCGCGCCGCGCCGGTCGGCAGTGATAGCTAATGCTCCTGGCCTTGTTTTGTTGTTGCCAAACGCGGCGCGGCTGGTGACCTGCCCGCGCGCGCTGTGGCCGCGCCGCCGGCGGTGCGGTGTGTGCGTGTGTCGGCCGCCGTCCTGCCGGCGCCGCCCGTCTCAGGGCCCCACCGGCGCCCGAATAACCCCCGAGACTCTGTTGCACGGCGGCGCGCGTGTGCCGCGGACCGGCGCGCGGCCAGCACCGGTTTTACAGTCTTTTGTCGGCCCCGGATGCGACTGTACATACTCGTGCATGAGGCATATATTGGACACGTGTGTGGCCGTTGATGTACCGGATGAGACCGAGCGACAGGGCGGCAGACGTGATCGGCGTTCGTTTGGGTTTGCGTACGGCGAGAATCTGTCCGGACTTGGCCTCCTCTGTAGAGTTCCATGCGATCAGTTGTGTAACGTTTTGTGATGTGTAATTTTTTTGTCCTATCAGCCACTTCTAACTCGGTAGAATGTCTCTGTGAATAAACTGTATATATACATATATACATACTACACTTGTGCTTGGCTTATAAATTCATGGACGCAGCCACGACCCGGCCCGCCGCAAACTGTCCCTCAATACAATACAATGTGGAAACTCGTCAATGACTGCTAGCTCTCACAGATCGGTACGGCGGGTGATCCTCGGTATCACTCTGGGGGAGATATAGGCTCTAGACGCGGCTCTCAGCCGCGGCAGTTGATGCGAGCGGAGTTGGCGTCTCGCGCTGCGGTCACTCCATTCGCGAGGTGACGCGTGACGCGCCTGGTGGCACGACAAACAGTTCTCGACTGCGACACAATCAGCGGCGCCACCGCCGCTCTTGGCGGTCGGCCAGCAGCAGCCCCCGGTCCTCGGCAGATGGCGTTACTTTCTCACTCGTGGGTCTCGCCAGCCTCTCGGTGGGTCGCTGAGGAGTGGGGATCCAGCGCACTATCGGCGGTTAGTCGCTAGAGTCCTCGGCGGGCAGCGCCATATCCTCGTCACCCTCGATACCGTCACTCTCCTTAATTAACGCCTGCTCCAGAATCACCCGGCCCTCCTTATACCTGAAACAGGTGCCAGACCCCAATCAGAATGCTTGACAATGGCGTCTACACTCTACGCATTGTCTGTTTTATCTGTGGTGAGTGACCGTACAAAACAACTACCACGCTCTAAGCAAAATACGAGCAGAGTGCGTAACCTGACAAACCGTGAGCCAAACATGCTCACTGCTCAGTGCACTGCACTCTTCCCCCCCCCCCCCGCCTGTCCCCAAGGGAGTACACTTGTGAGTCGTGCCCCTGTGGCTCTGTGATGTGGGGAGCGTGGCGCGAGTCCACGATAAAGGGCGGTTAACCGATAACAGATTAGTTGAAAGCTGACTGCCCGATTTGTTTGCTGTCGGGAACGTTAGTAAAATGCAATAATATGATATGACTGGACAATCAGCCCAGCTACCCATTATGGAATTCAAGCGTCTGACTGCTCGCAAGCAGCTCGCAAGAAGCCAGCGAAAGCGGTTGACTGCCCGTGGGGCTCGTTACCTCTGCTGCTCCTCCATGGCGAACTCGTAGATCCAGCCGAGTTTGGTGTCGCAGTACTTGCAGGAGACGTCGCGCACCATGTGCCGCCCGGTGAGCATCTGCCGCTCCTGGATCTCACTGCGGGCACAGGCAGCGGCACGGTCTCAGCGGGAAACCGAGAGGCATCCACCCAGCACACATCAGAAACAGCGACCCGGACACGGCAGAGGAGCCGGACGGCTCTCGGTCATGATGGAAAAGAGCCGCACACGGTCGCAGCGGCCTAGTTTACCAAAGAAATAGACATTCGTTCCAGCAGAGAAGGAGCGGCACCCACCTAACCTTACCCGGTCAAAAAGGAGACTGATTGGGAGCGCACCATCCCCTATCGGTTTCGGTTCTTTACACGTCAACTAGATCAGCTAGTTATAAGCACTTCCCCACCTGAATTTGAGGTTGACCACGTCTGTGAAGAGGAAGGCGCGGCCGGTGGATCCGGTGAAGCGCGTGCTGATCAGCTTGCTGCGGTTGGTGAGCACGGTGCCGCAGCTGCGACAGGAGAACAGCCGCTTACCGCCAATGTGCCGCAGGAAGATCCTGCCCATCGTCCCTCACCCGGGACCGCCGCGGCTGCGGTCACGAGACCAGAGAGGGCACCGCCCAGATACGCAATACGCTGAGTGGTTCAGACCGGAACGTCGTGTACGCTGGCAGTTACAAGACCAGCCACCAGAAAGTGTCTCACTCAGATTGCTGGCTTCGAAAGTTGCGAGCCGAGATCGGCACTGCTACCGGATCACCTGCGGATGAAGAAACAAATATGAGAAGGTTAATGCCTCGTGCAATTAATCGTTACTTATCCAGCGAAAAATCGCGAATATGTCCACTAAACCTTCGCGACTCACAGACGATCGCTCGATTTCTGAGTCAACAATTTTGGCGATATTGATATCGATACCAATGATTGACGATAGGAGTTTCCACATACCTCGACACCTCGACGCCGATTCACTTCACCCCTAATCGAGCCAGAGCGTTGCAAAAGACGAGCGTGTTGACCGCCACAAAACCGATAGTGGAGTACCAAATGCTTAGGCCTGGGATCAACCGGTGACATCTGATGTCAGGTCAATGTCCATGGGTCAGATTAGTTTTTGGTGAATAACAGGTAAAAATAAGTGCAGTACGAATTTCACATCAAACCATCGCGATTTTGATGTCTAGCTGCTTCAATCTCATACCTTCTGTTGGAAAAGGACAATTTGTGCCTAGAAGGTCAATCCAAAGTCAAATCTACTCAGGTTGGTGTGATGGTCTAGAAAGATGCATTCCATTAGTCAGCTCATTCAGTGCCCTCTAGCAAGGTACCTACTCTTTACAAATGATGTTTTATGATAGGTATTGAACTGATCAAAAACAGTTATGGAGCTGCCAAGGGATTTTCAACATCAGCATCACACTGCTGTTTATTAAGTTACCCTCCTCATTTTCAGAGACTCAATTAAAGGGTAAAATGACTCTCAAAACAGATCTCATTTCAAATTTTCTCACAAGGAAGTAAGATAAGTGTCCACATTTAGGGGAGGTGTCATGTGGTGTGGGGGTCGCATTTATCTCAGGGTGAAATGTTAAACATTGATTGTATACCATGTTGGAAATTGTATGTCTATAAGAGTTGTGAAACAAATCTACAAAACAATGCTGTTAAATCATTACCAAGCTTTCTCAAAATGAATGCTAAAAAATGTGCTTGCTTTCTCAACCCAAATCCACCTGCAAGTGATTAAATTCCTGAGGTTGCCAACTGCAAGATAGTCTCAGTACCTTGGCTGCCTTGTAAGATGAGGCAGAGACAGGTTATCACCAGCCTGTAAGGGGGTGGGAAATGAGAGGTCTGTCCAATGTATCCAGCAGCTCTGCTGCCTCCTGATGCCAGAATCCTCAACTGGTCAGTACTCAGTGAGCACTGATCCAAGTTGACCTGGGAATATGTGGGGTGGGGATAGAGCAGTGATTAGTCAATGTACTCCCTGCAGTGCTTTCCAGCCCTGCTACTCCGACTCTGCCTTCTGGAACATGACAGCTGCTGGGGAAAAGATAACACAATCAGGCACAACATATTCAATGTAAGATTGCACACAAGTTATGACTGATTTGAAAAAGACAGCAACTGATGATCATATCCAAGAAGCAGCAAACCCTAAAATGACTATAAAAATATAGTGTTCTGTATTTGAATTCTGACCTTCCTTGAGCAAGCAATGAGTATAAACACTTAAACAGGGGTCAAAGGACACATTGAGCAGGCTACAGACATTCATTTTCCAATCCCAGCTACACAATCAAAAAGACAAAATAGATACATGATGAAGAAATGAAACGGTAGCAATAAAATAAGTAAAGAAACTGATGTAGATGGACCAGAGGTTCAATCTGCCTTTGATCTGATGATAAATGAGGCTGTTCACCTTGTGAAACAGTATAGGGCTGAAACACATAGGTGAACTGTTTAAAATTAGGGGATATGGGATAATCATCCAAATCACAGTCAATAATGAGATATACCTAAATAACCCAAACTGAAACCAACAAGCTGTCTTTCAACCTGTTAATTCATGACAATGATAAGAAATTGTGAGAATTCTTCCAATGAGAACGATGGCCATGGTTATAGTCATTCATCTCTGAATACTAAACCTCTCATTAAAATCATACAAGTAAATATATAGCCACAAAAAGAGCAAATCCTCCCTTGTTTACCACTAAGCAGACTGTTTCCCAATGACCTTGGATTTTCTCGCCTTTCTTTGTTTTGATTGACAAACTTTTATTCCCCGATCGAAACTACAATCAAGTCCAATAAGGCAGCGTAAGCGTGGATCCGATGCAAGGCGTCCAGGAAATAGTTCACTTTCACGAAATTATTTTTTTTGCAACGGATTTATGATTTTTTATGTTCAAAATAATCAGCAAAGAAAATAAAACCTTTTTATAACAAAAGATTATTTTCTATATTTTGATATAGGAAGAACTTTTCAGTTTCTGTAAGGCACACGCGATCCAGTATGAAAAGAGCATGGGTCCCGAAAATTCTTCAGAAACAGAGAAATTATCGCAGCCACCGGCATTTGGGCGATCTGCTCGATCTAATAATGTTCCCCTGAATGTCCTAATTGATCAGTACGAGCATATCTATGAGTACGAGAATTTCTCTAGAGTTCTCGTAGATAATTTCTCTAGTTTCTGAAGAATTTTCGGGACCCATGCTCTTTTCATACTGGATGGAAATATATGCAAGGCACACATCACACCTTTTTCGGGACGAGAAATAGAATATCTTTGCCTAGGGTGATCGTTGGGCTGTAAAAGCTCCTGATTTATGCTCGTCTCAGCCCAAGCTACGGAACTGCTATTCCAGTTCAAAACCCATGTTAAAAAGTGAACTATTTCCTTTAAGGGCCTTGAGTGTATTACAGGGCAGGGTTTACAGGGTAGGTAGGGACTCGAAAATGGTATGTTCAAAAATATTGTTATATTTTTATCAAATAGAATCTAGTTGAATATTGGTGAGCAAAATCAACATTACACCACGTCAGTAGCGGCGGAACACCCTAGCGGCGGGGGGGGGGGACACTGCCGACTTTTGGTCCCATTCTTTCGGGTGGGACTAAATGCTTACTTCGAAATCTAAGCTACGTTGCGGCATTGGCGGTTATGTGCGGCGTGTATGCCGCATGATTAGTAAGAGGCGACCACTAAATTAAAGACTCAAACGCTCCGACCGGTTCTCAATGAATAACACTGCATACCAAAAATGCCAACCGCTCTCGTCATAAGATATTCAGCTTTAAATAACTAGGTTATCTACATCATCATTTTGAACCAAATTAATACTTTCAACTTAACTCACTCATTCCTTCCTTTGTTGTCTCCAAACAGTCGTTCGATTGTCTGGAAATCGTATGCTAAATCCCGTACCTGTATGCGACTGGTGCATATAAAGGCCGATAAAAGAATTTGAATAGGCTCTGGCATGCGATTTCCTGGCTACCCAAAAAAGTCTGTTTCAGTCTTGCTATCAAAACATGACCTCGCCCGCACAGGGGGGGGGGGGGTTGATGCAACCCCCCTAAGGTTTTTCGCGAATAACTCGCTTAAAAAGCGGCTGATCGCGACGAAACTTTCAGTACCCTCGCATTGATCAATTTAACACCCATCCTGAAAATTTCATGACCCTGACCCAAATGACCTTTGACCTGTGACCTACTTTTCGAGACCATGTTTGGCCGGAACCGCGATTCAGCGTATGTCGGCTCGCATTAGCAGCGCGTTTGCAGTCTTTTCGTGGTTTCAAGCGTTCAAACATGTGATATGATGTTGCCCCCATGCATTAGGGTGGGTGTCAAGGTCACCTGAAGGTCAGGTCAGGTCATTGACCTTTGGTGACCTCGGTTCACTTTTTCGAGTTTGACATGTTTCTAGGTCAGTTTTTTTTCGAGCTGAATTCGAATTAAAGGAAGGGTGCCACCTTTTGGACACAACGCAGTTTTTACAAGATTAGCCTCACATGAACCTAAAAACCGGCTTCACTTACCTATGCTCGAGACGGTCAGCATTGAATCCGCACGTGAAGTTATCATTTGCCAGTTTTGCTGCCAGCATTTGGGCAGGCAAAAATCTTCAGCACTATTTCCTCGTCGTGTTAAGGGTATTTTATAAAACATGAAATCAGCAAAGGTATGTATAAAAGTTATACTTTTGAAGCATGTTTTATCATTTTGAAAGGGTATATTTTTTCTTTATGGTATACACTTAAGTTTTAAAATTTTAATTGGGTAGTTTTTCTAGTAAGTTGCATGAAGGGTGAAGGGTTCCATAGATCTCTTAAGCATTGTAAAGGAAAAACCTTTACTCGACTTATTTGATGTTCTTTTCTGATGTTCTTTCTGATGTTCTTTTGATGAAACCTTTAGTTCAAATCATGTTATCTTCTTTCTTTTTATTTGTTCATCTTTTTGTCTCAGTTGCGCCATCAATGCAAATGGCAGAATGATATGTTGCCATGACAACAGGATATGCCAGCCGTCCTAGCTGCCACATCAAACGACCTTGAGTTGTAGTGGTGATATAAACAACGATCTTTTTTTTTTTGGCCAATGTATTAAATGCAATGTTTCGGTTTTTTGTATATTGTGGACGCGCTAACCACGTCTAAAAATTCAAATAAGTAAAATAGATTCATAGAACAAAAATTTCGGAAGGTGGCACCCTTCCTTTAAGCAACCACATGAACGTTTACAAAGTAGTTTTGGTGCCTTCGTAACATGTTACGAGGCTGTCAGAGGCGGTTGACACCCGGCCCCCGCCGAAGTTAGTTGGTAGCACTGCTGCTCCACGGCGTACATTTCCTACCAGCCCATAGGGTTTACATGTTAAATGGCCTGTTTTCGGCGAGCGATATCTCGGTCAACCTTTGAAGGAATCAATGGTTCTTGGTCTCAAATGATAGATCGATAAATTTTCTTTCGACAATTCCTCTACCATTTTTCACGAAACCCAGCCGATCTTCTACGGCGTACAGGGTAAAGATTTCTCTGCACGCCAGCACCCGCGATCCGCCTCTCCGTTCGTCGGCGCGCGGTCCGCGGTAGCGCAGTCGGTAGCGTATCGGCCTACGGATCCGAGGGTCGTGAGTTCGAGTCCTGGGAGCGCCGCATGATTTTGGCTAGAATTGAATGATGTAGCTTCTTGAATGTTTGCATAATCAATTATTAATAGCTAATTGAATGTATCTGCCCACAATCGGCCCCTAAAACCTGTTATTTAAAGAATTTAAGAAATGAATGTCGCGTGCGCGTCACGACTGCCAACCATAAGCGCTACCATATTCTAGTTTGAACTAACTTTTTGCTAGTCCCGACCACATATAGTATGTTTTCTAGTAGTTATACTAGAAATTCCTACCAAAGTTCGTCCTACCCTTCACTCAATATACCCTGGTTGACACCTACTACAAATACCTGGCAGGACCTCTACTGGTTGACCTGACCTGACCTAACCCGACCTGGCCTAAATGAATGAAGACATCATCTGTGATCAAAACTAGCATGATATTCGTGATCAGCACCCCGAAAAACCCCATAGCAGCCACACTACGACGTTCTAACAGGTCCCAATTTTCCCGCCTTTTGGGTCATTGACCTGACCTGGAAGGTCAACCGATAACCTAGGACCTTAAAATTGGGTATCATCGGCTTTCTCTCGTCACGGGCAACACGCTCGTTTTTTTCCGCGAAGCTCTAGCTTGATCAGGAGCGAAACGGCAAGGGGTTATACCTTATACGTTCGCGGCTGAGTATTAATTTGGTTTAAAACAATGATGTAGATAAGTTAGTTATTTAAATCTAAATATCCTATGACGAGAGCGATGGACATTTTTGGTATGCAGTGTTATCCATTGAAAACAGGTCGAAGCTATTGAATTTTTAATTTAGTGGTCGCCGCTTACTAATCATGCGGCATACACGCCGCACATAACCGCCAATGCCGCAACGCAGCTTAGATTTCGAAGTAAGCATTTAGTCTCACCCATTCTTTCCACCAACGCCCATAGCGCTAATGTTAAATGCCAAAATCAAAGGGGGGCACGGTGCCCCGGTGCCCTCCCCGTTCCTCCGCCTATGCACCACGCAAGTCACTGGCTGTGGTCTAATCGCGCCGTGGTGGTGCATTGTGTGCAAGTTGGTGGGAGCTGGCGCCAGCTACAAGGCGACTCCAGTGCCCGCCTCGAGGCATGTGCAGACTTTAATATGCGTAGCCTTGGCACTGAAATTTAATGAAAATATCTCTCAATTCCCGTCTATTTAGCGTCGAAGATGTGTTCAAATCAACTCCATCAATACGACTGGGCCGATCCGAAAGGGTGAAAAAAGGGTTAGGGTTACCCGTGCCCCGTGGGAACTGGACGTGGAGACTGCCGCCTGCCGGTGAGCGCAATAAGATGTTAAGTGGGAAAAGCATACGATGATTTTGATTTTGAGCTGACCTGTGAACTGTGAAGTAATCAGTGACCTCGAGGTTACCAGTCAGGCTACATTCGATGGATTTTCCAGGGTTATCAAGTGCAGCTGGAGCATCGAAAATCGATCCATTACTTTTAGAGATTGGTCTCTATAGAGCCCATCAGTCAACCGTAATGTGGAATAAACCAAGTCGCCGAGGGGAAATAAAATAATATACAAATGCCACACTGTCAAGTAAATGAAGCATTCACTCTAAAATTTATTGGTGGGGGATATAGACCTGTCGATCGACTAAATCTAATGACACAGTCCATATGAAGCATGCGCCACGATCAGTTGCATCGTTAAAATAACAATAGCAAGCCTAATTAAATTCAATGCCAAACCTATTCGAGCGTCCAGTGATTAGAGCTCGTCACGAGGCAATCGTCACCGTCGGTAACAGAAGTCCGCTCTCGGTGAGAAAATAATCATATCAGCCTGTCCAGGACGGTGGTCGATCGGACTCTGATCCAGCAACGCACGCGGCCGGCCGCTCCAGAGCTCCAGCTTCCATCCGAACCTATATTGAGACAAAACCGGACACAGGTATGGCGCACGGCCCGGGCCGAATTTGCAAAGGGCGCCGCTGCCGAATCGAGAACTCATGTGCTGGATCGCATAGGCCACCGTCGGCTGTGGGCCGACCGGCGATCGCAGTGAGGGTGCCGGCCGGCCGGCCGCCACAGGCCGGCGGCCCCTCCGGCACCCGGCCGCGGCTGGCCACTGACCGCAAACGTAGCAGAGAACACACGAGCACCACACACCGCTCCACAGACGCGCGCCGACGCCAACCAAGCACACAAAATTTCCGCGGCGGAGCGCACACGGCGCCACCGGACGTTCATCTATGAGAACAACGAGACACCAGACGTGCATAACACAACACCAACACTTCGGATGACGGTATATACAGAGGTCTCTCAGTTCATTGCTGCGGCCGAGGCGGTCCGACGCGCGCGCGCGCACCTTAAAAAACACACCCGGCGCGGCGGGCGGGTGCGCGGCTCCAGCGCGCTGTGCGTGGCACTGCACCGGGTCGCTCCTGTCAGGCGCGTCACCCGGCCGACCGCTCCGCCGTCCTCAGTCCCGTGCCCGGCCGACTAACCACTACCGGCGATCAAGCGCAAACCGCACGCAGCCTACCTGGAATAGTGTATATGTGTGTATGCCTGTGTGTCCGCGTACTGTGTGTCAGTGTGGGATGAGACGCGCCGCAGTCGGGGCGGGCGCGCCCCGCGCTCAGCGCGCCGACGTCCCGCCAACGCCGCCGCTATCGTGCGGCGCGCGCGCGCGAGCGCACTGCCGTCGTCTCTGTCCTTTGTACACGATGTGGGCGGTGCAGGTGTGGGTTGCGACGCCCGTTACTTGGCTGCCTTGCGCGCGCTCGAGCGGCCCGGCTTCTCGGGGGCCGGCGCGGAGCGACGGCTGCTCGGTGCCGACCGGGCTGGCGGGGCGCCCCGCTTGGTCGGCGGCGGTCGCTTCTCGACTGAAAAGGGACGGATGGAGACAGTTAGAGGCCGGCGGTCACTCCATCGCCTGCAGTCAGATCACACTAGTACCAGCAATCCAAATGCCTCCATCTTCTTTTTGTGGAGTACTATGATCGGGTCACTGAATTCCCCTTAAAATGACAGCTTGGGTAAATTCATAATACGTCCGCATTGAAAAAGTCGCCGAAAGATCTTTGGCGCAAACACCTAAAGTCATACAGCATCATCAGCTGGACCGTGGCGATGCCGAACTTCAGGTCACTCCAGGCCACCCGTCATAAATTCATGGACCAGCGAGTGATTGTAATTTGAGTAATTTACAGGTAACTTTTGATTTTCTTTCCCACGATCTTTATCTGATGTTGAGTTCCGACAATCCCCTTCTTCTTACATGAATACACGAATGCCTATAAACAACAAACATATGCAAGTGATAAGTCGTTCATACCCTTTTTGTCCTTGGCGGTTTGTTTGGGTTCGGGGGCCTTCTTGGCGGGCGCGGGCGGCGGCGCTGCCGCCGCGGTGCGAGCCTTCTTTGCCGCCGGGGCAGAGGCCGGCGCCGGCGCCCGCCGCTTGGCCGCCGCCGCCGCCGCCGCCTTCTTGGCTTTCCGACCGCCCTTCTTGGGCTTGGGCGCCCGCGGGGTGCGGGGTTTGGGCGCGGCGGCCGCCTTCACCGGCGCGGCGCCGTCCGACTTCCTCTTGTCCAGCTGCGACTCGTCGTTGTAGAGCGACAAATCAACTGTGGATACAGAGCGAGGGTGAGAACAGAAACTGCGAGAAGTCGTACCGGGCTAGTGGTGCTATACAACTGACATCAAACATGAACTTAGTTAGCAAAGAAGGCTGTTAAAGAAGAAATATTGATCCAGGACATACGATTAAGCCGGCAACATCTATAACTGTAGACATGTACAGAACTGGACGATAGAGACGGGGATAAGAAATGTTGGGGCCAGGGTTGGCATTTTTGCCGGCAAAAACTAGTTTATGCCATTTGCCGGTTTAAACCGGTTTTAACCGGCAAAAAGTGGCAAAAACTGGCAAAAACTAAAAACCATCACAATGCAATGCCTAAACATGGATTTGAACAGGAAACATTTTAAGGAGAATTCAGTGAAAGCTTTATGCTTTCAAACAGTAGTGACGTTGACCATTGAAGTGTTGTATAACTCAAAAACATTTTCATGGGCTTTCCATAAGGAACCAGTAAGCCGCCTTTTGGGATCACAAATGAGCCAGTGCAAGGGTGAGTCCTGCACATTAAGAGGTGCGAAGGGGTATCTGCCGCTGACATGCACACGGCACCGCACGGCACCTTACTTACTATTGGTGCCAATCGGAATTTCTTTTCTTGGAATTCCAATTTTTGTCCAATTCCAATTTGGAATTTGGACGGAGTTCTTAACATTTTTTTGGAAATTAATCGGAACACAAGGCCTTTAAAATTTAAAATTTTAAAACGGAGGCCTTTAAAACGCTTTTAAACACTTTTAAAATTTACGCAAAAAATGCAAAAATCGTTAAAAATTGGAATAGCCCCCGCTTTGGACAAAATTGGAAATTTACTTGGCAATTTCTTGGAATTGGATCGGAATTGGAATTGAAATTTCATGAAATTGGCACCACTATTACTTACCGTGGCCGCTTTGCCCCACTCTCCCCTATACATGGAAATGCATTAGGGTGGTGGATGTCTACCGAAATGCATATACATTTTAAAGGGACTATCCCACCTTCTAAAATGTTGTTAAAACCAGTTAAATTCTGCCCGACTTTATAGATTGGATGACCAGGAACACGGTTCTGGCATTTATTTATCATTAAACATCTAAGGCTTCCCATATTCCAGACACAAACTTTCAAATATGTGACGTCACAGCCCAAAATTACCTCCTTCCCCAGGCCACATTACTGTCATAAAGCTGATTCTTTTTACTCTGTAGGCACCACAACAAAGTTCAGACCAAGTTTTAAGCGATTTTTCGACGAACAAACCCATTTAAATCAGAATGACTAAACGAGGTGACGTCACACTAACGGTCGCTCCATGTTGAAGATAGGGCCTTGTACAAGGCCCATTTTCAAATGAAGGGAACGAATTTCTTCAACACCAAGAGGCCGCGGGGGTTGCAACCTAGATAGATAGTGGTTTCTGAACCTCGCCGCAAACTTGACTATCTCAACTCAAACCCCATGTTAAAGGTGGGATAGTCCCTTTAAGCAGGGATAAGTAATGAGGCAAAGTTCAGAATGTTTAGTGCGCCTCTATAATATCCAGAAATGCATAAGTACATTTCAAAGCCATTCCTTGCTAGAAAAGATGTAGCTTTGGCCACCTGAGTTTTAGCCAGTTTTTGCCAGTTTTTGCCACCAAGGGTTTCTGCCAGCCGGTTTAAACCGGTTAAAACCACTGGCAAAAACCAGTTTTTGCCACCCCCTGCCAACCCTGGTTGGGGCGAAGTCTCAATAAAAAGTTCTAATGTTGTCAGCTACACTTAATTTCTTCGTAAGGCATGCACTAAGTGATATAACCACGGGGTTCAGAGGCGACCTGAGGTAGGTATAGCTTGGGCACGGAATATATAGTCTTCGACAGACTATACAGTCTACGACAGACTGTCGTAGACTATATAATCCGTGGCTTGGGTATAGCCCGAAGCAGTCAGGAGTATATCAAGGGGTCGGTCAAGGGTCACATCCCGGGGACGTCGGGTGTTACACCTAACACCAGTGAGGGCGAGGCAGTCGGGATATATTACGGGACCGTCAGGAGTACTGTCCGTTGCCGTCGGGAAGAAATACAGGGATACCTATCTAGTGAAGAGCCAGTGTGTTTAAATCCCGTGACCGGACCGTCCGCCAATGACGGTGGCCACTGTTACTCACGGCCGTCGGGGTGGTCCTCGGTGAGTCCGGCGGCGCCGGCCGGGTCCGAGCCGTCCTGCTCCAGGGTCAGCGCTCGCTGCAGGATGTGGTCGGTGCGCGCCACCTCCTCGGCGCTCAGCTCGTGCCGGTCACGGCCCAGACGCTTCATCTCCAGCGTGGTCAGGATGCTCTCAAAGTCTGCCGCACGGACGGAGGGTCACAGTCAGAGGCGGTAAGGCAAACACAGACAGAGCCAGCGGCAGGAAGCAACAAACGCTCACAAGACACAAAACAATGCACAACTCACATCTGCAGAACATGCCGGGACGCAGCCATGTAACAGGGCACTCACCGATCGTGTCGTAAAAGTCGGGCGAGTAGACGCGTCCGTTGGCGGCCATCCACCGCACTTTGATCTTTTTGCTGCCCTTGTAGACGTTCTGCACGGCCTGGCACACGAAGAAGCTGCCCTCCTCGTTCCGGACCGCCAGAAACTCGTTCCTGCAAAACGAGACAAAGGAATGTCAGGGGCCCCGTACAAAACTGTGAGGTGGAAAGTGGGTGTGCTCACCCGTTCCGTCGTTTCCATCCTCAGGATATTCAAGTCCTTCTCCTCCACGCCGCTGCTGTACCAATCCGGGCTGGAAAGGCAATTTTATACCATACGGGCGGCTCCCATTGGAGCGCACCGCAGCTCCTACGGGAGCACACCCGTAGCCGGGTCCAGTCAGTGCCTGGGAGTTGAGGGGCTGGTCGGCCTGTCCAATTGGATGGGCTCAGCCCCAGTGACTCACTAGGGTACCTGCCCAGATCAATGCCTCCCCTTATTCCTATCATACCCCGGCTCTGCAATGGTCTCAATGGACCGAAAGGGCCTAACCCAACAAAACAAACAAAAATAAAACAAAGTGGTTGTACTGCAAATTCGATTCGATACTGTAAACACGCTCCCTGAAGTACATGAGGTCTCCGTCCAGTTTGGACACATAGCCGATAAAAATAAAGCCTATGGTTTTAGGAAACCAGCTGTAGCATGGCTTACTTGAAGAAGATGATGAGTTTCTCCTCTGGCTGTTTGGTTGGTGTGGGCTTGAGCGCCTTGGGGATGGCCTCGAACTCCGGCACGGGCGACTGGAACGGCTGGGTGGGCACCCTGGCGCGCTTGGGGCGCCGCTCGCTGCTGGCCGCCTGCGCGTCCAGTGCCTCCTTCCTCTTCTGCGGCTGCTGCAGCACAGGGACGCCACACTGAGTTACATACAGCACAGGCCACAGGGACGCAGCACTGAGTTAGAAGTTAGAACAGCACACGGACGTGGCGCTGAGTTAGAATAATGACACAGGGACGCAGCACTGGGTTAGAACAGCACAGGGACGCAGCACTGAGAAGTCGGAACAGCACAGGGACGCCACACTGAGTTACATACAGCACAGGCCACAGGGACGCAGCACTGAGAAGTCGGAACAGCACAGGGACGCCACACTGAGTTACATACAGCACAGGCCACAGGGACGCAGCACTAACAGCACAGGGACGCCACACTGAGTTAGATACAGCACAGGCCACAGGGACGCAGCACTGAGTTAGAAGCTAGAACAGCACAGGGACGCGGCGCTGAGTTAGAATAAGAGCACAGATGGGGCGCCACACTGAGTTAGAACGATGGCAAAGGGACGCGGCACTGAGTTAGAATAATGGCACAGGGACGCGGCACTGAGTTAGAATAATGGTACAGGGATGCGAAACTGAGTTAGATACAGCATAGGAATGTAGCACTGAGTTAGAACGACGGCAGATGGACGCGGGACCGAGTTAGAACGACGGCACGGTGACACGGGACGGACAGAACAGGGTGGCGGCACTGAGTTAGAACGACGGAACAGAAACACGTCCGCATGGACAGAACAGGAAGACAGCACAGAGTTAGGACGACCGCACACAAACACGGCACGGACAGCTCAAGGACTGGACACTGAGTTAGGATAACGGCAAAGGGACGCGACACTGAGTTAAATGCAGCACAGGAGCGCGGTACTGAGTTAAAATAACGGCACACAGACACGGCACTGACAGCACAGAGACACATCACTGAGTCAGTTATAGCACGGAGGCGCAGCAGTGAGAAAAAACGGCATAGGGTCTGACAGCTCTCAGTTAGCCAACACATGACTGGGCTATTTTTCATAACGCGAGTGACTGGGGGAGGAAGGGTGGCTCTACAGGCCCTCCTATTTCCGAAACAACCGTTCCGATTTTAAAACTTCAGTGTTAGCCCCGGATAAAATTGTCGAGCTGGGCCTGGGATATGTCAACGAGTCAGATACCTACCGATTAACAGAGACATGGCACAGAGTCAGATACAATACAGGGATGCAGCACTGAGTAGCACAGTTCATTCGGGTGCAACTGTCTGCGTTGGATAGAGAACACGTCGTGACACAACACCAAATCAGAACCACAATACAGGGATGTGGCAGTCAGAATCATGGCACAGGGGACACAACACTTATCACAATACTTACAGCACAGATGGAGCACAGCATTCAGCAAAGGGACTGCAGATGACACTCCATCAGAATGACAGCACAAGGACACAACACTGAGAATAGCCGCGCAGGAACCCAGCATGACAAGCTGGCAGCACAGGTAATGATGCAGGCAAAATAACAGCTGGTAACTGCAGACACTACACATGGAACACGGCACGTCTAATCGTATACGGGGAACGCCCACGGATCGTAGACGGTGGTCACAATATGTTGTCAGCATGATTCTGTTAGCACAAAAGGACAAAACTGCAGGGCAGTATACACGAGTGGACAGGACACGAAACAGAAGCCACATAAGGTACATGCAACATCACTAGCCCGCGACCGCCTGGGGGGGGGGGTCGGATCCGACCCCCCCTCCATTTTTCTTGAATAACTCATGAACCGCTTGCGCTATCAACTTGAAACTTCGCATACCTTCTTCCCCATCAATTTGACGTCTCCTGTGCAATTTTTAAGAAAAAATCTTCAAAAATTTCTGAGATATATCGATTTTAGTGATGTAACTACATGGCGTTTTCAGTCAAAAAATGGTAAATGTTTAAAAAAATCGCCAAAAATCGAGGTTTTAAGCAAATTGCAAATTAAGGACATGAAAAGACGCAGCTCAACGAGTTCTTTAAAATGGCTATCTCGGATTTTCCATAAAATGCGTTTTTCACCCCTAAAAATTCAAAAAACTATATTTTTTGGAAAACAGCTAATAAAATCCAAAATTTTGAGAATTTCCAAAAAAAACGGAATATATGTTATAGAGCTCTATTAGAATATTAGATGTCCCAAATTTCAACTTTCTATCTTGATTTTTGACCCCCAAATTGTAAAAAATAGCTCCAACATGCATAGGGCATGGTGACGTCATAAGCATTTTCGCGAATTAGAGGATTTTCTGAACATCGCATGTGAAAACAAATGGCCCCACTAGATTCCTGGGACAAAGCTCGTCTAGAAAAGTGCATTTTTATGTCAAAAATAAAAAGTTGAAAAATTGACCTTTTTTCTCAGCCCTCGTTTAGTATAAACGATTTTTTATGCTTTCAATGCACACTTATCACCAGCACAGTGACTTGGGGTCACATATAACCATTACCTTCGGATTTGGCGTGAACAATAAGCCATAAAACATGTGTCGCGCGCCCATGTAGCAGAAAGTGAAAACCGTGACCTTTCGTGACCTGACCTGACCTTGACCCGTACTTACTATGACCCCTATACGCACATGGTACCTTCACTAGGTCTTTGAGGTCATTTGTGGTGAGTTTCGAGCAGCAGCTATCGATTCCGCTGTCCGTAAGCCTAATCATGCAAAACCCCTGAATTTGACCTTTGACCTGACCTTGAACCGAAAGTTGACCTCAATCTTAAAATCTTAAGAGTGCTTTGGGAAGGTCTCGTAGAGACCTTTCGAACGCCGCCTCGCGGGGCTCGATACGACCATTGGTTCTCGAGATAACAGGGGGGGGTCGGATCCGACCCCCCCCCCCCCAGGCTGATGTGGGTATGGAAATAGCCCAGGCGGTGCCGGGCTAGTGACTCAGAAATTTAACGGAAACTGACCCGAGGTGTTTTCTCGGCCAGAGGTACGGCGGCGCGCTTGGGCTTCTCCGGCGATCCGTCCTTTTTCGGGGTGGCTGGAGAGGCGGCGGTCGCGGCTGTGGACAGACCGGGTGCACGAGCGTCACTGTGTGAGGGCCGCTGGCACCGTCAATATGTTTCTAGCTTTATTCGATGTTTTTCAACACATGGTATGGATAATGGATACCTCAAACGAATTCATCAGTTTAGGTAAAGGTTACATAACATCCAAAAGTTTGGTATCACCAGATACGTTTTAAACTAGAAAGAGATATAAGAGAAAATGTACAAACCTGGTTTTTCAGTAGACTTGGCGCCAGGCTTTTCTGACTTTGCTTCTGCCTTGCCTGGCTTTGTTTCTGTTTTGTCACTCTTTGTTTCTGGCTTTTCTGCGTTTGTACCTGACTTGTCAGCCTTTGATTCTGCCTTGTCGGTCTTGGCTTCTGGCTTATCTGCCTTTGCTTCTAATTTGTCTGGCTTGGCATCCGACTTTTCTTCCTTTGGTTGTGATTTGTCAGCTTTTGGGTCAGGTTTCGTTGCCTTAGTATCAACTTTCTCCGCCTTCGCTTCAGGTTTCTCAGCCTTAGAATCGCTTTTATCCCCCTTCACTTCACCCTTATCTGTCTTGGCAGCCGGTTTCTCGCCCGCTGGTTTGGCTTCAACCTTTTCAGCATTTGATGCCACCGTCTCCACCTTGGCGTCTGGCTTATCTGTCTTGGATTCGGGCTTGGCTTCAGGCTTAGCCTCGGGCTTGGTCGCCGGTTTGGGCTGCGCCTTGGAGGCATCAGCGGCCGCAGGAGAAGGGCCAGCAGCGGCGGCCGGGGCCGGGGCGGGGGCGGTAGTTGTGACCGGAGCCGGAGTCGAAGCGGCGGCAGCGGCCGGAGCCGGAGTCGAGGCGGCAGTGGTGGCCGGAGCCGGAGCCGGCGCGGCAGCTGGTGCCGGTGCCGGAGCCGCAGCCGGTGCCGGCGTGCTGTTGGAGCCCGCCGCCGCCGGAGTCGGGCCTTTGGCGGGGGAAGTGCTCGGGGCGGCCGGTGGTCGGTTCACCACCGGCGCCCCGCTGGGGGCAGCGGTAGTGGCCGCCGCAGGAGCCGAGGGCGGCTTGTCCTGACTCACTGGCTTCAGAGGCGGCACGGCCCCTGGTGGTTTCTTGGGCTCTGGCGCCTTAGCTGTCTCGGTGGACTTCACGGGCGACGCGGAGGCGGCCGGAGCGGTGACGGAGGGCGCGGCCGCGGCAGCCGGAGCCGCGGACGCCGCCGCTGCCGCCGGGGCTGCTGCAGCGCTGGGCGTTGTCGTCTCGGCGGGCCCGGCCGGCTTGGCGGCAGCACCCATGGACGACAGCGCCGTGAGAGGCGGCACCGCCGTCTTTGTGTGGTTGCTGACGGAGCCATTGTTTGTAGACGAGTTGTTCTGATGGCCTGATTCAGAGTGCTTCACAGGTGACAAATTGACTGGCTTGGGTGATGTAGAAACAGGTGTGGGTTGTGCAGTGGGATGAACCTGAAATTGGGAAACACGGTTATGATATTTATGATTACATAATACATATACAACAAATCCAAATTGACAAAGAGGAATGGCATTATTCACTCTTTGATAGCATGCAAGTTTTTAATTGCTATAAAAAAGAGCTTATGCTGGGGCCCCATAAAGCCAGGTGCTAATACTGGGGAATACACAGGCTGCAAGTGGAGTTGTAGACTTCCTAAACATAATAATGCAAAGATTTGCAAAAGCATCTTAAATGCCCATGATATCGGTGTCAATAAATTGTTTAGTTCTCATGATACAAACTCATCTAAAAGACTGAAAGCTTGCAGCAGGCACCAGACATGTATGTCTATTTGGTATAGTCTCTCTTGAAAGTACGCGACTCTGAGGAAGGGCGCCGCCTGTCCCAGCCGTGGCGGAAAGGTTTGAGGGCCACTGTTAGCACTGACCGAAGTCTGACACGCGATGGCAGCCAGCGCGGCGGGGCGAGGGGAGTGATTACGGAGTTACGGAAGGGATGGGGCGGTCGCCGTCCGGTAACTTGTGATTGCAGAAAGCGTGAAGTCAATGGAAGCCACCCTACTCGCAGAGGATTTGTTGAGATGTTTCATAACAAAGCTGAAAATTTGACCCGTCATCGGCACGACTACCACTCCTTTTTAATGAGCCCGTTAGTGAATGGTGAAAAAAGGGTATTTACCGTTCGGCCGTCTTCTTTTTGAAAGCCTTATTTGATGCCAGTTTGCACCCCCTCCCATGACCATGAACGTCGTTCGGAAGGCCTCTTCAGAGAGGGGTTATGGCGGAACTTTGCTTCGTTAAGATTTTAAGCGTCACGTGATTGGCGCCCACCAAGACAGACCAATGAGCGTCCGGCTACCGAACCTAAGTGGCGCCGGCATTCACCTGGGGCGGTGGACGGGGTCAAGGGAGAATGATATGAGCATTTATTGACCTCTGGCCGGCCTCCACCGGTTTCGACCCAGTTGTCAGCCACCGGTGCCTGCGTCATATAGCAGTTTCCTTCTACCGCTGCCGTAGGATCGTGCTACAGCGTACTTTTTATCATATAGGCCATGACCTCACTGCTGGGGTCCTCAAACTGAATGGAGCAGTTCGCCGAGACGCCGCAGCCCATGACGCGATACTTTCAAGAGAGACTATACTAGAAGGGCAACTTTGCAACAGTTAGTATGATGCTGTTGCTATATTATGACTGTGCACTCTGTGCAGAGTGACACAATGTCAGTGGAGACCCATCCATACCTGCATGTCTGAAGCAGGAGTGGCCTTTGGAGGCATCACCATGTTTGAAGGCACAGGCTGCTCCATGCCTGTGCTTTACACTATCTGAAAAATAGAAGCATTTTGGTATGTGAGAACACTAAGTTTGCGCACCCCACTAAGGTTAAATAGTGTAGTAATTTATTGGTCTTCTCTCTGGTCATAACATAAGGTGCAAGTGCCATCTAATCAAACTGCTAAGTGCTATTGGTTGACAAATGTTTTAGGCATATCTTTTAGTTTTGGATTAAAGTCCAGGGCAAGGTGCCACACAAACTAAAGCAATGCTTGCATGTCAATGTAACCATTTCATGACATATTTTTTCATGGTGTTTGTTTTTGCTATTATTTCTTTTTCCAAGGACTAATCAAGTTTTAACTAAACCCAAATATAGCACTAACTTATGGTGAACTTATTACACCACAGCAACATGAAGTCACCATGATAACATCTATCATCTGCAAAGAAAGAGCAAAAAAAAATGATAGCAGTATGTTCAATGTTGAGACCAAATGAAGACCAGGGGCGGATCCAAGGGGGGGGGGGGTCACATGGGTCATGGCCCCCCCCCTTGAGGCCCGGGGGCCCAAAGACCTTCCAGGGGCACCACCGGGCTATCAGGGGTATCACAGTCCTGACAGGGGCACCACAGGACCGCCAGGGGCACCACAGGCCTAGCAGGGACACCACGGGCCTGGTGCCCCTCGGCCCTGACAGGACTGTAACGCCCCTGACAAGCCTGAAGTGTCCCCGGCAGGCACGTGGTGCCGCTGACAGGCCTGAGGCGCCCCTGCAAGGCCGGTGGTGCCCCTGGCAGGCCTGTGGTGTCCATGGGAGGCCTGTGGTGCCCTTGCTAGGCCTCTGGTGCCCCTGACAGGCTTGTAATGCCCCTGGAAGGACTGTGGTGCCCCTGGGCCCTGACAAGCCTGAGGTGCCCCTGACAGGCCAGAGGTGCCCTTGCTAGGCCTGTGGTGCCCCTGGCAGGCCTCTGGTGCCCCTGACAGGCTTGCGGTGCCCTTGGAAGGACTGTGGTGTCCCTGGGCCCTGACAAGCCTGAGGTGCCCCTGACAGGCCCGTGGTGCCCTTGTTAGGCCTGTGGTGCCCCTGGCAGGCCTCTGGTGCCCTTGCTAGGTCGCTGGTGCCCCTGGCAGGCCTCTGGTGCCCTTGCTAGGCCGCTGGTGCCCCTGGCAGGCCTCTGGTGCCCCTGCGCCCGAAGAGGACTGGTGCCCCTGAAAAGTCTGAAGTGCCCCTCGGCAGGCCCGTCGTGCCCCTGACAGGCCCAAGGTGCCCCTGCGAGGCCGGTGGTGCCCCTGGCAGGCCTCTGGTGCCCCTGGCAGGTCTGTGGTGCCCCTGGCAGGTCTGTGGCGCCCCTGGCAGACCTGTGTTGACTGGTGCCCCTGCTAGGTCGCTGGTGCCCCTCACAGACCTGTGGTGCCGCTGGGCCTTGACAAGCCTGAGATGCCTGGCTATGACAGGCTCGTGGTGCCCCTGATAGACCAGTGGTGCCCTTGCTAGGCCTGTAGTGCCCCTGGCAGGCCTCTGGTGCCCCTGCTACCCCTGCGCCCTGAGAGGACTATGGTGCCCCTGAAAAGCCTGAAGTGCCTCTCGACAGGCCCGTGGTGCCCCTGGGCCCTGACAGGCCCAAGTTACCCCTGCGAGGTCGGCGGTGCTCCTGGCAGGCCTCTGGTGCCCCTGGCAGGTCTGTGGTGCCCCTGGCAGGTCTGTGGTGCCCCTGGCAGGCCTGTGTTGACTGGTGCCCCTGCTAGGCCGCTGGTGCCCCTCACAGGCCTGCGGTGCCCCTGGAAGGACTGTGGTGCCCCTGCCCCTAGGGGTGCTCATGGGCCCAACAGGCCCGTTGTGCCCCTGACAGGCCTGTCGTGTATACTTGCTAGACCTGTGGTGCCCCTGCTTCCTGGCAGGCCTGTGGTGCCCCTGGCGGGCCTGTGGCGCCCCTACAAGGCCGTAGGTGCCCCTGACAGGTTTGTGGTGTCCCTGGAAGGACTTTGGTGCCCCTGACAAGCCTGAAGTGTCAAGGACAGACCCTTTAGACGCCAGGGTCAAGTTCGTCGGACTGACAACGATTTGCTTACCTGATAACGTTCCTGGTAAGTACTCATTACTCAGCGTCCACAACATATATACACATAGCACATTCATATATACTTGCTTACAATTGGTAAATGTGGTTGTGGCTAAGAGGTAAGATACTGACTAAAAATAAAAAATAAAAATAAAAAACTGAAAATGGGGGCACCACCAAAATGAAGTGGACGAAATCCGTTGAGTTTTTAATTTTGGGTATAGGTAGGGGCACCACTTCGATTCATGACCCTCCCCTTGAAGTTTTCCTGGATCCGCCCCTGATGAAGACTGAAATCTTCACCTGCTTCAGATAGAAAAGCATGTCAAACCCAGACTGCCTGACAGCCCCTGCTGAATCTGAGCTGACAATCCATAAATGATGCCTTCCTTCACAGACATGGTTATAATTATCAGGTATGTTCATTAACTTTCAGTATGCCAGTGCATGATGTTTCACAATAAAGTTAAACATAATTTGGGACATTTTCTCTTGTTGATCAAGCAATGCAAAAGTGGAATTGATCACAACTAAATATATTTCCACTTCAAGCCACAAACTATTGAAGAACTCTAACGATATATAGGTGCATTCTCAATAAAACATCCTGCATTCATATTTGATGTTTCAAATCAACTTCTTTTCATATTTGTTTAATAACAGGACCCCATTTCAAAGTATAGTGCCCACTACTATTAGCTTATTTAACAAGCCTTCGTAGGGTCTTTAGATGCATTTCATGTGATAATGGGTTTTCAGCAGTTATAAAAATATCAACATGCAAGTGGTAAGAAAAGAGAACTGCTGATTCTAAAATCAGTTGTATCACAAGCACAAATTTTAGAGTGGGTTCAATGACAACTGTATGCATATGGTGTGATTGATATATATCAATGAAAGATATAATTCTGCTTGTGTTGCTACCACCACAAGTCCACTGTTATTTCCATGTCAGCCAATATTCTAGCATTTCTGCTGCTCTACCATTAATTCAATAAGCCACTCAAAATTATACTATCTCAGTTTGGTAGTTTCTGTCAACATTGGCTCATAGGTGTTTGTAAGTCATACACTAATAAATCCTAGCAACAAGCATAAGAATGCACAAGAGACCTGTCAATTAGTTATTTTCACTGGTCAGCACCAAGGAGTTTGCAGTATTTGTAGATGAGGATGCAGATGAAGCTTCGGGGAAATAGCCTTTGCATCTGCTCCCAGGGCCGTACCATTTTCTGGACAATTTGCCAGTTGGCACCGTATGGTGGCGCTAGCAGAGCTTGTTATATATCAATGCGAGATACAAATAACTTATCATCTATCTTTTGATTTTCTATGTGTGCCATTTTACATGGCTATATCCATCTACTACCGTGTTTATATCAATAAATAACATAGCTATTGTACCAGCCAGCCAGCTGATTTTATCCAGTTGTTAGCCCGCGCCCTGGTGGGGGGGGGGCTATTTTTTGCCCCCCCTCCAGACTTTTCGATATATCTCCAGAACCGCTGCGCCGATCGTCACCAAACTTTCAGCACCCTCCCGGACATCAATTTTACACATTGTGACCAAAAATTTTTCCAAAAGCTATGATAGGTTGGCCGGAAATGACGTCAGAGTGACGTCATGTTCTGCCGTTTTCGACCCAAAAAAGGGTTTCGCGGGAAGAGCTGTCACGCCTATAGCTTTGCAAATACAGAAAAATGTTTAGGACATAAAAGCTGTAGAATTGACAGGGCTACAAAACTGTTATCTCGGATTTTTGAATTTTTTTGATTTTGACCCCCAAAAATCAAAAAATAGATTTTTGGGATATAGTAGTCAAAAAATCCAAAAAGTTTTTTGAATTTCGCAAAAACCGGAATATATGTGATAGTCCTTACCACCTTCCATACACATACCAAATTTTAGATTGATATCTCTTTTTTTGGCGAAGTTATAGCGAAAAAACTGTTCAAAATTGATGACGTCAAATTTTCAAACTCAATTTTTAGCAATTCTAGACCTCGTAGTGCAAAACAAAGACCACCATTAGACTCCCCGTGACGAGCTGCATCGAATCGATACCCATTTTATGCAAAAATATCAACTTTGAAATTTGACCTTTTTTGACCTGACCTTGACCTGACCTCCACCAGAAAGTGACCTAAACCGTACCTGATGGTCTTATAACCAACACCATTGGGTTGGAAATGAAAAACTGGCCATAAAACATGCATCGCACAACCTTAGTAAAGTTGGGTTCATGTGGTGACCCTTGGTGACCTTTGGTGACCTGACCTGTGACCTGACCTGGTATGACCAGTGACCTCTAATAGCAACATATGTACTAGACAACTGACGTCTTATCGCTGATTTTCGACAAAATGCGTTTTACTCGGTGTTATAGCGCTTTCCCTAGAAGCCCCGTAAACGGTGAAACATTTTATCTTTGACCTGACCTGTGACGTCATCGGTGACCCCGAGGTCAATAAAATTTGGTTTCCCTCGACAAATTTGACAGGGCTATCGAACGCCGTTTGAATTTTGCGGATCCGTCCAGTAGTTTCGGAGATACGAGGGGGGCAAAAAATAGCCCCCCCCCCCCACCAGGTCGCGTTATAAACAGACCCCACCAGGGCGCGGGTTAGTAAGGCTCTGCTTCCCCATAGGTGGTATTTGTTTATAAATGGTCCAAAGGTCAATTGTGGTGTGGTGTGGTTCCTACAAATATGCAATGGCAGAAATTGTAGGTTGTAAGTTGTGTTTTTAGGGCTTTGGTAGGTTGTAGGTTGGTACCTAGGTTATGAGTTGGTAGGTTGTAGGCTGGACATTATGGGCTGGTAGGAAGTAGTAAGTAGGTAGTAGGTTGTAGGTTAGTAGGTATGTCAGTCGGGGAAACTATGGTAAAATCTGCTATTTTTAGCAGTCTGCTATTTTTAGCAGAAATCTGCTAAAAATGGGTACGCATGTGACGTCATCGTACCCAAATAGGGGAGAGTGGGGCAAAGCGGCCACCCGGGGCAAAGCGGCCACCCATCGTTTAAGCCCTTCATAGCTGGCGTCAGTTCCAATTTATGGTTTCCAATTATACTTCTCTTCACGGTCGTTCGAATGAGCCAGACCGGGGTTTCAGGCCCATCACCATTGTTCTGTGAAACACGGAAAAGCATTTCTTGCCAGGTTACCAACTATGTTTACAATTTTTAAATGTTATGTTATTCCATAACCGTTTGGAATTTTTATAAGCGTTCTTGTCCATGCATTGCATGGTTATCGTACATGTATTCTACCAATTTTAATGTTTTTTACCCCATTAATAGCTAAGCTGGAATATTTTTGTCTCTGACGGTATGCGCGGGGCAAAGTGGCCGGGGCAAAGTGGCCACCCCCCAATTGGCCATAAGTTGCTTCCATCTGGATAAAAAACATTATTTATATTCAAATGTGTTGTCATGCATTCATCTTGGCCACTTTTTAGTTGCATGAGTTGCCAAATAATGCAATTAAATGTTTATTTTCATGAAAACCCTTTCTTTGTTTACCTACAGGTGGAAGATGATAAAGTAAACATCCATCCTCGCTTAACCTTGTCACCATCAAATACCCTAGTCGTACACGAGGCAACTATTTTGTTTCTCATATCAGGACTTGAGAAGACGCCGGTGGCCGCTTTGCCCCAGGGTATGGGGCAAAGTGGCCAATATGCATAGGTTTAAAGTTTTGTCAATATCTTTCAGATGTGAACGCCTTTGGAAATAAAACGCAGTTGAAATAAAAGGCAACTTAATAGGGATCACATTGGTATAGAAAGAATCTTTCCAAGTTTAAAAATCAAGCAATGGCATCGTGAGAAGCGTTAGGGTGGCCGCTTTGCCCCACTCTCCCCTATAGCAGATTTGGGTACGGCCCCCGACAAAAGCAGATCTGCACCCTAATTGAAGCAAATGCGCATCAAATGCCTGGCAGATTCATGATTAGAATAGTGCTGAGAATGTCCTCTGATATTTTTGTTCAGATCCGACTATTTTTAAATAATGAATTTGAAAATAGTCGGATCTGAACAAAAATAGCAGAGAACACTCTCAGCACTATTCTCATCATGAATCTGCCAGGCATTTGATGCGCATTTGCTTCATTTAGGGTGCAGATCTGCTTTTGTATGGGGCCGTACCCAAATCTGCTATATTTGGGTACGATGACTTCACATGCATACCCATTTTTAGCAGATTTCTGCTATAAATAGCAGACTGCTAAAAATAGCAGATTTTACCATAGTTTCCTCGACCGATGTAGGTAAGATCAGGTCAGGTTAGGTTGTTATTTTCTTACATTTGCACCATGTAACATATTTGAAGACCTATGAGTATTACAATTGATAATGTGAGAATAGAAAATATTTATGCTTAAACAGTTAATCTGACTGATTGTTAATATTTATCGAGTTTGATACCAGCCATCAGCGTCATGCAAGTAAAAGTGGAGAAATGCTTGCAAACCACGGGTCAGCTTGTCAGGACGATAATGCTGTACATTGAGGTGGAAGCAGATAATGGCAATATAAAATTGGACAAAATGTAATATTCCAGCATTTATACCCAACCCGTGGAACATGTCAAGTCAATCATAACACCCGTTGACTTGAGTGCTAAAAGGCTTGATAGCATGGATTTTAACTTTCAGTTGCAGGATTGAATGAATTTCTTATGAAAATAGGTATGGCAGACTAAAAACTATTGGAATGCAACTGTACCAGGGTGCCTACTGCCTAACCACTAATGTCACCTAATGAGTTACGAATGCATGAATTATGAGCCCTAATATAAACATTGACATGCAACGCAGACGCCGACAACTTGCACGTTTTACCGGGACCGATTCACTGGCAAAAACACTGGAAAGTAACATGCACAATGTAGTGCTATTCAAATGAGAATTAATTGACCCACCTTGAATGTCAAATAAATATAAAACTATCAAAATAGCGCGAAAACAACACGAAAATACCACATGAAACCCACCGTGAACGCCGAAGTTGATCCAAATCGAAGCTACTTAGAGGTGGGCAAAATTCGAGTTTCAGCCGTTTCTCTAGTTCGAATTTGAAATAAAAGTTTGATTCTGCATAAAAGTTGCTCTCTGTGCCGGTTGCAATGTCACACCTCGTTAGTCCATGATGAACTAATGTGAAAAATTATTTTTGGGTTGTTTGTCACCAAAATATTTTCTAGTATTCGATTTTTCGAATATAAGCTATCCAAAATGGCGCTTTATTTAATAAAAGAAATCGACCACTAAATACTAATTACTTTTCTACGGTGTAAACCCACATGCCCGTTACGGGTCGTAACGTGGTCCAATGCTTATAAAAATATAGGTGAATGCAAAAAAGTTTCATCTTAATGTCCCGAGGAAATTCATGAGGCTAAATACCGTAACTCGCAACCTTTATTGACCGAGGGGATCAGGCACCTGACCTGCCACGAAACAGGCTGCGTCCTTTTCGGGGCTGAGAAGTGCAATAAGTGAGAAACGAGTCTCGTCCAGACCTAACCATAAGGCAAGGCCTTGTATAACTATTCTATTTTACGAGACCATAAGGCACGATTGTAGAATAAAACCGCTCCGAATTAATTGATTTGATTCTGAACAATAAAATTCTCCGAAGAGACCCGACGAAGGCTTCAGAAACGGAAAACGACACGACACATGTTCCCATACCTCCAGTCACCACGCACCACTTACGCCTTCAGTTACCGCGGACACACCTTACACACTCTTTACGTCTTTCATTCATACGGCATACCTTCCCACACCTTCACACAATATCAGAGTCTCACGCTTTTACTCACTAGTCACTACATCCGCTTTCACGCTCTCACAATACCCGCTCTCACGCCCATATAGCCATTCACGATATACGCCTTTACAGTCACCACGACATACGCACGCTCACACAGAGTAAGTATAGAGTATAGACAACCGCCCACACGCCATCCCACTCGCCGCAACCACATACGATCCCGCGCCTTCACACTGACACGCCAGACGGTGTCCGCTCTCACATCTTTATCCATGACAAACGTTTTCTGGAATCCATTCTCACCACAACACACTGCTCAGCACTCATACCATTCATGCACGCCTTCCCTCAAGTCCACGATCATTCACAGCAGATATCGGCGGCAGATTTTCTCCGTCGATTTCGATACCGTCTACCGATGCGGTAATCAGTGTGTCGACTGACCATAAATTGTCATGCGCCTGAGTCACGAAGTAGGCCGAGATGTTCAAACTTCACAAACGCCGTTTAAAGGCGCCTCTTGAAAGTCATGACCACATGGACTAGAGTTCCTACAAGCCGGACGGTGGAATCTCTGCTGCACAGTCCTCACGTTGAAATGTGGTTGACAATTTTATTCCTTTATGAAAATTACTGACAAACCAGCGAATATCTACAGCATATATTTTGCAAATCATGACAATGAAAACAGTGTATAGCCTTGCACTTGAATCACGCCACTAGCGTCGGCGGGTCCGTCCCACTAGTCCCCTGATGGCCTCCGCGGGGGCTCGGCGCTGGAGTTGGCCAGTGCAGCACGCGCCTCGGCCGCCAGCTGCTGGTACTTCTTGTGCCGGTACTGGCGGCGCGCCTCGTCCAGAAGCACGTTGTGCAGGAGGTGCTTCCTGTCTGTGGAGCCGTCTCGAAGCGGCGGGAACGGGTTGCCTACGGACAGGACACACTAGCTAGTCGAGATATGCAAATTCCCCCAGCGCCTGCCCACGAAGTCGGGAAATGGGACGGACGGAACATACTAGCATACTACTGGCCGTACGTACGAACATACTACTGGTACGAACATACCGTACGAACATACTACTGGCCGTACGTAAGTCTGTTTTTCCCCGTAACATTCAGGTTGATTGAAAGATGATCAGTGAACAGGTGAATTTATTTATCACGTCGATAACACCCAAAGAGACTAATAAAAGGCAGATTTATACGTAAAAGGCAATTATGAAATTTCAATATTGATTACGATGTCTAAAGAAATCAATGTCGTTAAGATTTTATCTGTGTATCTATCTACTATATGATCTATAAGACACCTGTCTCTGTAATAGGCTCGGTGATAGCCAGGACGAGTGAAGACATATATAAAACTATTCCAGTGTTCCATTTTTCAGACTTTTTGGTGGCAAATCACACCCAATGGGGAGAATATTTTCATCCCTAAAATATGAATGACCGACTTTACTTCATCTCTGAAAAGTTTCATGTATTCCCAACAGCCAGTTCACACGTCACTTGACAGCTGTTGATGCACCCACTTCCTTTTGTTCCACACCCTGTCAAGATCCTGACATGAAATCCTGGTTTATCAGTTGGCATAAAAATTGGCATTACACCATTTTGCAAAAATAATTCAGTTATTTACTTTTTCTCATCCTAGGATTTTTCTTCTTCATCGGCACACCCAACCAATATCCAATTTTAGAACACTGAACTATTCGGCCCGCATACTTAGATCACACCAGCTGGCAACTGGCGGGAGAGGGCCGCACTAGAACCAGGAGGACCGTGTCGCCATCTAATGTGCTAGAAGTTCGGTCTAAATTCATGCCGGTGTATTGTATTCTGAGTGGTTGGTCTATGGTACTGGCACACGCTCTGGACAGGAGGCATCCGAACCCATAGCCCGTAACCATTCAATCGGACTAACTTATGCCTATAACTTCCTCACAACGTATACCTATAATTCATTCAAAAGTATCAAGCGGGACCCGGAACGTCGTTACATCGCCTCCTTATCATTCACTGTTGCGGAGGGAGGGGCCTGATGTACGCACCTTTGAGCTCGAGCACACCCCTGGGCGCGCCCTTGTCGTTTTCCCGATAGGCCGGCGGCAGCTTGTAGAGGCTGGTGAAGCTGGACCGGTGCTCGGCGTACCGAGGGGCCAGCACCTGCAACAGTCGCCGACACAACGCAGTCAGGGCTGGCAGCGACACGACGGATAGGTACAGGGTGTCCAGAAAAAAACGGATACTATTATTTTTTGCTGTAATTCCGAAAATAAACACCTTACATTTTAAAATGGCACATGCTTGTATTCGCCAAAATATGGCAAAACAGACAGCAGGTGCCACATGGCATGTAAACTCTTTGGTTAGTTGCGGCAGCTCCTCAAAGCAGATACTCAATGTGAGCGGCCTTACGGCGGATCAGCTCCAGCACTAGCACAGTCTGCAGGTGACTGATGGTCATGTTGACCATCTCGGAGGGCAAGCAGACAACTTTCCAACGACGCATTACAGTGCTCATGAGTTTTGCTTAATCTTGCACTATAAGCACATGAATTTGGAACAAAATCGGCACGTGCGTTAATGAATGCGACTTAATTTCCGTAGTATCTTTTTTTTCTGGACACCCTGTACTATGCCGATAGAGGTTAAATACTGCAAAGTTAACTGCGTCTTGCTGACGAATATTCAACGTTAATAATAGGTATACGACACGGAATCTATTTTACACGGCAGAACTGACAGGCAATTTGTGAATTCATGTAAAACTACGGTGGTGGTAATTGCCACATACTTATCCTCTCTTATCAACACATTGCGATCGGCGACCTAATGGCTATACCAACTGGTTTACAGGCGAATTTTCTCCACATGCCCTTCCCCAAAATAATGACCATTGAACGAAAACAAACTGGCACTTTATTTCGAACCATATGCCGCTGAACTTAGTAACTTCGACGATATTTATTCTACTACGATTCATAATCTAAGGAAATGAGCGAGAGGCCTCATTTTTTTCACTCAGGCATTAATGTAACATGGAGCCTCAATGTTGTCCGGGCTGCCTCGCAAGAGTGGCTGCCGGGACACAGTGCGCGGTGATTACCTTGAAAAGTTTGTGGATGAGCTGTTTCTCTGTCAGCCAAAAGTTGGCCATATCCATGGTGTGCGTGTCCCGGTCTCCGTGCAATACGGCGTCATGTATCAGCTGAAAACGCAGCCACAACGGTACAGTGTCAAATAAGCACCTCCGAGACCGCGTCACACAATCACACATGTGGTATACCATGCGATTTCCCACAAATACAGAAGCAGAACATTATCCGTTGAAATTGAAGCATACATATGGCGCCATCAACAATCAGCATGTGCATGATGATGATGGACACGAACTGAGTCTGATCCTGCAGTGAGCTGCTGTTAGGTAAGTGCGATCAATTAATTGTATCGATATAGTTTGCCCAAAGCTCTTCAATCATACCTCTCGGTTTTTAATACGGAAGGACATACTGGACATACTATAGTCTGTTCCACTCAAGGCCCTATTGTTCCACTTAACTTCAACATTCACTCCAAGATGCGTGGCTCATCAAGCACGCGACATTACAGCTACTTAAGAAAATCGAGAAGAGCTGCAGCCAGCCAAAGCTGCGGCGAAATTCTGACGGACAAGTCACTTTGGTGTCAATTTGGTATATTTGGCCTTGGTCATTGGTAGCCCAGATAAGTCCGTAAAATATCAGGTGATCCTGATTTTTTATTTAAAACGTATTTAATAACATTACTTTTTATAAAGGGTAATTCAAAATATTATCGTGTTGATACAGCTACTGTTAAATGTTTTCAAAACTTCGGCAAGGAAAGCCACTTGGTGCACAAACCAGGCAAACAATTTACAATGTCTACAAATATTTTACTAATAAGAAAGATGAACACCTCAAGCAAGGTGATGAGAGAGCCGCTGCAAGTATCAATGTAGCACAAGAGACAAGTTTGGCTACTGTAGTGTCAATCTCGTCTGTCCAAGCGGTGAAAAAAGAGGCGGAGACATACGGATGCCAGTCTCCAGTCCGCAAGCGACCGAAAAGGATGCGACGCGAGTACCTGGACGACTTTGAGCAATGTGCGCTAAGAAGAATGGTGCACGCTATGTATTTGGACGGAAAAAAGGTCACTTTGGACACGATGAAAGCAGCGGTGCTGCTGCTCGAAAGCCGGGACGCCACCACAACGGACATGTGGCGTAACTGCTGCCGCCATGTGCAGCAACTGGAGGCATACTGGCGTGCTGACGGCATGCTGGAGGACATCGATCCTGTGGTCGTGTCCAGTCGCGTCATTGCAGGATTCGAGCTCCGACAGCGACAGTGATGAGGAATGATGCTTGGTGATGTTCGTCAGGTGTTCGTTGTTCTTGGACCTGTATAAGTATTGTGCGTTATATCTTCTCCGACTGAACGATTGTAACTGCAGCCGCCCTCCCTGCGTTGTACACTTGGTCGCGTCTGGTGTTTCCATAATATACTCAGTCCTCTGTGACGAACGGCTTTTTACATGGAGTGGTTTTGTACATGGGGGAGCATAAGAGACATTTGGATTGGAGCTCACCATCTGTCCTAAAAATTAAAAGTCGGCTAGTGCAGTAGCCAGAGCCGCAGGAAAAGCAACGGTTCTAAAGAGCCAAAGATGACAGACATTGCGCCACGGGTCTCAGTGGCACCTCCCGCACTTTGGCGGCACTTGAAATCACTTGAAATTCCCTGTCTGGTGTGTTCGATTTTTACTAATAACTATTCTCGCTCGTGCATTATCGAACAGCTATCTTGGAGTGAATGCTGAAGTTAAGTGGAACAGACTATAGCAACTGCAGACCACAATAAGGACACTTCAAAATAGAAGTTGAGAAAATCACCGACAACGTTGATCGCCTTGAAAGTCCTAATGAAGCAGCTTTGATCCTGGCCAGACGCGACTGTTGACCAGATACCGATATTCACCGCAAGGTGTCAGCCGGGGCGGTCCGATCACTCCGATCCCATGCTAGCCTGATATCTAGCACATAGTTTTTGCATGCATCGAGCTTTCCACTTAAAAATTGGGGTAAATGCTGACCTGTGCCCTTCTGAGGTATTTTCAAAACACAATATGCTGATGAACTATGCTGTGCCCCTCCCCCCCCCCCCCCAGGCCCCATCCTCCACTGAACTACGAAAGTACTCGAAAAAGTGTCAAAAGTTATGTGGTTTGAATCCCATACTTAGAATAACTTTCGAAAAAAAAAAATTAATTTGTTTACCAAAAACTAAGTGATCATATTAATTCCTATGACATGTCGGGCACATAAAGGATGCACGACGGTCCGGTCCGGTCTGGTCCGGGCGGTGGTCCGACGGTGCGGCTCACTCACCCGCTCGGCGTATCCGCGAGCCTCGTCCAGCCGAATGTACTGCATCTCGACCCGTTCGTCCCGGACCAGTGCTGTGACGGTGGAGCGCAGGTTCTTCAGACGGCCGTACGAGCCCTCCACGTTCCTCAGGGGACGGTATTTCGGCTGCACGGGGATCCGCAGCTGCGGGATCAGCCGGCCCAGCTGGGACGTCATGGCGGCACCTGCCAATGATATCAGTCACCGTCATCGTCTGATATTGCCACTTTAGGTGGCAATCAGTTGCTCCCAATCCATGAGCTGAGCAGGTCCGCATGCACCGCCTCAGCTACCGGATTTAATTCATACGAATTTTTGGCAGGTATTTAGGGGATGTGGATCATCAGCAATAGTTGAGACAGGTAGAAGGAAAGAGGGATTTTCCATACAGCACAGCAGTTCATTGGGAGGTTTCAGGACGTGGCACTTTTCAGGTTTGTTCGTCCCCCCAACTCGGTCGGTAGAGCGTCGCTTTCCCGTCGATGTGATCGAGAGGGCTCCGGTTTGAGTCGCTCTGGCCAGTGTGGCCAAATTGGTGATGTTGCGGGGAAAGTCACCCCCAATGAAAAGTATAATGACATCCTCAGAAATTTTAAAATTACATCCTCACGACGTTTTTGTCGTGAAAGCATACCTAGTAGGAATAAAGAGTGAAAATGTTCCAATGTACGATTCGCACCGTCATACTCGTACTGTCTCGCAGTCGCTTGCAATGTCGTTTTTTTACATCTTTAATGACAATATTTTTTTTTTACTTTCCACCAGAACTTGATGTCAGGTATAGTTTTTTCCACATTATCTGTAAAAACTGCACCTAAAATGAGGCTGAAGACGAGTTTTTTTGAAAATAGTGACATCCTCGTACGACTTTTTTATACATCCTCCCCCTAACGCTAAACCAATTTGGTCACACTGGCTCTGGGTCCTCATATGCAACATTGTCCGGGAACTCATGTTTGTTTTCAATAGAAAAAGTTTTAACCAGCAGTGTTTTTAACTAATGAACACAAACCTTCGGTTATATGGAGACCTCCTCCGACGGCCGACGGGAATAATCCGCGGTTGGCGGGAACAGCTAATCAGCAGGTGCAGAGCAGGACGTTTTGAGGGCATCATGCCTGTGCTTTTTTCCAAACTTTTCCCCCACTCAATCGGTAGCCAGACTGTTCGTGATCACGTCTTTTTCCTTCAAGTCACTGAGGCGATCCAGCACTATATGAGCCCTACAGCCCGCAGCTACATGACCTCTGACCCCAGCAGGGAGGGATCGGCCGTGTGTACTGACCGGGACCGCTCCATCGAGTCGAGCGCCACTCAACATTTAACACGCACAAATCGGCTCGTACCTGGCTGGCACTTTTTACCATGGGTGGCGCTACTTTCGACAGCTTTTTACCTGCAGTCGGCGCTACTAACACCTATTTACCGGGGGTGGCGCAACTCTCGACAACTTATATACCACAAGACCGCACACTGTACTGTTGAAAGACACTACTCTTCACGCCTATTTTCCGCGGGCCGCGTGCTACTCTGACGCCTATTTACCGCGAGTCGGCGTAACTCGAGAGTTCAGACTGTCAGCACAGGTAAAACAGCTGAAACTTGCTTGAAATGCCAGAAAGTTTGCAATCAAGCATGATCACTTGAAGTATTGGCAACATCACCATGCATATCAATGGAACATTAACAACCTCTTGATCCATGGTATTTGAGAATTGGCACAGAAATATGGCAAGGTAATGATACTCCTTGACACCAAGGAGGTCACAGGAGGTCACAGGGAGGAGGTCCTAGCCCCTTGGTAGTTCCACCCTCCCCCTGCAGTCTCCTCCTAGCACTGATGAGCTAGGTTCTCACTTGAATCCCTCTTGTTGACCCCCCTCCATAAGAAGAAAGGTGTAACTGAGCAATATAATTCAGTGGGTGGGAAGTCAAAGACTAATGAGTAAGCTCAATGATGAGCTGTGTAGTGTGTACTCACCTAATTCTCACTTGGTGACCTCTAGTCTTCAAAATCAATCAAGGTTTTAAGTTAAGAGTTCAATATAGCCGTGGCTATGGCAGTGAATTAACAACTCTTCTTTATATCATACTGAAAAATGGGACAGTTTTCATATCATTAATCACCAGCAGGTATTCCAATATTAGGACAGAAAAGAAAATTGGCAAAAATAAGCTATTTAACACCTCCCCCTAACACCTTACACTAAGTGAAGTGTGAACAGAGTGCAAGAACAGAAGCAGAGTTAAAAACACAGGCATGACATTAATCTAACAAAAAATTAGGTAGGTACTTAGGAAAGAGCAAATCCATCCAGCTAGCAAAAAATCAAGACATATTAATAACAACAAGACTGAGTAAGAGTTTTATTAGTATTCACAATAAAAAACACTGCAAGCAATCCTTGATTATAACCTATCCAGCTATGAAAGTATTAAGAGAAGTTAAAGTAAGCTGGGAAAATTGACATATGATCTCCATGATATGCAGTATACCTAATACTAATTGAAACTTGGAAATGACATCAATATAAGAGCTTTGGTGATTTTGGTATCTGTCAGAAACCCACTGGCTTCCGCATTGCACATATTCATTGATCTTGATCTATTGCCTGTCCCATAGCTCAGTTGGTAGAGCACCGGACTCCCGTTAGTGAGACTTGAGCCCAGGTTCGAGTCGCTCAGGCGCTCGATATTTGAGACTCCTGACGGGGATGGTCTGCAGTTGGGGAGCATCCGCAGCCAGTTGAAGTCATTTGAGTGGGATGCCGTGCCCGGCTTTGAAGGGCACGTTAAACTTTGGCATCTAAATTCTCCCATTACCCGGAATTCATCATGAATTGCGCGATCAGGCGGTAGGAGTCGGGGTCTATGCAACAAGCTCTGCTCAGCGTGGGCCTCAGCTCTGTCAATCCGTCCATTGAAACATTCGAACTAAATTTAAAAAAATGGCATGCCATGATGTGCTTCAGCTTATTAGTGCCTACTTCAGTTGGGCAAACTAGACTTTTGGAATCAAAATATGGAGGCATCAATAATTTGATTCTGGTGGGAGGAGCCATGACCAAATATGGGCATGGAATCAATTTTTTGATTCATTTGGGTACATTTTGACTTCAAATGTATCGTTACGGTTGAAAAAAGGCCTGTTCCCGACACAGTCGCACTATGCCGGTAACAATGTTCGTAGAAGAGTTTTAGATAAGAGTTTATTATAAAGGGCCGAAATCAAATCACTTGCCGATAAATGTAGAAATAGCTTGAGAAGAAAAACGAATATCCGGCCGATACCGGTGCGTCGGGGTGGCAGCACACCGTCGAGAATTCGTGGGTGCGCCGCAGCCGCACCCCTTCGCCGAACGACCAGGAGCACAGGGACTGAGGCGCGACACTGTGCGCCTCTTTCGGTCCCGTCGAGGTACTACGAGCACAGGGACTGAGGCGCTCACCGTGCGCCTCGTTCGGGTCCCGTCGTTGCACTGCTATCACACGCACAGCCGCCGGCTTTTAACGGACGGGTGAAAGCGAAAGCACAGTATACAGGTCAGGAAACGAAAGCAAAAGTCATTAGAAGTGCCTCTAGCGCCGAGTAAAAGCGCAGAGTAAAAACACAAACAAGTAAAAAGTAACAGTTGTCTGGGGCGTGGCCGCCGCTCGGACCGGTAGCACCACGGACCGGTTTCGTCGGTAACATAGCCGGCCCAGATTTTGCCAGCGAAATCTCAATAGGAACACCGGCGAAACGACTATATACATATTTACAGGTACATGGAACGCATGTTGCTGCTATGCATGGATTATTTTGATCGCTCCAGAACGCATAGGCGAGTAACGGGTCTGGTCAGCTCCCCGCAAGCGGTCTTGACGACCGCAGCGCGCACACGGCCGTCTGTGCCGACGATCGGCCGCAATACGCGGGCCAGAGCCCACATGCCGCGAGGAGCGTTATCCTCAGCCACGAGAACCAGCTCGCCGGGTTTGAGGTTCCCCTCCTCTGTCGTCCATTTCCGCCGGGCCGTCAGGGTGGGCAGGTACTCGCGGCGCCAGCGGCGCCAAAACTCGTCGGCGAGTCGCTGCCCGTGTCGCCATCGTTTCCGAGACGACAGATCGGTCTCGGAGAAGACGCCCGGCGGCAGATTGGGGCTAGCTCGTCCCAGCAGCAGGTGGTTCGGAGTCAGCGCCTCCAGGTCGTCCGGTTCGCTGCTGACGTGGGTTAGTGGGCGGCTGTTCAGCAGCGCCTCCACCTCGGCCATGAACGTCTGCAGAGTTTCATCAGTGAGTACCTGCTGGCCCACGACGGACCGAAGGACAGTTTTCACTGATCGGACGAGCCGCTCCCACGCGCCGCCGAAGTGGGGTGACGCCGGTGGGATGAATCTCCACTCGATCTGCCGCTGTGACAGCTCGTCAGCTATCTGCAGCTGGTTCCACTGCCGGATGGAGTTTCTGAGCTCCCTGTCACCACCGCGCATGTTTGTGCCGTTGTCTGAGTGGATGACCTTTGGGTGTCCGCGTCTCGCGATCATCCGCCTCAGGCACATCAGCAGCGAGTCCGTATCGAGAGAGTGGGCGATTTCGATGTGCACTGCTCTCGTGGCCATACAGGTAAACAGACACCCGTAGCGTTTTTCGTGACGGCGGAGCTTGGTCACGGTTAAGGGACCGAAGTAGTCCACTCCGACCTGAGTGAACGGCGGACAGTGTGACGTCACACGGGCTTCCGGCAGGTCGGCCATGACAGGTGGGCGGGGTACAGCGCGGCGCTGTTTACAGACAGGGCATGAGAAGGCGTACGCCTTCACCGCCGCTCTGCCGCGCAGAATCCAGTAGGCCTCTCGCAGACGACTCAGCACATGTTCTGTGCCGACGTGGGCCATACGACCATGGTAGTCGGAGACGATGAGCCTTGTGACGTCATGACGTGACGGCAGGATGGCTTGATGTCGAGCGGTATGAGTCAGAGAGTCGGCGTGACGTAGTCGGCCGCCCACCCTGATCACTCCACTGCTGTCCAGGAACGGTCGGAGAGTGATGAGCTTGCTGCCTCGCGGGAGCTGCCGGCCCGTTTTCAGCGCAGCCAGCTCGTCGGGAAAAGCTTCCTGTTGCACCTGCTGAATGCACAGCGTCTCGGCTGCCTGCAGCTAGGCGGCCGTCAGCGCTCCCGTAGCCCGTTCCGAGTTTGGTGTCCGGCAATTCTGCACGAAGCGTAGCATCCAGGCGGTGGTGCGCCGCAGTCGCAGCCACGATGAGAACTTCGCCGGCGGCACCAGTTGTGGAGTTGTCGCGATGACATTGACGCTGACGTCTGCGCGTCGTTCTTGATCGGCGGGGTCAGCCCGGCCCTCCTGGTCGCCAGCCACGTCAGCCGGCCATTCGCTAGGAGGGCGGCTGAGGAACGGTGGTCCGCTCAGCCAGCGGTCATCTGCCAGCAGGGCTGGTATGTCACAGCCGCGCGAGCACACGTCCGCCGGGTTGATGACTCCCGGGCAGTGACGCCAGGCCTCTGGGAGGGAGGTGTCTTGTATTTCGGCGACACGGTTCGCTACAAACGTCTTGAATGTTCGACTTTCGCTCTTTATCCATTGCAAGACCGTTTGTGAGTCTGACCAGAAGTGGCACGAGTCGATCGTGATGTCATGCTCCCGCCGCACGCACTCTGCTATCCGCACAGCCATCACGGCGGCCTGCAGCTCCAGCCGCGGGATACTGAGCTGACGAAGCGGGGCGACTCGATTTTTGGCTATCACGAACGCCGTACTGATTCTGCCGTCTTGGTACTGGAGTCGGAAATAGGCGACTACTCCGAATGCAAGCTCAGAGGCGTCACTGAACAGGTGGAGCTGACAGTTGACTGGCGGTTCACGGCCGTCTCGGTAGCACCGGCTGAGTTGGAACTGGTGCAGCTGCGCCCGTTCACCGGCCCATGCTCTCCATGCATTAGTGAGCTGACGGTCTGTGAGTGGATCGTCCCACTGACAGCCGCTTCTCCAGATGTTCTGCAGCAGTGTTTTGGCGCGGAGGGTCCAGGGCGCTAGCATTCCCAGTGGGTCAAAGATGGACGACACTGCGCTCAGAATGCCGCGCTTCGTCACTGGAGTGTCACTATCGGCTGACTTGAAGGTGAACATGTCGGCTGAAACGTTCCACCTGACACCCAGCGTTCGTTCGTACTGTGACCCGTCCAGGTCGAGGTCACGTGTGTCGCCGCTGCAGTCTGCAGCGGGGACTGCCTTTAGTGCTGCTGGTGACGAGCTGGTCCATTTCTTGAGAATGAAGCCACCAGTTTTTAGCAGCTTGCTGAGAGCAGCCTGCATTGCAGCCGCCCTTTCATCATCTTCGAATGAGTCCAGGTAGTCGTCCACATAGAAACGGGTGTGCACGGCGGTAGCGGCGGCCGGGTATTCGTCTCGATGGTCGTCGGCGCACTTCTGCAGTGCGTATGTTGCTGAACAGGGTGATGCCGCCGCTCCGAAGACCAGGACCTGCATCTGGTACACGTCTGGTGGCCTCTCTCGGTCAAAGCCGCGCCACAGGAACCGCAGGGCAGGCTGATCGGCTGGCCGGACGCGTACCTGATGGAACATCGCCTCTATGTCGGCGGTGAGGGCGACTGGACGCTGGCGAAAGCGCATGAGGATGCCGACTAGGTTGTTCGTCAGGTCCGGCCCCGTCAGCAGATGGTCGTTAAGAGACGCTCCGTTGAAGCGAGCAGCAGCGTCAAACACTACGCGTATTTTCCCCGGTTTGTTTGGGCTTGTAACGGCGTGGTGTGGGAGGTACCACTCCCGCTCGTGCTGCACGGCCAGCTCGGCTGGTAGCAGCTTTCGGGCATAGCCCTTTCGAATGTACTCGCTGATGGTCAATTCGTAGGCATCTGCCAGTGCAGGGTTGCGGTCCAGCTTGCGTTCGATAGACCGAAGCCTGGACAGGGCACCGCTGAAATTCCCGGAGAGGCGTACGTCTGCCGACATCCACAGCAGGCCAGTTTCATATCGTCCGCCGGCCCGCTTCGTGGTGCTTTCGAGTAGCTGTATCGCCGCCTCGTCCTGCTTACAGCGTTTCGGGGCCGATGCGTATTTCGTGCCGAATGATTCGGTGGACCACCAGCTGCTTAACCTTTCGTGCAGGCTAGCATCTTCCGTGATTGTCAATGTGGTAACGTGTTGCGCGCTGCCGCCCAAGACACTCTCCGGGAGCTTCCCGGTCACAACCCAGCCGAGCAGAGTGTGAACGGCCCATGGGGCTTCGGCGGGTCCTCGGCGCACTGTCAGTGGCATAATAAGGTCCATGGCGTCTGCACCGATGGGCACTCTGACCGGCTCTGAAGAAACCGGGGCCAGATTGAGGTCTGCCAAATGAGGCCACTTTGATTTAGTCTTTGGCCAGTTCAATGCGGAACCGGCTACGTTTATCTTGGGCGTAGTACGGACACCTTGAATTACATACTCTCTGGCGCCGTCACGTGGCTGGATTCGTAGCTCGATGCGTTTCGAAGCTTGCATGGAGCTGCCTGCCACCGTGCCCAAACACAGTGGCTCGTCTGGTCCACTCAGTCCCAGGTCAGCCGCCAGCTGCTCAGTCATCAGCGACACCTGGCTGCCGAGATCGAGGAGGGCGTTCACAATCCGCTCGCCGCCGGGACCGCGGACGATCACCGGCAGAATCTGGAGCAGCACGCTGGTACTGGTCTGTCCATTGGTGGCGCCGACGTAGTTTTTGTCGGCATCGTAGGCTGGTGTTGTCGCTGGGCGTGGCTTGAACAGGCGAGGGGCGCCATGGAGGAGCGAGTGGTGTCGCGCCTTGCAGTCCGGGACAGCATCACACGGTGTTCTGTCGGGGCAGTCACGCGCTCGATGTCCGCGCTGAAGGCACACCCAGCACAGACCCTTGTCCCTCACTAGTTCAGCTCTTTTGTCGGTCGAGTTGGTCGCAAATTGGGGGCACTTAACCACCGTGTGTGGGCCACTGCACTGCTCACACGGATTTGTTGGCTGTGCGGCCTGCTGCCGTGCAGACTTGGCCGTCACTGTCAGCACGTTGCGCCGGGGGCGAGTGGCAGGGGCTGAGACGGGCTTGCCGTGTTTCGTCGGACTGACGTCCTCTTCTGCAGCGACCAATCGGCCGGCGTCGACGTGCCTTCTGAGCCACCTATCCAGGTCGACCAGAGTCGGGGCGGCCGGTCGAAGGGTCATGGCGTGCTCTCCCCAGCGCCATGACAGGGCACGGGGCAGCTTGGCCACGACCTGCTGGAGGTTCGCAGTCGCTGCTAGGTCGGCGTCGTAGCTGAGTGAGCTCAGCACCATCACTGCGCTGTGCAGGGCCGTCGATAGGGATCGTAGTGAGCTGAGATCGTTGTCTTTCGTCGGTGGCACGGTCAGCAGTCGGTTCATGGCAGCACGAACGACGTGGCCGGGGTTGCCGAACTGACGCTCCAGCTCACTGAGCGCCTCGGTGTACATGTCTGCATCGCAGAGCAGACCGCTGACCGCCTCTCGGGCCTCACCGGTCAGACACGACTGTAAGTGAGCCAGCCTCTCCGTGTCGGTCAGGCCCCGGTGGTTGTGCACCAGCGCTCTGAAGAGTGAGCTCCAGCGGGGCCATTCCAGCGGCGAGCCGCTGAACTGGTCGAGCTTGAGCTTCGGGAGCGCCGAATCCGTGTGATGTCTCGCTGGTCGGTCGTCCGACCGCGGCCTGTCGGAGAGCTGCTCGATCCAGCCAAGTGTCCGCTCTCTAGTGACGTCACTGGGCGGGCTCGGCGCGACCGCTGAGGCTCCCTGACGAAGGAGCGCCGACTGGAACTGGGAGGGCGCTCTGCTCTCCCCGTCATGCTCCAGTGCTTCCTCCTCGAGCCTGAGCTCCAGCTCATTCAGCTCGGCCTCGTCCCGGGCAGCCTGAACCTGGGCAGCCGCCTGAGCGGTGGCGGCTCTCTCCACCTGGGCTACCTTGAGCCTGGCGAGTTCGGTCTTGATTCGCAGTTCGTTGATACGCGATGCCGATGACGTTGCCGAACACTCCGCCTCGCTGCGGGTTTCGGCCTTGCTTGTTGCTCGCCTCTCCGACCGCGTGCTCATCACTGCAGTTCGTTGTACACTGTTCCGAACACTAGTTCGATAGTATCCGGCCCGGAGGACCAATTTGTTCCCGACACAGTCGCACTATGCCGGTAACAATGTTCGTAGAAGAGTTTTAGATAAGAGTTTATTATAAAGGGCCGAAATCAAATCACTTGCCGATAAATGTAGAAATAGCTTGAGAAGAAAAACGAATATCCGGCCGATACCGGTGCGTCGGGGTGGCAGCACACCGTCGAGAATTCGTGGGTGCGCCGCAGCCGCACCCCTTCGCCGAACGACCAGGAGCACAGGGACTGAGGCGCGACACTGTGCGCCTCTTTCGGTCCCGTCGAGGTACTACGAGCACAGGGACTGAGGCGCTCACCGTGCGCCTCGTTCGGGTCCCGTCGTTGCACTGCTATCACACGCACAGCCGCCGGCTTTTAACCGACGGGTGAAAGCGAAAGCACAGTATACAGGTCAGGAAACGAAAGCAAAAGTCATTAGAAGTGCCTCTAGCGCCGAGTAAAAGCGCAGAGTAAAAACACAAACAAGTAAAAAGTAACAGTTGTCTGGGGCGTGGCCGCCGCTCGGACCGGTAGCACCACGGACCGGTTTCGTCGGTAACAAGGCCCATGACGGTGAGTTTTTTCTTTAAAAAGGTAGAAAAATGTGGTAGCTTTCCAAAAAGTGTTACCTCAAAACTAAGAAATTGTCCCTTTGGCCTTGTGAATGGGAAAAAGTCAGAGCCACTGTCCATCACGTAAAAGCTGTTTTGAGGAAATCACACTGTATGTTATTTTTGTATCATGAATCGCATACTTAACAATTAGTATTTGTGTGAAATGGCAAAATGAAATTTTCAAACCCCTTATCATCATTGTTGTAGTGCTTTTATATTTATTGTATGGTTTTTACCTGTTGCTTCAGTTTTTGAATTCTTGACATTTAAAAATTGTGAAATGTTATCAAATGTAGTGAAGGTTAACTACAACAATGCTATAGGTATCTATTGTGGTGCTGAGGATACCACTAAATGAGCA